TGTTCATTGCCATACCTATTCTGATCAATATTTGAAGAAGAAGGTCGGCTTCCAACAGATTGATTTGAATACGTCTGATCAATATTGTCTGGATTATATAAGCCTTGATTAAATAATCTCTCTTGTTCATCGTAAAATGATCGCCCAGCTTCTCTAATTCGTCTCAAGTCTCGGGCATTAGGCTTCGGGCATGGCTTTAAACACAATCCAAAAATATCATCACAATAATTCCAATTAAGATCAGTTGGTTTACAGGTAATCCTATCACACGTTTCGGGCTTCCTCCCTGGCACATAAACAGGATATCTACTATATTCGTCACTATCCTCATGGCCAGGATTCACAGGTCCGCGGATATTAGAATTCATATGACGACGGTGTCTATCAAACTCTGTGCTCTCTGGATGTCCAGGAGTAGAACTATTCAATGAGGTGGAGCTTTGAGATGCGTTCCTATCAAGCTGGCCCCTTCGGCTACCCATGCTGCCTGTATTAATACAAAAAACAGTGCCTAAAATGCATTCCGAAGGTGTTCCTTCATGATGTCTCATGGACAAAACCATAATACAATTAAATTATCATCATGTATTGTGTTTGTGAAATTATTACATTTTGAACAGATGACAATATTTAGAATACATTTCTTACAAAATGAAAAAGTTTAAACGCTATTATAATTTGTTGTATATTATTAGTTTTTACTGAATAGTAATACAATTATATAATACCTATTTTAATCTAAGTGCCCTGATTATTATTTATTTGTTCTTGTTGTTAAAGCAATGAACATTACTTCTCTGTTGAGTTAAATTACATTTCTTGCAAGTAGATATAATAAATATAATTCCATCTCATGACTTTAATTGAAAAATAGCTAAGGAAAATTAATTATTAATATTTGGTAATTTCTTATAGATTAAATTTTGTAAGACTTATAAAAACTCCACTGATTCATACACAATAAAGCATTGCAGAATGATTATGCCTGATCTTTCAGCTCTTCCAGTATTTAAAATAATTTACCACAATGGTCATATGGTGAAATTTTAGTTGATCCTACTCAGCATGTGAGAATAAAATTAAATAAAAGTTCTGCTGTCATTGCTGGATTAAGACACAAATGGTAAGATGATAGGTCGTGACAATGTTATTTTAACAGTTTTTGTTGTATAAATATTTTAAATAAACAAGACTTTTGTTAATAACATCATTGCACTTTATTTAAATTTAATGAGATAATAATAAGGTTAAATGCTTCATATTTACAAAAACATTCGTTTCTCTTCTGTCAACTGTACAATTACATTACTGAAGTTAATGAAAAGAATTAAAAGGATAGACATTTGATTTTTTTAAAAATGAAAGTAAAAAAGTAAAAAAGAAAAAAGGAATCTACAAACAACAATACACAATAAAGCATTGATTATATTCTTCCAGCTCTTCCAGTTTTTGAAATAATTTACCAAAATGGTCATTTGGTGAAATTTTAGTTAGTTCCGCTCAACATGTGAGAATAAAAGCTGTTCTGCTGTCAAAATTGGATTAAGACATAAATGGTAAGCTAAAACCTCCTGACAATGTTATTTTAGTCTAAGTGCCCTGATTATTATTTATTTATTCTTGTTGTTAAAGCAATGAATACATTACTTCTCTGTTGAGTTAGTTACATTTCTTGTAAGTAGGTATCACAAATATAATTCCATCTCATGACTTTATCTTCTGCCAACTGTACAATTCCATTAGTAGTATTTGAAATAATTTACCAGAATGGTCATTTGGTGAAATTTTATTTGATCCTACTCAGCTAGTGAGAATAAAATTAAATAAAAGTTCTGCTGTCATTATTGGATTAAGACACAAATAGTAAGGTGATAGCTCGTGACAATGTTATTTTAACAGTTTAATAAATAGTTTAAATAAACAAGACTTTTGTTAATAACATCATTGCAATTTATTGACATTTAATGAGATAATAACAAGGTTTAATGCTTCATATTTTACAAAGAACATTAAATTGTCTTCTGCCAACAGCACAATTCCATTACTAAAATTAAAGAAAAGAATTAAAAGGATACACATTTTGTTTAGAAAAAAAATGAAAAGTAAAAAAGCATAAAAGAAAAACCGGAATCTGTAAATCAAAGGAAATATTAAAATTCAAAATAAAAACTCTTTCCATTTAAGGCAATTATGCCAATTGGATTTTTTTTTAACAAGACTAGCATTAATTCATATTTTTATTTTAACAGGATATGTACGATTAAAATGCCTAATCTCCATAAACTATTTCAGGCATAGTTCCCATGATGGCGCTTTCATGACTAGCATTTTTATATTGCTACCAAATTGTTAAATACTTTTTTTACTCAATCAGCTAAATTAAATAATAATTTATTATTTTGCATAGTTTATGTTACACACATGCTATGTTGCGTTGGTGTCGAGAACAATACATTTAATTCTCGAACTACTTCAATAATCTTCACTAAAAGTATATAATAATTAAATATTATATTTTAAAATTAGTATAATTAGATATTTATGTTCTAGACTAATGTATGTTATTTTTTCTGTTAAATACAATTAAAATTGAATGTCTTACAAACCAAATAATTTTTTTTCCATAAAGGCATTACAAAATATATTCTTTGGAACTGATTTAACTTTTCCTCTTAAAACATATTTTATATTTATTTCTTTTCATCCTATATTAATTGTGAACCAAGTAGCCATTTTGTAAAGACTCAGTTGACTTTCCTATTCAACTTTTACTATGCGAGTTTTTTCCTTAACGAGGTTCATAACAGCAGAGATCATATCAACCCTCAACCCTCAGAGGGGGGAGGGCACTGACTCCCAAATAAAATAAATAGTTTAAGAAACAAAAATGAGCCTTAAGTAAACTTGACATGTGATGAAAAAATTAGTAAAATTTTGTCGTAAGCAGATTACCTTTTAAATTGCTTGATTTATTAAAAAATTCAGACGTTTACCATATGCAGCGTCTTTGCACAAAAGGTGCTGACATTTATGATTTATGAACTCCATGACCTAATGGTGAAAAAATTAAAATATTTAATTTATATATGCAAGAGAAAATAAATCGAGTTCTATCGTAAAACGAAAAGAAATTGCCAAAATTACTATTGCTAATTATACAATGAATAAAAAAGAACATTCAATGGTTTATAAATCAAAAGTCTATCAATTTTTATTGAAACTTGTGAACAACATATTCAAGTTGCTTTCAGTTCAGTTAAACATGAAACAGTCAACTGATGTTCATATGTTTGTCATGTTTCAACTTGAAAGGAATGACTCATAATTCGAACCGAAATCTCGACCTGAACTTTGAACTTTAGTTGAAACGACTTTTATCAATTTTTTGACACGTTTCAACAATAAAATGGTCAATGATAGGTTAGTTGAAACATGGTGTCGAAATTAGTGGTACATGAATTTGTTAGTTCGATTAAAAGATGAGATAAAAACATGTCATTTAGTTTTTTTTAAGAAACGTGGTTTTGGGGTAAAGCAATACTTTTAAGAACAAATTGATTGGAAACATCAGACTCCTTGCTGAAAGAACTCTCTTTACAGGATAAAAAGGGAAAGAGCACTTAAGAACGTCTAAAGAAAAAATTGAACTACTGCAAAAAGTACAGGATCGCCTATGGAAAGAAAATACACACAATAATATATTAAATATAAGTCGGTGATTCCAAAGGCAACAAAGCATGATCGAATTCTAATAATTTTAGCATCAAACTTCAAATCCGATTGAAGTAAAACAAAAAAAAAGCACGTGTACTGTATGTAAAAGTTGAACAGGAAACAGCCAACTGGATGTTCACATATTTCAAGTTATGTTTCACCTTGAAAGGAGCTACTCATAACTTGAACGGAAGTCTCGCTTCAAACGAAAAAAAGTTTGACTAGTTGAAACAAAACTAAAGTTGAAAAACAAAAGTTGAACCGTGAGATCGCGCCTTCAATTTACAGATTCTTGTTCAACTTGTACACTATGATGCCTATATTTATGATTAATGAATTCCGAATTATTCAACTTTTAAAAGCAGAGTGAATTACTCCCGTTAGGGAAATTTAAAAGTTCATGACTACTCTCTCAACAAGCTAAGCAACGCCTTGAAACGCGCTGTCGATACTTAAAATTCCTTTAATTTTTAAAGGCTTTTATTACGAATTCTCGATTCAAAGAAAAAGAAACACATTACATACAAAAGTCACGATAGCTCAAGTGGTAGAGCAGCGGCGAATTTAGCCGAAGGTCGTGGGTTCGAATCCCGCTTGCGACACTGACTTTTTTATCTCAACCAAAACCTTAATTAATTGAAAGGAATTACATACAAAGTTAAAAGGCTTTGGTGGGTAGAAAGTTTTGTTCCAAACACAAAATTCGGGTGGGATCGAGATCCTACTACGCCCACGCTACAACTCCAGACCGTACTCCTTCAGACTACCACGTTTCCAGCCAATGGCACACATCCTTACACATAAACGTTATGCACATTAAAATACGTAAAAACCAAAGTAAAAGACATTTTACAATTAATTAAGGTTTTTAGTTGAGATGAAAAAAAGTCAGTGGCACGAGAGGGATTCGAACCCACGATCTTCGGCTAGATACGCCGCTGCTCTACCACCTGAGCTATCGTGACCTCGATGGGGTTGAGATGGGGAGTTGATGTCCGAGTGGACATTGTTTTACCATTGAACTATGGTTCTAAAGGATACAATATTGAAAATAATTTGAAATGTAAAATTAATTGAATTTCATAAGTACAAAAATGAATATTAAATTCAAAAATAAGATAATCATTGGATTTAATTTCTTAAATGTATTATATTTAAAATATTAAAATTTTTAGTAACTCCTAATCCACTCGTGGTCCGATTCTATCGGTATTTTAGTACAGAAATTATACAGCTAAAGGCTCCAAGGACGTATGTTTCAAGTATTTAAGAGAAGGATTCTTTGAGCTACCGCCAGTCATCCAAATGATCAACCATTTCGCGGTTCTTGTGCTCAACGTGGGCTTGATTTCAGCCTCAGGACTCCGTAAGAATCAATTAATGAACTAATTCAGATTTCAGAATATTTTTTTATACTAAGTTCGATTTTAGCAATAAATGTGTGGTGTTTAGTGACCGTTAGTTTATGATTATTTGAAGATCGTGAGATGCGGTCTGGTGTGACGTACGTTTTAAAAAAACATTTTCTTTATCGTGCCAACGTTTCGATCTTTATTGAGATCATCTTCAGGGCCTGGGATTTATAAACAAAAAAACCAAATGTTAGCATTGTATAAATTCTTTTTTTTCAAATCCTACATGTATTTGTAAAATTTAAATAATGTTTATAAATCCCAGGACCTGAAGATGATCTCAATAAAGATCGAAACGTTGGCACGATAAAGAAAATGTTTTTATAAAACCTACGTACACCAGACCGCATCTCACGATCTTCAAATAATCTTCAGCAATAAATTTTTCCATCTGTCTCTTTCATTTTTTTAAATATTTTTAACACAGATTAGAACATACAACAAAGTAGAAACTTGTTAGATTTCTTACCGATGCCTCTTGATAAGCCTTTTCGAAAATTGAAATCGACCAAGCTCTAACGTCAAAAATAAATCCAGATTAAAATGAAATTTCAATAATCTGCCCTGATAGGTCGCCTAACCTTTGATCCTAACTTTAATGTTATTTTAAATTGTAATTTGTACCGCCAATATGTACTAGTTTTCACGTATAGTAAATTCTTTGTCTATGTATATATACTAATTGTATCATGTTCGTTGTTGTACAAATTATTAATAGATTTCCTTGTCCAACTGATAAAATTAACTATTTGAGTATCATTTTCATATTTTCGAAATCCCTCGTAGTCTTTAGTCCACCAGAACTGATTGAAAATTGCTAGAAGTGCCAGGTCTTCTTACTTGTAAAAAGTCAGCATTTTTCCTTATAAAGAAGCAACAATCTTTTATCTTCAAAACCCATGAGCTGTTTTCACCTAAGTATCTATTTTAATTTTAATGTGTAGAATTCAGTTTCGATTAAAACATTGATTTTCCCATGATACACGGTTTTTGTTTTGGGTTGGTCACCTACTCCCCGGAAAAATAATATACCGATCCTGCCAAGCATACCATTCGAAAGTTTATTAAACGAAGCAGTTTTTGTCAAATTCACCCATCTCCAGGAGGTTTTATCACAGCGTAGTGAATTTTTCAAATTCTTCAAAGATCTTTCAATGCTTAAATTGTATAGATTTGTGCCGGCGAGAAGGCTGTCTGACTTAGAAGATTCAAGTAGATGGCACATACTTAAGAAAATTTAATGTAGTTGTTAAATGATTATTTGGAGATCGTAAGGTCTCGGTCTGGTGTGACGTAGGTTTTAGAAAGTAAGTAATTTAAGTAGTGTTTAAAATTGACCTCAATTTTGATGGAAATGCATCGGTAATGGAGAAAATCCGTTTATCAATGTGGCAAGTCCATCTTTGTCCGAAAAATATTTTTACAAATCGTGTCTTCTAGATGGAGTGAATTAGAAAACCAGTTTTTGCGTCTTTTCCATTTATATTCTAATATCGACCAATATTGTGCTTGCATCTCATATCAAACCGCCCTGTGTATTGAAGAAATGTAGTTTTAAAGTTAAAAAAGTTATTGAAAAATTATTGAAAGCTAGATAACTATACATAAACGTTTGTAGCTAAAGAAAACAAAAAGCAAAGCAAACCATCTTTTCAAAAATGTCAATTTGTAGACATCCTAAAGATTGTTTTGCCCTGATGATGACCTTAAAATAGGTCGAAAGCATGGCAGTAACAATTGAAATTGTTTTTCATCCACATTTCATGCTTAAAACGCCAGAAAAAAGACAGCAAAAATAAATAAAAAATACAATATCTTAGCGATTGACAAATTAACGCTCATAATAACATTAAGCATAGAAAAGTACCCCTGACGAAATATAAATTTACACGAGGTCTTTAGGAGAGGTTATCTGTATGAAATTGATGACAAACATCGTCTATTTTTATGATATACAATATAAATTATGTTAGAACCTATTATTTGTAGGATTCGCCATTGTAAGGATAGTCCATAAGAGATATATTCTCAGGACACAAAAATTTATTTTTGAAAAAATAAACAAAAGAACTAACAAAGTTCGGACCCTCAAACAATAATAATCTGCTCGATATGTCTGCTTATGGGCCGAATTTCGTAAGAATCTCCGACTTTGTCTACCTAGATAATTCTGTATTTTCCCAGAAAAAATTTAATGTTCGTACATCAATGGAAGTCAGTTAAACAAAATCAATAAATCGATAAAACTAAATTCAAAAAATGGAAGCCGATTCGCCCTGGCCTTAGAAAATACACGCTAATCAAAACTATCCTATACTTTGTGGGACAACATTATCTAATTTAAAAATATTGTAGCAGTGATCTTTTATAATTATTTTAAACTATTAATCATACTTTAGACGCGATGTCGATTAACGTAGTAATTTAACCGTTAAGAAATTACCAGGTCTAATTAACGGTCTTGGGAACATTTTCAAGGTTTTCACAAGGAATCATAATACTTAAGACGAAGAATTTTAAAAATAAACCAATTAAATTAAGTAATCGTTTAATACATGCTCAGTATTCTGCAAATTCATAAGTTTTACATATATTTATTTATTTATTTATTTACGGATCGAAATCCACTATAAAAAATACATTTTACAATAACAAAAAATATAAATAATATATGTAAAAATACAAATAATATATATAAAAAGAATAAGGACGTATATACATGGTAATAATATAAATGGTAAATATAAATGATAAATATAAAAATACAATTAAAGAGTAAAAATTGAACAACAAAAATGAAAGACATACAAAATAAAGCTGAAAGACAATTGAAACTACAATAATTAGGTACATATTTAATGAAAATAATGCTCTTTATAAATATATAATAAGACTAGAGTGCGAGAATTAGTTGAACCAGTAAATGAAATAAATTGTAATAATTTTGTACAGTATGAAATATAAAAGCATTCAACTAAGGTTGTAGGATATGGTTTTTCACAGATTGCACAGAACTATTGAAGAAGTCAATGCTATTGCAGATGTTGTTACTCTTGATCATCATTCTGTGTAGAGGAGAAGAGAGCATGTAGTTAGAGCTTTGGAATTCAAAATAAAATAATTTATAGGTTTTAAGAGAGTGCGAAGGGACATGTAGCTGTAGTTGACAGAGGAGAGAAGGACTATCAATGAGATTGTTTAATAATTTAAATACAAAAACAATATCAAAGTATTCTTCCTTCTTAGTGCCAGTTCGAAAAGTTTAAATTCAGAGCGGATTTCAGGGTAGGCAGAATTCGGAGGAAGATTGAGTTTGTAGGAAAGTTTTTTTTTTTTAATTTGTTTTGTACAGATTGAAGAATTTTTTGATAATTTAGATAGAATGGGTTCCAAACAGGTGTAGCATATTCTAGTATAGGTTGTACCAAAGCTTTATAAAGATGGATAAAACATAGAGGATTTTTAAATTCATAGGTGCTCCGGATGATGAAACCTAGCATCTTCATAGATCTATTTTTTATTGAAGAAATATGTTCTTTAAACTGGAGCTTTTGATCAAAAAGTACACCAAGATCCTTTACGACCTCAACTCGCGTTAAAAGAGCATCATGGAGAGTATAGAGATAAATAAAAGGTTGTTTCTTATGAGAGAATGTAATTGTGTACCATTTGAAAACATTAAGAGCAAGTTTGTTATTAGAGCACCAGGTTAACACATTATTGATAGAATTTTGAAATTGTAAGCAATCAGAAGGAGAAGTGATTTTGGAATAGATTTTCAGATCATCAGCAAATAATAAAAAATGAGCAGAAGGGAGAGCAAGATGCATATCATTAATAAATAAGAGAAACAAAACTGGTCCAAGATGAGACCCTTGCGGGACTCCTGAGGAAGCCGCAAAGGGACATGATTTAAATGATTTTATTTTGACTATTTGTTTTCTGTAGGAGAGAAAGCTGGATAACCAATTCAAGATAGTTCTGGTGAAACCATAATCCATTAGTTTCCTTAACAGTATTGTGTGATTTACTTTATCAAAAGCTTTAGAAAAATCAGTATACACTGAGTCTACTTGGTGTCCAGAGTTTATTGCATCTAAGATGTAATTTTGAAATGTGAGCAGGTTAGTAACAGTTGATCTATTAGAGCAGAAACCATGTTGCTGAGGTATAATAAAAGATTTAATGTTGTTTTTAAGTTTATTACAAATAATAGAATCAAATATCTTGGAGAACATGGATTGAATAGATATTGGTCTGTACTTGAAAACATTAGATCTATCGCCAGCTTTATGTAGAGGAATGGCAAAAGTGCTTTTCCAAGCATTGGGGAAAATACCAAATTTGTACATAATCAACGATCTATAAGACTAGAAAATGGAATTTACTCAAACCACTTTGTAGGCATAGTTTGGACCTATAGTTTGATCATCTTTGATCATCCTGCTCTACATATGAGTGGTTTTGTCTGTCAGATGATTTCATCATCTTCTGGTTAGCCTCTTGCAAGATATCCAAAAAATATAACAAAACCAAAAAGAATAGGCTGACCTGGATGATCGAGGGTTATCACTACAATGTTTTAATTTTTTTTCAATTAATTAATCTTTATGTAAGGTATTAGTTGAGATATAAAAGTCAGTTTCACGAGCGGGATTCGAACCCACAACCTTCAGCTAAATAAGCCGCTGCTCTATCACTTGACCTGTCGTGGCTTCAATCTACTCGGACACCAACTTTCCATTTCCGAATTTTCCCTCCTTTTTGACATTTTTCAACTTTTTTCTCAACCAATACCATACATAAAGATTAATTAATTGAAAAATGTTATTTGGTCAATCGGACCACAAACTCTAATGGTTTTAAATTTTATTTATTTTGACTTCATAATACATAATAAAAATATTTTGATTTCTCAGCACCATGGATCAAACCATGCAAGGTGGGGCCTAAATTTGACGAGTGCTCAATAAAGAATGGAAAATTTGCCATGCCATATATAATGAAAGGTAAATTCAATTTTTACTACATTGTATCAATGAAAAGTCATTTGTTATAATTATAACTTATAACACAAAAAATATTTTATAACATTCCAGCAAATTCTCAAAGTAAAAATTATTAAAACAGTTAATCAAATTAGTTTTTCATTTGTTGTGTTATTATGAATTATATTTCTTGAAACTACACTTAATAGCCTCTAGTAATTAGTATTAATTGAATTGCAAATTATTTTTTCCTATTTCATCATACAATTCAATTTGATACATCTTGCCATATGACCTTGGTTTACCAAACATATTAATGTTTCCAAACAAAATACATTTTGTCATAATTTATATTGATTTCAGGTGATCCGAAGTATCAAGTGCCCACCATGGACCCACTTTTTATACCAGAACTTTCCATTACTGAAGATCAATCGAAGAGCATCGCTATGAATATTACTTTGAGAAATACTGAAATTCGTGGGCTAAGGAACAGCAACTTCGTCAGTTCCAAGTAAAGAAATATATTTGAAAAAGAAGAAGTCATCTTCCCTTAAATGTGATTTCATCCTCATAACCTCACAATAATGCTAATAAAGTTAAGGTTAAGGATAAAAAGAGTCCTTACCAAAACCAATATTTATTTATTGCAGGAACTTCCCACAATTATACATTTTATACTTTTAATCATTATAGTGAATTACCTTAATGTAATTTACAATAACTTTTTTCAAATTAGTCTATTGTGTGATCTCTATTAATTTCTAGGGTTCTTCGTTAAGCTTAATGCTTTTTATCAGTCTCCCTTGTTGCACATGTTTCATCTTCTTCTTCTTGGCAACATCAGCACAGGCTTGTTTCTGCCGTTCCGAGTTGTACTCCCATAGTGACCTGTAGTTTATACCTAGAACCTCCATAGTATGCCATGTAGTCAGCAGTTCTATTGTTTTTCTAGTCCTAACCTGTCCCAGGTTAGTAGTTCAGCCATTAGATTCTTCAACAATCCATTGTTAAACTTTTTTGCATGCCTCTGTCTTGGAATACAGACCCATTGAATCTAGAGCATAAACTAAAATGTGATTTTAACCCCTCAGCCTTGCAACAAAACAAAACACATAAACAAATATAATTCACAACAGTGCCATGTGTGAATGTATTTTTAGGCGTGAATGGTATGGTTTAACTAAGCAGTTAAGCTAATTTGTATAAAGATTTCGCGTAGTGTGAAAGGTGCGTGAGTCTGAATAATACTAAAACCATAGTGGTTCCCCCAACTTTTAATTGAATGTATGGTTTGACAGATTCTGTAATGTAATGTATTTATGTGAATGATGGGAAGACATCGGGGTTATGAACACACTCCTAGACTCACAACTGTAGGTTTAGTTTAAATATCTTTTATATTAATTTGTTGAAGTTGTGAGGAACAGTCATAACTGAGATAGTTGAAGAAAAACACCTTTTTCTTTTTTTTTCTGATGTTTTGACCTTTATTTGGGTCATCTTTATGGCATAAAGTGTGGTGCTATTCTTGTGGTGTCATATTTGTCACAACACTATCACACAAAACCAATATACCCAAATAAAGGTAAAAACATCAGCAAAAAAATGAAAAAGGTGTTTTTCTAAACCATCTCATTCTTGGCCGCTCCACACAACTTCAACAAATTATGAAACAACAGGTCACTGAGAAACACACACTTTTATATTAATTTTAGGGGCTTGTCCTTCAAGTACTCTGAGTCACACCAAACTTAGGTTATTGTTTGTAATACCCTTTATGAATGTAATGATTGGCATGAATGATAGGAGGACTCCAAGGTTCTGAACAGCCTACCAGCATCCCAACTATAGGTTTAGTCTTCACATACTTTTATATTAGTTTTAGGGGTGAGTTCTCCTAGTACTTTGAGGATCCCACCAACCTTAGATTAGGTTATTATTTATGTAACTTGAATTAGGACTACATAGCAATGTGTGATTATATTTGAGCACAAAGAATTCAGCATGTCCTAGAAGGGAAGGATTGCCTGGTCTTTCTTCGTGAATGCTGGCCAGCAGATACTTGTAATAAGGAAAAAAGTGAGGTGAAAAAAATGTTAGACATAGTAAAAGATAAAATAATAATAAAAATAGTAAAAGCTGTATATAAGGAAAACATATTATTTGAATGATTTTACAATTACACACTTCAGTTCATACAAATTATGATGACCACCATTTTTTCTCGTCAATTTCTAGCTCCAACAACCATACAGAAATATTGCTCCCAAGAGAACAAGTGCAACTCTTCTGTACAGTTAAAAATTAATTAATATTACTGTAATAAATAAATAGAAAACATCCCCCACTGTAAAATGTCTGAGCTATATTGCATAATTCTTTTATTAGTTCGATGTCTTTGAATTTTTTTAAACAGTAAAATATTTATTTGTTTTTTATCATAGATATGATGCTCAAAGAAAACACTTTGAATGGGTATTTGATAACTTGGACTTGCAACTATTTAGTGATTATAAAATCAGTGGAAAATTTCTTCTTTTACCAATCGTTGGAAACGGCCATACAACAATCACTATAAGTAATGCCATTAACCAAAATGTTTTATATGTTTATTAATTATATCATTATTTACAGAGGATGTCAAGTTGATGGTTTATATTGATTACAAAACGGAGAAAAGGAATGATGAAGATTATGCAGTTATAAAAAACCTAGACATTAAATATACAACAAAAAGATTGACAATCAATCTTGAAAACCTGTTCAATGGTAACAGGGAGCTAGGTGAGAATAGACATCATTCAAAATAATATTGATTGAGTAATTCAAACATGTATGTTTTAGGTAACAACATAAATGGTCTGATGAACTTAAATTGGAGAGAACTGAATAATTCTCTTGGGCCAGGCGTAACTAAAGCCATAGCAATTTACTTGAAACAAGTACTCGATAACATACTCAAGACAGTTCCTGTGAAAGAAATTTTCCTATAAACCTACTGTCAATTTCATTCATTAGTTTAACAAATTTTTGTTTAATTATAAACCTTTTGAACTTGTCACATAAATTACTAAAAGATATGTTTGAACTTGTATAAACACAAATTACAACTAAATTTTTGTACAAAGTTTTTTTCATAGAAAGAAAACATTAACATAATTATTTCAATATGTTATTTACATGAACATAAATTGAAAAAATTCACAATCTCAATCATTTTGAGATAGCTTTATTTTAATATACAATCTCAAAATGACTGAGTTTTCTACACTTGTAACATTTCTCCTGCTGCGCAATTCTTCTTAGAATAAAGACAAAGGTACAAAGAAGGCGAGGAAACTATTCAGTGTCGTGAAAAAAAAGTGATAGGTAGATGAGGTCATAGTATTCTCGAACTAGAAGCTATCTAGTACAAGAAGAGAACAAGATGATCATGAAAATACTCAAGGATAATACAAATTCACTAATTTCGTGGTCCGCTTGACTAATTAATATATTACAATTAATTAATGTTTTTAGTTGAGATAAAAAAAGTCAATGGCACGAGCGGGATTCGAACCTACGAATAAAAATGGCAAAAAGGAGGGAAAATTCGAAAGATAGATTGAGATGGGAAGTTAGTGTCCGGGTGGATCAAGGTCATGATAGCTCAAGTGGTAGAGCAGCGGCGTATCTAGTCAAAGATTGTGGGTTTGAATCCCGCTTGTGCCATTGACTTTTTTATCTCAACTAAAAACATTAATTAAGATAATACAAATGTTCAATGCTGAGCTAAACTGGCAACAACAAAGATAATAACAGTTCCTTCAAAAAGATTAAATCTATAATATTTATTCATAACAGTTTAACAATATTAAAGAAAAATGTTATTAAGGTTATACGGAATTAACCTCTTTACTGCAGACACCAGGGTCTATTATGCAATTCTCAATTATTATCCAGAGCTTTTTATTAAACTAGGATTTTTATCAGATCCCAAATCTTTGTTAAAGTCTCCCCTGTGTATTCTTCAGGTTTTGCCTTTTCCTCAGGCAGGAATCCCAGCCTGGATATTAGCACCAACAGAAGACATGTTCCGCTGTTTCTTCTTATTGCTAGCAATATCTGCATAGGGTTGTTTCTACTGCTCCGAGTCTGTACACACAGCCTCCAAAATGGCTTTCGTCTTCTTCACCATCACAATAATGTTGATTGTCTACCGGAAACTCATGAAATGTTCACACTGAAAACAAGGCAAGTGCTCTCCAAAGAAGTAGAACATTCTATCTCAAAAATTTAATTCATAATTTATCACATCTTTGATTGAAAATCGGGTATCATTTAAATAAGTAAATACAATCCCATTGAGCCAAGATCATTTTCTTAACCTGACTTCTGTAGGTAATATATCAAGTGTTAATCAGTTTCTTCTCTTATTTTCCCTGATTGATTCTCAGTAATTTTAATATTTGGCATTGCTGGCATCATTTGGCCAGTTTCATGTTGTTTTTGGTGCTACTATGTACCACATGTTTAATACCACTGATATCTCCAGAACCTTTCTAAGATGTAGATGGTTTCATCAGTTTCAATTTTGGGATGTAAATTTCTTATCCGTTGATTTTATCATTCACCATGGATAGACTTTTCGCTGATTATTATTTGTTTTTTAATCATCTAATCTTCATTATTTTGATTAGGACTTGATAAATTGTTACACAGGTTTCTTAGCATTTTTGTATGTTTCCATCCGATAAGAAACTCTTTGATCCTTTCTCGTTCTAGCATGTAATGGTATTTTTTATTTATTTTTGTATGCAAGGTACTTGGACATTTTGATAAAGCAATACAATGCTGATTGTAATTTACAAATAAATGTCTGATTTTTGATATAGAGACACAAAATAAATCAATGTCATTACAGTTAGCAAGACGACAAACTCTTTCAATAGGGTCATAATAGAAATAGTTACAATAATGAAAGGGAATATAAAACAAATTATTCCTTGTACTTTTGCCAGAGACATTTAAATAAATTATATTTAACAATATGGTGTCAACTTGGTTGTTCACAGTTTTGAAAAGGAAAATTAAGTCATAGATCCTTCTTGCTTCCAGAGATAACATGGAAAATTTGGTTTGTAACACAGCATAGGCTGCTTGGGATTTGGATTATTTAAAATTTTTGTGAGCTATTTTCTTTTTCACTATGAGATCTTTTAATGTTGGTGAAAAATATTTAGGGTATTTAAATGTACGAGTAGGAACAAATTTTGCAATCGGGGAGTTTAGAATTTCATAAAAACTCTGAGCATTAGTGTCAAGGTCTATGGAATAATAATTATTATTATTTTATTATTATCCTCGCACAAACTCACAATCAGATTTAAGAGAGTAGGTTGGTCCTCATCAGGATTCCCTTAGAATATTGATGCATTGTCCAACGCTGCTTGATACAATCAATTTAGGCATATCAAGATCAATGTTAAAATCAATGTTGATCAGTTCTCTTCTCAACCAGCAAAGTGGAGGCTTCAGTAGCAGTACTTTGAACTTTCAGAACATCTATTAATGTAACGGTGTTGATGACTGCATATGATCCTCAATGGATCCAAATAATTCCTAAAAATTTTCCATATTAAAAAGAGTTTCTAGGTTGATTCTCCATATTAATTTTCTTTAAGCTTTCAATCGCTGAAATTTCTTCTGATTGAAATAAACTGTGATATCCCTTCTAACTGTGAATTTCCGTAGTTTTGTAAGTTCAGTATTGTAAATCCAAAAAGTTGTCAACTTGCTTTCTGTACTGTCAATTTTATTTTACACTCTACAAATTTCCTTCAGGTTGACAGTTTCATAAACTCATCCAAATTTAAGTTACTATCGATATTTTGAATGTTCATTGTTCTTTTATCTTACATAGTGTTTTGATTTGATTAAATAATTAAAAAACTAGAGATTAAGACTGCAAACTAAATAAAAAAACTAAATAACTGTTATGTCATTGTTCTTCCATTGTTTGTTCAAATTATTTGGGCATTGATAATTGTATCTGTTATTTACAAATCAAATTGTCTTTTATTTTTTGGCTTATTTGATTCTGCATGTTTTTTTGCACATTGAATTTCGTTTAGTAGTGAAGCATGTCTTATAGAATTTGGTGGGTCATATCTAGTAGTACTCTGTACATTTGGAGGACTGTTCCAATAACCTGTTTGACGTCTAGGGCTTGGACCTGATAGAAAAGGTGTCCTTGGTTGTGGAGCTCTTGAATCCATATATCCCTCAAAGGTATCTCTCCTTCTTGGCATATCATCGTCATCATAATCCAAATGCGGTACATTGAATTGCATCTTTCGTTCACGTTGAGCACTTATAAATGGATTGTAAAATTGAGCCAGGCTATTTGGCCTATAAGGACTTATAATTGTTTCTTTTTCTCCATCGTCAATTTCTATACCCCTCCTGTGACTGTATGTATCTTTCTGAGGGTTAGCTCTTGGGATGGAACTGTAATTATTTATGTATCGTAGGTCCTTTGTGCTAGGATTATGCTGTATTTGACTTTTATCATAAATGTGTGGATTATACTGATACTCCTGATACTGATTTTTAGGAGAAAAATTGTTCACAGTCTGAAACATTTTTTCTTTGTGTTGTACATTATATTGTGGCACAGGTAATCTTTGGCCATTGTGATGTTGATAATTTGTTAAACTTTTTTGTGACCAATTATTTCTATTGAGTATTCCTTGACCCACTTTCTTTAGTTCGCCCTGAATATTAGCGTTCCCAGGAACAGTAACAAGCCACGGTTTATCACCTTGTGGTGTCATATGCTTATTTACATCATTATTCAACTTTCCATCTGTATTTTTAGTTAAATTAACCATGGAATTCGGAAATTTGCTTGGCGATATCTGTGCATTCTGTTTTGAATTTTTTGCACTATCACTGGGATAGTTTGAATCATCATTCTTTGTAAAACCTTTATTTATGTAATCAGTGTTGCCATTTCTTTTAAATCCAGAACTATTAGCAGTTTCGGTGTTTCTTAAATCAGAAATACGCCTCGCACTCTCATAACTATGTGGGAGAATTAGCACACTTTTTTCTTCCAAGTCATCTACCCAGTTACTGTAGAATGCCAATCCTTGTTCAAGTCTTCTTTCTCTATCTTGGCGTGTTTCACGAGTAACGGTTTTGACATTTTCTTCTTCCTTGTCATTTTTGTCTTGGCCTTTACCAAATACAACCTTTCCTTCATAATGCTTGCAATCTTTGCATGGTTTCACCACGTTAGTTCTAATTGGTGAAACCTCGTGCGTGCGTTCATGAGACTTCCTTATTTCAGAAGCCCAGTGTGTATTTGAAGGTCTAGAATTTTTCTCTCTACTTTTAGGATGGCCTGTGATTGAATTCATTTAAGTTTCAACACCATTTCAATTATTTAAAAATGGTTTATAATGATTTTATGGATCTGTATCTGTTTTGTGTCAGTCTAGATGTTATAAAAGAATAGGTGTAACAATTTTTTTTTAATCTCTAACAGATGGTGAAGATACTCTGTATGTATCAATTCAATTTTTCTTAAGATGTCATTCTTAATTTTTTTTTTGTTGAAACAGATTCAATTTTAAGTATATTTCCTTTGCGTATTTGTGTATTAATAAGTGTCTTAATTTTTGTTGTACTGTATCTAATTCCTGAGATAATAGATCCTCAATTGTTGTTTATTCTTCTTTATCTAAAATTATTTGTTAATATGTTACTTGCTCATTTTTTTTTACACAATGTTTCTTTCACATAATATTGTTTTTATCATAAATCAAGCTTAAATCAAAACCTTTTTAATAAGCTTTGACCGTACATTATTTATATCTAAACTCACACCTGATAAAGATTTTGTACATTCAGTCATGTGCTGAAAATTCACTACCTATCTAAAAATGCATATCAAAAATTGATCTGTACTCTCAACATTTTCTAAACTACAAAATATTTTTAGCCAATATGAACAAAATTGTCAATATCATTGATTACATTAAGCTTAAGATAGTTTTTGTAAAAAATTCCTTGTCACATTTGTAGGCCAATTTCCTTTAATGTTGAAATTTGTTGATTTTATCACAATGTCAAAACAGACTGTTCTGTACTGGAATAATTGTTATGGGATAGACATAAATTGTAGTTAATATTATTGAAAATAAGCCTGAAGTCACATCTAATTATATCTGTACAATCCCTTAATGCTTCAAGGGGCTCGGTGGCCACATCGGTGAGCATTGGCACTTGGGTGACTCACTATGAGGGTCCTAGGTTCAAATATCTTGCAATTTTTTTTCTTTTTTAAACAAAGTCAGCTTAGTTGATATGACCTCTGCTGTCATAAACCTTCGAAAAAAATTAATAATTAAACAAGATTTGAGGAATTTATGGTATTAAATTTTAAAAAAATTCTAATTCAAACTAGACAGGCCTAAATATTTACTTAAGGTAACATAAAATGCTTAGAAAACCAGAACTACTAGATTTGAGGGATTTATGTTATTAAATTAAAAAAAGAAATCTAACTCAAACTAGACAGGCCTAAATATTTAAGGTAACATAAAATGCTTAGAAAACCAGAACTACTAGATTTGAGGGATTTATGTTATTAAATTAAAAAAAGAAATCTAACTCAAACTAGACAGGCCTAAATATTTAAGGTAGCATAAAATGCTTAGGAAGCACAACTTGTTACATAAACCTAAAACTTTGCGTATAACAACACGAGGGGAAAACTTGAAAATTCTTTCTCTTTATAGACACGCTTCGTCTGAAAAAAGATCTGACAACCAACGAGTTTAATAAGTCTTCAGACTTCAGGGTACAACTGAAAACTTGAATATAATCGACAAAAGCCGTTTTTGAGCTGTTGCAATCAAAATTACCTTTTAATATGACAAACGCTGTATATATTGACAATTCCATTTTATTATTATTTAAATTATTGCAAAACTTCGAATATTAAGTCCGATTACGTCTAAAAGGCATTAAACTCTCTCGGGCCCCTCGTGTTTTTTTTTTTGTGTTTTTTTTTTTTGTCATGGTAAAATGATCCCGAGACTGCAATTTTCAAACTTTCCAGCTTATTTTTCTAATACCGGAACTGTTACATTTGAAGAAATTGTGATATTAAAAGGAAAATCCTTCTAGGTCATACTAGACAAGTTTTAACATTTACCCAAAGCATCATGAAATGCTTATTAAGCGCAATGATTTACGTAAAACTTAAATCTTTACATATAACATCCATATCAAACCCAAAATTTATGAAATTTCTAATGCGAATGGCCGGGTACACATGTTTTATTAACAATTTACAATTTGAAACCTGACTTATTTTTGTAAGCACTTCAAAAATAAAAAGTACTAAAAGTGTATTATTAACGACGTGACGATAAAATTTTCAAAATCACGTGACAACTGCCTGCTTCGTCGGCCGCTTATATAACGCCAGTTAATCCGGAATACTTCGAGTTTTTGGGCTTTGAACTTAGACGTGTTGTTTCAAGTGGTAAGTTCCAAGTTTTATCGTTAGTCCGAATTTCAGGTCTTGCTTAAAACCCGAAAAAATATTTAAGGTCGATCAGATACATTGATATTATTTTCATTTAAATACATTTTTAGTAAATGATAAATTTTATTCATCATCGTAACTTTTTCTATTTATTTACAAATACAGGCTAAATAGCCTACTTTACAAACGAAATAGAAAAATATTACCCTTAATAAACATATGTTAAAATAAAACAAAATATAAGCTGTATAATTGAAAAATTGAATTTTAAACGCAGTTCAGGGCAGGAAACAACTTAAGTCCTCCTCTCTTCTATAGCACCCAACAGTACACTAAAAGATAAAAACCGGAACTTGTACTTTGTTTATTTGAAACTATATGAATTTTTATTTTTGTATTAATTAAAACATACTTATTTTAAAGAATTATGAATATACTTTAATGTATCCCCTCGTGATATCAACGGCTCCATTATTTTTGTCCTAAAGTTAAAAATCTCAGTATTATTTTTAACTCTAAGCTTACATGGCATGACCGTGTAAGCTCTATTGTTAAAAAGATCTTATCAAGTCTCCATTCTCTTCGAGCCTTAGCTTTTTCACTCTACAGAAAACTAGAGTTCTCCTCAATAAATTCTTTATTCTCTCACCTTAGACCAATGGTTCCCAAAGTGGTCCCTAAGGACCCCCAGGGGTACCCGGTATCATTCAGGGGGTCTAGCGAAAATTAAAATTGATTGAGGGGTTTCTGAACATCAGGGGGTCCGTGCAAGGTTTAATATAATATAAATAATAATATAAAATAATATAATATAAATAATATATAAATAATAATATAAATAATAATTCACTAATTTCGTGGTCCGCTTGACCAATTAATTGTAATAAATAATAATATAAAATAATATAATATAAATAATAATATAAAATAATATAATATAAATAAATGACATAGCCTGTATGACAGATTTAAATTTGCCAAATTTAACAAAACTACAAGGTGACCAATTAAATTTAATCCAAACTCAAAGCGTAATATCTGCGTTTGTTGCATAACTTTTTTTTGTACAAACAAAACTTGGGAAGAGGAGAATGTTCTCAGTTTCCAAATCTTTCGAAGTTGCAAATTAGAGATGAAGATTTGCTTCCTTACTTTCAACACTTAACAGCTCTTCATACAGACCTGAACCAAAGATTTGAAGACATTGTTGACAAACTCAATTTCCAAAGAGATGAATCCATACTAATACAGGAGCAGCTTATTGAAATATCCACAAATGACGAACTTAAACCAATGTTTGAACAAGGATACTACAAATTCTGGTTACAAAAACAAATGCCCCCCCCCAAAAAAAAAAGGCTGAGCTTTCGGTGGTTTATTTCATCATCATCAGGGCTTCACCCATTGTGATGAAGAGAAATGAATAACAAGTTACATGTGAACAATTCAGAATATTTATGCCCAACATTGACATTAATGCCCAACATGCAATTAATGGTGAACCGTTTATTTTTTTTTAATCTTCTCAGGTAGTCAGGTACTGTATAGAAAACCAGATTCTCAGTCTGGTTTTTACTTAGAATGAATTATCTACTCAAGGATTAGTTTTCCTGTAATTGAGAATCTTTCTGCTTCCTCCATAGCATCAGAGTTTTTAAAGTTAAAGTTAGAGTTAAAGGAAAAAATCCAAAAAAAATGAAAAACCCTGTTTCCTTTTTTCTCTTTCTGCTTTTCTTTTAGTGTAGTTTCAACATTTGATTATAAATAATTAATATATTAATTAATATATTATTGTCATTATTGTTTTGTATATTTTGTTATGTTTTATTATTATTATTGTTGTTATTATTATTTTACTATTTTTATTATATACTGTCTGAGAATATGATCTGTGTACCTTTCAAATTTCTCTTCATCAGTTCTTGTGCACAGAGTTGGGTTGCATAAACCTCAGCTTGGAAAATTGTTGGGATTAGTCCAACAGGTTTTGCTAGGTATAATTTCGTCATTTTACCCCCTATAGCTACTCTCTGTTCGATCTTTGATTCATCCATGTACCATATTAGGGCACATTCCAGCAACTTGGGCTTTGTTCCAAAGATCTTTGCGATCTATGACCAGTTGGAGGGGTCTGTCAAAGTTGAATTTTCCTCCCATTTTGTTAGGTACATTATAGCCATATTATTTATTTTAATTCTTTCCAGAATTTTGTGATGACTTCTCCTTACATCTGACTTTATTTCGTTGTATCTCAGGATAAGGCAAAGCCACCTTTTGTACATAAATATGTAAGGGTGGTAGGTTGAGTGCAGTTTCCATCATTGTTTAAGGGTTGTTATATTAAGACAATTATCTTTGTAGTTGTTATTTTTTTTTGTGTGTACCCTTGTTCATTGTTTGTGGCCACCATACAAGAGGTCCATATATGACCAGGGTTTGTGGTTAACCAACCGTTGTGGTGTATAACCAGTATGCCATCCTGGGATCATTCTCCCGTTTTTCCTGCATAATCTGACCAATGCAGAATTTTCCCTAAATGTTTTTTCTATTTGAGCTTATGGTCAAGTATTTCTACCTAGATACCTTGTTTCTTTGGAGAAAGTTAATACATAGAGAGAGATATGTTTAGGGTTATGTTTATGTTTAAACTTGTGGCGACCTTAGCAACTCTGGCAGATCACACTCACTTGTGTCAACACCAGCACTTTTATATTGTAAGTTTGCAAATATACAGATGTACAATACGCTCTATTTTACTTGTTATAAATCTCATCCTTCATTTGTATTCCCTCCGTATACCACCTTCCTTCAATATTTAGAAGTTTTGAATCTGATTTGACAGAATATCATTGAACTTCCCATTTTTGATTGTTACCTTGTTTCATGTCTTGTTATCAAAAATTTTATTTACATCACTTTATGGAATGTTTTATGTAAAGGTATTTGATTTGTTGCAGCTAACAATGAGTAATTCAGACTGGAGAGATTCAAACAAATCATTGTCGGAGAAGATAAAACACATATTTCAAACATTTTTATACACTGATGTAGTACTTGTTGTTTGCAATGGGACTGAGAAAAAGGTGAAATAAAATAGTAAAACAATTCAAGACTGATATTCATTTCCATTAATTAACTAAATTTAATTGGACAGGAATTCAAAGTGCACGAACTGATTTTACGTTTGGCGAGTAATGTCTTTGATGTAGCATTAAACGGCCCGTTTAAAGAGAGTTCAACAAAAACTATTGAAATACATCAAATTGATCCTGAGATCTTTAACTTATTTTTGGAGTAAGTATGTAAACTAGTTTTGTTGCTAAATGATTTTATTGCAAAAAAAAAGTAGAAATCTGAAAACTTAACCCATAGGTTCATTTATTTTGACAAAGTGCTCCTTACATCTGTTGAACAATCGATAGAGCTGTACAATGTTGCACATAGATATATGACATTACCTCTAAAAGAATTCTGCTTGGACTACATCAGGACAAGTCTTGACACATCCACAGCATGCTTAGGGATTGAATTTGCTGAGTTTTTCATCATTGAAGATCTCAAGTTGGACTGCTTAGAAGTATGCTACTAGATTTGATAAATCCTCCTTTTTAACCTGTAGTTTTATTTTTAATGATTAACTTAATAAACTAAACAATTATTTTTGTTAATTAAGATTATTCAAGAAAGGACGGAATGTGTAGTATCAAATCAAAACTTCCTAAATGCGACAAAAGAAACTGTGATAACAATTTTAAGCCAAGATTCATTGAATATTAGGGAAATTGAACTGTTTAAGGCTATTGAAAAGTGGATCAGGAATATGGTGAGCAGAGAAGGTAAAGGCAAAAATTATTGTTAAAATAAATATTATAAACTATAAATTAAAATAAAGATGTTCCAAAAAAATAAAAATAATAATAGACGATTCACAAAATTTTCTCCAGGTGAGCAAATAAAGCAAGATCTTTGCAATACTGTCGTAACCAAAATACGTTTTTTGAACATGACTCCTCAGGAATTCACAGAAGGTCCGGTTATTAGCGGCTTGCTTAAAGATAATCAGTGGCCACCGATTCTTGCTCATCTTGCTTCGGACGAATGCCCTCTAGCATTCCCTGAAGGGTTTGACAGAAACTATCGGTGCCAGTTTGATCACTCAAATTCAAACTTGAGTGAATATGGGCGGATAACTCCATACAGGTGTAACTACGGACCCACGTACCATCACAACAAAAAGCATTTAAGGAAAAGAGAATATCCTTGATTCCAACTAAGACATTTATCGGAGATGATCGAGATGAAAAGCTAAAGTACAATCTAATGAGAAAACAATCTTCAGTGATGTTCTAAATAACCTCAATGAGATTTTTCAACAATGGGAATTAAAAAAGTCCATATTACAAGTTGAGAGGCTTAAACAAAAATTGTAGATTATATATTGGCAAGAAGCTGTCTCATTCCTCATATAAGGGGCCTATTTTTTATGCAATAAATATAACATACCACTTAGATGAGTAATTTTTTGTTTTCTATCACATCAAAACAAAACAAGATATCCTAACATTTTAATTGATAAATAAAAAAGGTTTAATGTGACAATGCATGCAATTTTAAGTGTCTCCTAAATTTTTAATACATTGGTTGTTACCAATCATTTTGGTCTACCTATTCTCACTAGTTAGTCTCAGATGGGTTTCAGCACATCGCCTTCTTCAGTGTTGGGTCTGAATGATTTTATGAAGTCACAATGGCCAAATTACTAAAATAGTCTTAAACATTTATGACTGTATGTAACAGCAGGTACCTGACAAAAATAGAAAACAAACAAGTTTTTGTAATCTGGGTTGAGAAATAGTTTTTCTATACATGTTTACTATTTATTTATTCATATCGTTCTATATTTTTTGATATATTGTTTGTTAGTAGATTCATATTTTCTACTCTGTCTTTATATACAGGGCGAATTTAACTTCTATCCCCCCTATTTATTTTATGGGGCATTTTTGGGAAAAATCTTAAAACATTTAAACTTTTATTTTTGTCTAGTTTTCACAAGCCAAAAAAATTTTGATCTTACTCACCAGGATAATGAGCTATGGATAGCAATTTAACCATTTCATACGGTAAGATATCAATGTTTTGAAAGGTTTTTGTACCTGAATTTAAGTGTTCCAACCATTTTTAATTTGGAGCAACCATTCTCAAGTTATTCGCCAAAACATTTTCCAAGACTTTTTCTAATAAACAAAATGTCCAACTTTATCAACTAAGAACCAATTTATTTATCTATCATTGTAATTGATAGTAAATTAATTTCTCATGGTATCAAAGGAAAAATTTAGCAACAATTTCCTTAAATAAAATCAATTGAAAGGACACACTGGATCTAGCTCATTAAAGCGCGATTCTGCCTGGCAAATTTCAGTCTATTTTCCCTAACAGCAGAATCATCTCCACTTTTTCTTGTAGATGGAAGAATGTAAAAATTAAACTTTGGGTTAAAGTTTAATAATGTTTAAGTTCGAACAAAACTTTGGTTCATGAGAGACTAGACAAAAAATAAAAGTTTACCTGTATCAGGGTTTTAACCAAAAATGCTTCAATAAAAAAAATATAGAGGAGGGCAGAAATTAAACTCGCCCTGCATAATATATTTTCTTTATATTTGTGTTAAGTACATAATTATATGAGCATGCTCAGTCCTGGGCTCTTGGTCTGTTTAGCTGTAAATAAATAGTTTACAATGAATAATTCAAAATGTAGAAATTATGAATGATGGGGTGAGTGTGGAGTTCAATCCTAAATAATATCTTAAAAAAAGGATTCAAAATGTGGTGTTCAAAGGTAAAAATCAATGGAATCAAATAAGACTGCATCATTTATTTACAAAGAAATAAAACATTCGCTTAAATCACAGATAAGATTCCAAATTTTAAAAATTAATTGAACTATGTACATACGATGTACAATGAACAATTTGTTTAAGGCATTCATGTTAAAATACATAACTTCACTTGTACAGTACAGTTAATACTTTAATATCTAAAATAATTGATAAAAATACTATTTTATTATAGTATCAGTTACTATGGGAAAGTTTTCTAGATAGTAATTACAAGCGAAACTAGAAAATTGAGCAAAATAAATTGTAAGCTCGGAAATATAAAAGTGCCATTTTGCTATGGTTTCAATTTACCAAACCATAAGAAATACAAACTCACTAATCTAAAGTTGAAAAGAAAAATTAGGCATTTAGTATCCTAATTGTATTAATAAAATACTTATACCAAGATGAGATCTTCTATATCACGTTGAGATATTATTTTTATTTTATTATATAAGAATTATGCGGATCTCAATAAAAGAACGATCAAAAACAAAATTCCAGCTTGTTAATTATCAGTGAGTTGATATTAGTTTAAGTACACTATGTTTTAAAATGGACTACTTCAGTCTAATCACGGTGAATTTATCTGGTATGATAAATCACAATGTTTAAATTACAATTAATTAAGGGTTTTTGGTTGAGATAAAAAAAGTCAATGGCACGAGCGGGATTCAAACCCACGATCTTCGGCTAGATACGCCGCTGCTCTACCACTCGAGCTGTCATGACCTCGATCCACTCAGACACTAACTTCCCATCTCAACCCCACCTTTTGAATTTTCCCTCCTTTTGCCATTTTTCAAATGTCGTATAATCGGATTGGATTCTCGATGATAAATGAAATGGCCATGGAGAGGTTTAGTGAAGTATACTTCATTTTAAATCATTAAATTCACTAAGTTAGTGTCCGAGTGGATCGAGGTCACGATAGCTCAAGTGGTAGAACAGCGGCGTATCTAGCCGAAGATCGTGGGTTCGAATCCCACTCATGTCATTGACTTTTTTATCTCAACTAAAAACCTTAATTAATTGTAATATATTAATTGGTCAAGCGGACCACGAAATTAATGAATTTAGTTATTTACAATTACTAAAACGACCAGAAAAAAATCTTAACTTTCACAAATATTAAATTCACTTAATTTTTTTTTTAAATATTACTATTGGACAGATTTTGAAAGACAGTGTTATTTAAGATTACTAACTTCTGTAAATATTTATTTTAATATAATCAGCCTCAATTTTCTTCAGTGTGTCACCTCCAAGGTACAGATTCCAAAATCCAATTTTGCGATACATTCCCATTACAAGGATTAAGGACAAGGCCTTTTTCTAAGGCACCGTCGTTGGGAAGATCAAGGCACAGTCCACTCGCAACATGTTGGAGGGTTTTCTTGTTAACATTGTGCCTCCAGAGTTGCTTGTCGTGTCCAGAGCAAGCCATAACTTTTACACGGGGCACGAGCGCCGGATCATCTTTATCCGGTGCGTCAAGGCAAACACTCTCATCTGTCATAATTGGGCCGAGGGTACCACCAGGAGTCCCATCGGAAACGTACTTAGTTACAAACATCTGGGTAAGCGCAGGTGTGTTACTGAGGCTGCAAGGGACGATCGTGGCCGGGCCCATCGGCTGGTTCAAGGACCCTTTTCCTGTAGGCTTTTCCATGCATTTGTTATGGATTTGGTTTTTAATCTGAAATTTTTTTTAATGTATGAGTGAATATCAGTGCAATGTTTATAAAAAATATTGTAAGTTCTGAATATTATTGTTAGACTTTTTTTACATGCAAGACACTAAAGAATTCTTACACGACCAAAGAAACGACCTTCCATTGGGAAAAAATGCTGAGGCCAAACATTATCCAGATACCATTTGAAACCTTTGCAATTAAGCTGTTTTCTCAACTCAAGCCTGGATCTGACTGGCTGCTGGTCCCGCAATCTGCTCGCTTCTACAAACAAAACATCCAAATAAAAAAGTTAGTGTAATGAACATAAATCTGGTGGTGGTTGTTGGTCTGTGAGTGACCAAATGTTAAACTGATCGGCACTTGTTCACTCAATTGGTCTGTCTACTCGACTTGCTCATCTGAAGAAGGCGTAAAGTCAAAATTGTTTAAGTAAAATAGAATCCCACTAGAGAGAAGACCACTCAGAAGTTTCACTCAGTTTGACAATAAACACATTTTTAAAATTCATATTTGTCACATTACCTGGACTGAATTTGAAAAAGAAATCTTTCCAATCATCCATCCAAACTAGAGCAAGTCTTGCTAAGTTACCGTAAAGAACTTGAGTAACTCCACCTGGGAAGGAATATGGAGACGATTTCCTGAAAAGATGGCCAACATGTGAACAAGGGGAAATCTCGACACTACCTCCACATTGCCAAACCTACAATAAAACTTGATTAATTAAAATGAATAAATAAATACAGAACACAGTTCATTATACCCTAAAAGACAATTCGAGGTTTTCACCTCCCCAAACTTCCATTTTGTCATCGTAAGATCCTATTTCAAAAAAGAAATTTTTATCCATTGCAAATAGCCCTCCGGCCATAGCTGGTGTTCTAAAAAAAATTGTTCAAATGAGATTCATAGAAGTGTTATTTGTAAAAACAAAATCAAAAACCAGTACTTAAAAGGTTCTGTTATATCCAGACGCCGTTTTTTCAATTCGTCACCGGAGATGGTATACCATCGAAAATGAAGATCCCAGTTGAAAGCTCCCCAGTGCAGTTCAAAGCTCCTCACATAAGCAAATGATTCGTCAGAGATTATATCAATCACAGGGCACACAACACGAGTTCGATCTTTAGCCACTCTTATCACAAGAGCTTCCAACCAACCTGAGCAAATCCAGTCTTTTGTTAGAAAAATGGTACTACGAAGACTTGGGTTGCTTTGGTTAAATTAAAAACCAATATCTTATAATGTAAACAGACAAATCTAGACAAAGCAACTTTGCTGAATCACAAATTATAGTGAAGATTGCTTAAATTTGTCTTCGTGTCACATCTAAAAAAAAATTGCTGAGAACTTCCAACAAGTGTAATAAAATATTATAAAATGTATACAATTTTAATTTTTTTAAATTTATTACTTATGAATATCTGTCATAACTTTATGAAATATTTTAATTGGGTTTTAGTACGATGGATAAAATAGATCATCCAAATGCCATATTATACAAAAATAGAAAACAAAAAAAAACTATTTTAAAAATGCTCAATAAAACAAACTTTACCTGTCGTGCATTCACAATGTGCATCAAGAAATGTCAGAATCTGCCCTTTTGCTTCTCGGGCACCTATCAACCGTGCCCTGATCAGACCCACTCTTTCTCCAGTACGCAACACTCTCGTTGGAACGGTCAAATTTTTCACATAATCATCCAATTCTTTACCCAAAAATTCTAAAAATACAAAGTGCTAAAGCGGTCTCGGATTAGACAAACTTGCAAATTTTATTTCAATCTAAGAGAAACCTGTTCAGGAGAGAAAAATTTAAATAAGTTAATTTTTTGTTTTTAATTTACTTACTTCGAGTACTGGCATCATCAACCAATAAAATTTCTTCCAAAAGTGACCTCGGAGACCTGTTTATCACAGACCAAACTGTCCTCAATAACGTAGACCAAGCTTCGTTGTGAAATACGATTATCACAGATGTTTTGGGTAAACCAATTATATCAGTGTACTTCCCATGACACCTGTTTTTCAATTACAATTTTATATAAATATAAATAATTACAACAAAACAATATTAATGAAGTAATATAAAAACATACTTTTTCTTTCTAACATCAGGTAATGTCCGATTTAAAGGGATTCTATCACTCGCCATTAAATTGAATCTGTTGATGTGATATAACTGCTTCATTTTTCCAGATAAGTGTGGCGGAATAACAACAGCCATTCCATCCTTTCCTTCATTCGGAATCGGCGAAAACATATTAGAATTGAGCAATTCTGCAATTATAAATACAAAAAAAATCAATTTCAAATAGCAGTTAAAACACCGTATTAATACCATCAGTTATGTTGGAAAAATTGGACCCTTCACTGTCACCCATGTAATGGCCTACGACAACATGAACTCCTCTTGAATCAATGTACTCTTTCTGGTCCTTAGAAAGTCTAACAGAACAAAAATACAATTATAATGTCCAATTAAAAATGAGTGAGGATGAAATTTACATTTTATTCACAAATTCCGTGGTCCGCTTGACCAATTAATATATTACAATTAATTAAGGTTTTTAGTCGAGATAAAAAAGTCAATGGCACGAGCGGGATTCGAACCCACGATCTTCGGCTTGATACGCCGCTGCTCTACCACTTGAGCTATTGTGACCTCGATCCACTCGGACACCAACTTCCCATCTCAACCCCACCTTTTGAATTTTCCCTCCTTTTTGCCATTTTTCAAATGTCACTCGTGCCATTGACTTTTTTATCTCAACTAAAAACCTTAATTAATTTACATTTTATAAAAAAATCTAAGCATAAACAATGTTATTAGATTTTACAGGAGAACCGGCGTATAAAGTTTTTTTAAATATTAATTTTACTTATACAGTTTACAAAGCGATGGCAGTTCTATAACTGTGCCCTAGAGTTACAAAAAAAAAATGCTGATACCTTCCATTCCACCAAACACAAAAAATGTCTGCCAAATTTCAGTTGTGCATATAATAGCATTTTAATTTTAAAGTTCTTTACACTATATTAAGCTCGAGAGTAAAAAGCTCAGAGACAAATAGCCCAGCTAACAAGTTTTAAATACAAAAGCACCTTCACAATTCCAACAATCTCGCAAACATTGAATTTTTCTAAACCAATCTCTCTTCATATGGTTGATAATTACTCACAATAATAAAAAGGTTCAGCATCTGGTCAACAATATAACTAGTTTAGTTTTATAGTAGATGATGGTGTAGTAGTAGTTTAGTTTTATGTTATTTTGTTTAGTTAAACAAATATCCAGCTTATGTATTTATTATTTCCAATTATATACATCTTTATGTATACAGGGTGTCAGGCTACTCATGTCACAAACTTTGAGAGACAAAAAAGTTCCCCTGTACAATGGTCCGATCATCAACTGTAAGGGAGAAATTACACTTTTTCATGTTTTCCAGTATTTCATGACAAAAACAATAACACCGAAACTACAATTGCTATTTTTTTTTATCTGAGAAAATTATTGAAATCTACATTACTACATTTCCTTTAGGTTACAACCTTTGTCAGACCCATCAAAGTTTTTCATACTAAAGTTGGAGTCACTTGCAAAATTTCAATGGTGTAATTAATTTTTATTTTTATTTTCCAAGCGCACGTTTTTCTTTAAGACCAGCAAAAATGAGGTTCATACTTGATAACTAATAATAATAATAATAACAAATACAAATACACATAAAACAGAAACAAGATAAAACATAACAGTTTATTTAATATTTACAATACCCCTGGGTACTTAATATTCCTCAGGGTAATTAGAGATAAGCTCCTCTATTTGTGCTAATAAATTACAGTCACACACCACAATTCATTCACACCACCCAATCGTACTCAATATTCCTCGGGGTAATTGGGGATAAGCCCCCTCCATTCACGCTAATAAATACATTCAATCCAATAAATAACAAATTCCATACACAAAAGTACAAAACTACTACATACAGTTAAAAATTTACACGTTCTGTGTCCTAAGGCTGCACACAGGTCATGCAGGATGTGATACTTTGTTCGCAGTTAGTTATTATGTGCTCTACCGAGATAATTTCTCCACACAATGGGGATCTGTTAGATCTTACCCCCATTAGAAGGTGTCTGTGTGTGATCTTGGTAGGGCCTATGCACAATCTGGTAAGTATGACCTTTTCCTTCTAGATCCAGCCTCCACAGGCCAGGGATTTTTTAAATTTGAATGATTCAAATGTATTTCAGTCTAACCAATTATCCATTTATTTTCTTATTACATTGGCATCATTCTTTTCAAATCCGCTTAATGAACAATGTGGATATGGTATTTATTGCTTGACAAGAGAAATCTTACAATTTTCAATTTAAGTTTCCTTGAAAAAGAGGAAATAAACTATGGCATAAATGATAGAAAAATGTTACCAAAAGGTAAGGAGTAATGATAAATTGTAAAAATAAATTACAAATAACAACTTGTGAAATTGAACTAAAACAACAAAATAAAAAATTAGAATAATAACGTAAGTCACAAAAATATATTTGGGAATATAAAAACATAATAAATTTAAAAAGACAATATTTTTTTACACTAACAACGCTTTATTTTATTAAGAAGCAAGCTTCAAAAATATTTTGCTTAATAGAGCATTATCCACGTCTGTTTTTACTGACCATCGACTTTTTTTGTGGTTAATCTTTCTTTCTTTTTTTGCCTCTTTCTTCTTGTTGGCCAAGACTGGAAAGTTCATTGGGAAAGGTCAACACACTTGTTCAAGGTCTTAGTATATATTGCAATTCAAGTCCATCTTGAAAGGTCTCACAATTATGACTTAATTACAGGAATAATTACACATATCCTTACTCCCATTCTAATGCCTGCCATCAGAAATCATTTCTTTAGCACATTCCTGTGCTGTAAGAAGACTATCAACTATTATTATTCAATTTTATTTTGTAATAAATATTATAATAATATTTAATTTTTGTTATTTATATCAATCCACACTTAGCACACTGTTTTTTGTCTTTTATTATATATAACACAACCATTACTTTTAAAATTGCTATAAAAATAAACATAATTTAATATGCCAACCCATGACAGAAATGAAGCTTCTAGCTCTAAGTGTTTCAAATCTTTTTCTTTTCTTTCTTTTTAATTTAACATTAAGCAATATGACTTTTTTAAATTAATTATTTATTGGTACTTTGTCATGAAATAAGTTTGTCCAATTATTCAAAGTAATCAATTATTATTTTAGAAAGTTACCTTAAGGACACCCAGTCGTCCCTCAAGGTTCTTGGATCTGGCTTCTTCTGCTGAAATTGAATGACAAGTAGTGTGAAGAGAATGGACAGGAGTAAGAGAATCGGCCATATTTTCCTTATCATTCTCCTCGACATCTTTGCGTCCCTAAAACAATTACATACGGTCATGCAATTAAATAAAATCATCCCGGCATTCCCAATCATTTCAGCCTGTCTATTCTCGCTAGTATGATCTGTCAAACATGTTTCAGATTATTGCCATCTACAGTCGAGCGAAGATTAGGCAGACAAAAAGGATCAAAAATGACCAAACTGCTCAAAAACATTAATAAAATCTCTGAAATTAGTCTTATCTCTTTCAGACAATATAATAAAAGGTTAAAATATATTTTTATTTTAAATCAGAATATTTAAAATACTGAAGAAATGTTTGTTATATGCTAAAAATATTCCAGAATGCATATGTTTTTATTAAATATATATTTTAACCTTTTATTAAATTGTCTGAACAGAAATAAGGCTAATTTCAGAGGTTTTATTAATGTTTTTGGGCAGTTTGGTCATTTTTGTTCCTTTTTGTCTGCCTAATCTTCGCTCGACAGGAGATGTTAAAATATATTTTTAATAAAAACATATGCATTCTGAATTATTTTTAGCATATAACAAGCATTTCTTCAGTATTTTAAATATTCTGATTTAAAATAAAAATTTCTATGACTTTTCATTGGTGTTGGGGGGGTTGCAAATCTTAATATGTGTTTGTGTGTACGTGTCTTCTTGTGTTTTTTTATAAGTAGTTTGACAACCTGAGTAAGCAAGTTAAGAAAATAGGAGAAAAGATATTAAAATGAGTACATAAAAAGTCAGTGCATAAAAAAATAAGAATTTTTGGTTTATGCACACAGAGCCATGTACATAGATATTAGTCGGTTCATAACTAATACATATTACAACCCTATTTGTCGGATCTAGACTGTTTTTGTTTTAATAAAGGGAACTGGGGGCGTCGGTGGCCGCAAGGTTTAGTCTTTGACACGGCGCTCATCACTGTAAGGTAAAGGTCCCGGGTTCGAATCCAGCGGCCCTGCATTCGAATCCGACATACTTACAAATGGGCTTTTTTCAAAAACACCGGCACCCTGAGGGTTTATATGACCTCTGCTGTTGCGAACCCTCATTTAAAAAAAATAAATAAATAAATAAAGGGAACTGAAATAAATTTCTTCTTGAGATCTGTTGGGTGGTGAACCAATAGCTTGGTCATTTCGTATCATTTTGGTCTGTCTTTCCACAGTTTTGGCTTCATACCATCTTCAGTGGTTTTTATTTGCAAACTAGAATATCTTATTTCTACGACTATTATTTGTTGCTGAGCAGGCATGAGAATACTTGAAAAAAACCCAGCAAGAATAGGCTGACCATTTTGATCAACAATGATCAAACAATAATTAAGACTACTAAGATGGCAAAAAATGCAGAAACCTGTCTGACAGACCAATAAGGATGATCGGTAACAATCAAATTTCAGGTTTTTACCCCCACAGACAACAATAGAGATATCTTGCAAAATAAGAAAACCATTTATATCAAGTGTATGATGTGTGTACGAGAATGCTTCACACCATCTTCAGTGGAGATGTTTAAATTTACAAATTAGAAAATATTATTTTTACAGCCATTACATGTTCCTTAGCAGGCAAGAGGTGCAACGAGGTGCAATTGGCAACGAGAGCAGTCTGACAGTCAAAAACAGCAAGAATAGGCCGACCATTTTTGGTCACAAATGATCAAGAAAAATTTCTGAAAAATGGCCAAATGCAGAAATGCATCTGACAGATCAGATAAGCAGACCAAAATGATCGTAAAAAATCAAATTTCAGGTTCATCAACCCGCAGACAACATGGAAAAATAAAAGAAAAACATTTATATCACATGTTTGATGTGTGTTTTTATAAGAAAGAAGTATAAAATTGAAGGAAAGATAACATGAACAATAGCTATTGTTCAGAATTTTCTAGCAATTTAGCTTTATTATTAGTTTGGATAAATATCCTCTAATGACACATGATAGTGCTATTTAATGTATAATATATAAGTAACACATTCAAAACTTAAAACATTAACCATTTTGCAAAGAAAATGTATGCAAACGTGTTTGTGCATGTTGTATGTACAGAAAACTACAATCATTTTTAGCGGGCAATAAAATTGAAGTGGGAATTTACCTATTCCACTTTGTCATTCCTAAGTTGTCCAATTATGAATGGGTTACAAAAATTGAAAGTGAAAGTTTTTTACAATTTAAATACTACTAAAGTTTGCATTTTTTTTCAAAACAACATATTAAAAATTCAATTCATATTTTCCATTATGATAATAATTAATTAATATATTCCATTATGAAAATAATACTAATATTGTTGTTACAGGCTCCAAAATATTATAATCATGAAACCAGTTTTTTTGTTTTTTTATATAAATATAATCTTGCTTATAAATCATTTGTATTATTTGCACAGACATATTGTTAAAAAATAAGTTAATCAATAAATTAATTGATGATTTGTATGTTGGGAAACCCAGGACATATTAAAACTGATCGAACTTAGAAATTTGTCATGAAAATATTACTTACGTTTAAAAACCAATGTACTGTTGTTAAAAATAATTTTTTCACATTTTTCCAATGTGTTTTAGACTCATAAGATCTTAAGAAATGATTTCCGATCATCAAAAGTTTTAAATACAATAATCATGAGTGGTTCAACAGGTGACAACAGGAGCTGAAACCGGCTTAGAACGTGAACGATGAACTCTACGGTTGATGCCCACTGACAGAAGCTACAGCATGATGTAAAAGGGAATTAAGTTCAGGCAACTTAAGTCCTCAGTTTCCCCGGTATGGACAGGCAAGGAAGAGTTGTGGACGAGTTTGGAAATTGTTGGAAGCGGGAAGTTCAAAAGTGGATAACAGATCCCAACTGCCAGAAGCCAAGTTTTATTTTAACCAAATCAACAACATAACTACAAAAAAAGCCAGTAAATAATTAACATGAGATTTTTAGTTCTTATTTGATTACTGATTAATTTGACAGTCACTTGGCAGTTTCATATACAATTTACTTACACTTACAATTTACTTACAATTACAAAAAAAAAAGGTTGTATGCCTTTATAATTAAATAAATTTAAAAAAAAAACTTTTTCTAAATGATCTTCTATTAGTTATTAACTTTTCCAAATTTCATCTGTATGCTGATGACACAGCTTTACATTCAATATCCTACAAGCAATCTCTAAAGCTACCTCTCAGCTCAGACAGAGACTTTTTTTTCCTACGAGGGTTCGCAACAGCAGAGGTCAAATAAACCCTCAGGGTGCCGGTGTTTTTGAAAAAAAGCCCATTTGTAAGTATGTCGGGTTCGAATTCAGGGCCGCTGGATTCGAACCTGGGACCTTTACCTTACAGTGATGAGCGCCGTGTCAAAGACTAAACCTTGCGGCCACCGATGCACCCCCACCTCTCAGCTCAACTGTGATCTTCATTCTCTCAATGATCGTCAAGTAATAACAGCATTCTTTTCAATCCTAACAAATCCTACTCCTAGTTAATTTCCAATAAACCCATTAATATAGATTGCCTATCCCCTCCTCATGTCAACGGCTCCCCTATTAATTTTTGTCCCATTGTTAAAAATCTCGGTGTTATTTTTAGCTCCAAGCTTACATGGCGCCATGTGAGAACTGTTGTTAAAAAGATCTCAAGCCAACATTTTTCTCGATGCCTTACTTATTTCATTTCATAGAAAACTAGAATTCTCCTTATTAAATCCCCAATAATTTTTTTTTTTTAATATATATTTTCCTTACACTCTTAATCTGCTTATTGCTTTCAAATTGCTTAGATACTGTTATGATCTTAAAGCTATATTAATGATTTCAGCAATTCAACATTCTAAGCACTTATAAACTTAGAGTTTTCAAGCCCACATTTTTCTCGATGCCTTAGCTATTTCACTTCATGGAAAACTAGAATTCTCCTTATTAAATCCCCAATAATAATTTTTTTTTTTAAATTATATATTTTCCTTACACTCTTAATCTGCTTATTGCTTTCAAATTGCTTAGATACTGTTATGATCTTAAAGCTATATTAATGACCAGCAATTCAACATTCTAAGCACTTATAAACTTAAGAGTTTTCAAGCCCACATTTAAAATTAAATCAAATAAATGTACTCAATATCTATCCAATTTTTCCCCATTCCTTGCATGTATGCTCTTTGTAGATGCTATCTATCGTTTTTGGTAGATTTCTACTTAAACAAAAAACCATTAGTTTTAAATTTTATTACACAGGTCTATTTAAATAAACACTTAAGCGTAAGTATCAATCTTCACACTGTCTAAAGTTACTTAGTTTAAACTATTCACACAAAAAAAATTCAATTTGAATTGAGCACTACAAAAAAATTAAAAAGTGAAATTACGTATACATAATATATTTTGATTGTAAGTTTAAGATGTATCTCTTGAGTACAGAAATAATGTTACGTTTGTGTTGCTTCATAAACATTATTTTGAGCACTTTCTACCAGTGAAATAAAATTTTAAAAAATGCCTACTATCTGAAATTGTAATGGACCAATGATTATGACCAAAAAAACTAGTGTATGAACAAAAAATGAAAACAAAATACATCAGTAATATACAATTTTATTTATTTCCTCAGACTTGTTTTGAGTAAACCACGACCAGTTCATGTTTAATTTATTTATTTGCATTTTGTTGAATAATTATATTTAAGTCAACGTGTGGTGATTAGTGACCGTTAATTGATAATTATTCAGAAATAGTGAGATGCGGTCTGGTGTGATAGGTTTCAGAAAAACCTTTTCTTTATCGTGCCAACGTTTCGATCTTTATTGAGATCATCTTCAGGGCCTGGGATTTACAAACATTGTTTACATTTAACAAATACATTTAGGATGATGAAAACTGAATTTATACAATGCAATAACGAACTCTCAACACGGCAAGAATGGCACAATTACACAGAAGACAAACACTTTGAGTGAGTAGAAATACTTTGATTGAATATAAAAAATATATCTTGCATTGTATAAATTCACTTTTCAACATCCTAAATGTATTTGTTAAATGTAAACAATGTTTGTAAATCCCAGGCCCTGAAGATGATCTCAATCAAGATCGAAACGTTGGCACGATAAAGAAAATGTTTTTCTGAAACCTATCACACCAGACAGCATCTCACGATTTCTGAATAATTATCGATTAACGGTCACTAATCACCATACATTTCTAACGTAAATAATTAATTGGGTTTAATTAGACCAGTTCTAATATTAAAAGCTAGAATATAGTTAGAATATATAATGACAGTTAAGGGGGTGTCAGGGGGCGCAACTGTTAGAAAAATTTGGAAACATTGTATGATGCAAAATATGTCAGTTTTTGTTAGGTACAACAATAAAATTTATTTGGCAAATTTATATACATATTTAGATACCATTAAAATAAGAGTTCTCATTTTTCAATTCTTAGTAAAATATAAAAATCATAGTGGAGAATGATGAATTATACATAAGCTGTGAGTATTTAATAAATACTGTTTGGTCAAGCAATAAAATGAATTTGATCAATTGATTGCTTGCTGTTCGTATTTAGTCTACAATAAAAGAATATATCAAAAAATCGTTTTCTCTAGTTCTAATAATGAATGATAAAACATAAAACAGTAGAAACAAGGAATTATATATAAGTTGTGATTATTTAGTGAATGCTGAATTGTACAGCAATAAAAGAAATTTGAACAACTCATTGCATGCTGTTCATATTTAGTTTACAATAAAATAATACATCACACTTTTCATTCTCTATCTTTTTAAAAGGATTGAACACCGCACTCACTCCACCATTCATAATTTATATTTCATTCTCTAGTGCTATTAGTAAATGAGAAATATTGTAAACGATGAATTATACGTAAGTTGTGATTATTTAGCTAATTGGTACAGCAATAAAAGGAATTTCATTAATTGATTGCATGGTGTTTTTTTTTCTTTTTTTTTACAGGGGCATCCGACAGCTTGGTCATTTCAGCCCTGAAGCGCTAACATAATACCGCTACATACTCAATACACAGTCACACAAATAAATGCATTCATACCCATATATATTGATCGCACGCATACTGTTTGGTAGATGGAATACTCCTATAATAAACTAATCTAGATTGGGGTCAATGGGGTATTTTTATAAAATTTTCGCCATCAGCCCAAGTCATACACACAACCTGAGAGGCGATGAAGAAGCTACTTTGCCATCAGACCCTCCCTGTTCACACCAATAAATACATTCACTCATATAAGACACAGAAAACAAAACACATATTTTGAAGGCTATATACAATATAAAATTCCCCTAAAAAGCGCAACAGAGGACATTGAAATTTGCTACCGTGCTTGAGAACTCTTCTTAAATCTGGCGGCATGCCTACACGCTCTCTGTATGGAGCCGAGGCATGACACATTGCATGGTGTTCATGTTTATTCTACAATAAAACAATATAATTTTCTCTAGATCTAAAATAAATGAGAAATATTAGAAAATATTGGAAACAATGAATTATACATAAGTAGTGAGCATTTAGTGAAAGCTTTTTGGTTCAGCAATAAAATTAATTTAACAAATTTATTACTTGCTATACATATTTAGTCTACAATTAAAATAAGATTTCTCATTTTTCAATCCTTTTGTTTTAATAGTAAACCATTTAAAATTTGAATTTGATGAATTGATTGCTTGCCAAATATATTTTGCTTATATGTACACATTAAAATTATATTGTATGGTTAGGGATGGTTAGGGATTATATTGTATCTCCCATTTTTCCCTTTGGGGGAATGGGACATTCTTTGGTGACGTATGCGATTTGCGTTGGCCCACCTGGCTCATAGTTGGAAGTGGTGTGCGAATGAGTCGTGAACGTCAAAGTTCAAACGGGGAACCTCAACCGAGTGGTTCGGCTGGCATTCACACGAGGTCCGCGATCCCTTGTTTAATATGCCAACGGATGCCCGTCGAATGCGAACGCCCGTATCTTCATAAGTGGTTCAGCGGTATCTTTGTTTTTGTTTCACTAACCTCGGCTAGTCTTCAATCTAGAAAAGTATCGATGTGATATTTAGGTTTTATCACTTTTTACACGCAATGTACAACGAATTGGGCTTTAAGCCTGATTTTCCCAATCTGACCCTTTCTTTCATCTAGCCTCTGCAATGAGGAAGGACAGAGAAACTATTATGATTGCTTGTGAGTATTTCACATTAAAACATTTGCTTTCTTTTTTCTTTTTTTTTTTTAAATAAATACTTGGATAATAATAATTAATATCAAGTAATATTTCACGCATAATTTATATTATACATGTATTATCAATAATTTTTCAAATTGCAAAACAATGTCAACTCCTTTGCAGTGTCTTGCTATTGAGCAGGAGTTATGCTGAAAATTAATATCAGGTGAAAATTTTAACTTTTTTTAAACTAACAATATAATATTTAGGTGAATAAATAGTTCTGTACCATCATTTCATAGTATTGTGTTATTGAAAGACAGGACAAAAAGAAAAACCATATAAACTCTACCAGTTGGTGGCATAAAAATCAAGCGTAATAGAAAATTCAGCATCGTTGCTATATTCCATGGGCCAATAAGCGTCTTGTGTTAACTTTTCTGTCAGGTTTTTGGTTGTTGAAAGCCATATATCTCTGATCAAAGCAGTATTTTCCGACAGTAAGTTCCAGTAGTCATTAAATTTTCATAAGAAAAGAGAGAGAAACTGATTTTATCCTTTAACATACGATATTTTAATGCCATCAGACTGCCTGGCTTGTACCATGGTAAGAAATTTGGTAGGAATTCATCAGATTTCTTTTAGCATGTCTACAATTTCTGGTTCTTTTCATCAATTAACTCCCACAATATCTTTTTAGGTTTAAATATATGTAATTTTGTCCTATGACTCAGACGAATAGAAATTTTAGCGTCTTTTCTATATTTTATGGGCCAGTGAATATTTTGTGTTAACTTATCTGTCGTCATCAGGTTTTTAGTTGTTGAATGCCATATATGTCCGATCAAAACAGTATCTTCCGACAGTAAGTTGCAGTAATTAAATTTTGATAAGAAAAAAGAGAGAGAAACTGATTTTATCCTTTAATATACGATAGTTTAATGCCATAAGGCAACCTGGCTTGCACCATGGTAGGAAATTTGGTAGGAATTCATCAGATTTCTTTTAGCATGTCTGTACAGTTTCTGGTTCTTTTCTTCAATTAACTCCTACAATATCATTTTAGGTTTGAAATATTGTCCTATGACTATGGCTGTCAGACGAATAGAAATTTTAGCGTCTTTTCTATATTTTATGGGCCAATAAGCATCTTGTGTTAACTTATCTGTCATCAGGTTTTTAGTTGTTGGATGCCATGTATGTCTGATCAAAACGGTATTTTCTGACAGTAAGTTGCAGTAATTAAATTTTGATAAGAAAAGAGAAAAACTGATTTTATCCTTTAATATACGATACTTTAATGCCATCAGGCTTGTACCATGGTAAGAAATTTGGTCATAATTCATCAAATTTCTTTTAGCATGTCTGTACAGTTTCTGTTGTTTTTTTTCCTTTTTCTTTCTGTCCTATGACTATTTATTACTGTCAAGTGATTAGAAATTTGAGCATCTTTTTTATATTTCATGGGCCAATGAATGAATTGTACTAACTTCTTTTTTAGATGTTGGATGCCACAACATCAAAATACTGGGTTGATGTCTGATCAAAACAGTAATTTCTGACAGTATATTATATTTTAATGCCAGCAGGATACCTGGCTTGTACCATGATAAAAATTTGATAGGAATTCATCATATTTCTTTTATCATGTCTGTACATTTCTCATTCTTTCCTTCAGTTAACTCTCACACGATCATTTTAGGTTTGAAGTGTAAGTAATATTGTCCTACTTATTACTGTCAGGCAAATAGAAATTTCAGCATCTTTTCTGTATTTCTTAGTAATTAGTTAAAAAGTAAATTTCTTACCTTGGCTTATACCAAAGTAAGAAACTTGGTAAGAATTCATCAGATTACTTTTACCATGTCTGTTCATTTTCCGGCTCTTTCCTTCAATTAAATCAAACGCACTTGTCATGATCAATATGTTTAAATCGACTTAAGGAAAGGTAAAAAGTGTCAATTGTAAAGGAAGTTTATTACTCATTTCCATGAGTCGTCGCTGTGCATTTCCTACTGAATTACTTAGTATTATCTGATGAGGCGACCAAACAACTGAACAGATTTTAAATTGGGACAGACCTTAGCTTTTTGCATCCTTAAACAATTTTGTAGTTCTATGTAAGAAACCTAAAATTTGATTTGCCTTATTAATTATTGAGGTGCAATGCAAGTTAAATGTCAGGTTGTTATAGTAGGTGATCCCAAGTCTTTAATGGTAGTTTGCTTGTCCAATTGGCTGTCTTGTATGGCATAATTAGAGGACAACACTACATCCAAGATTATAACCAACGACCTTATACTTATTTACATTTAGTTCTGTGCTGTTGCATGAACACCACTCAACAAGATTTCATATTTTTGCAAAAGCTCAGCATATAAATGGAATTTATAACAAAGAGGGAGAAATGTCATTAATAAATATTTAGAAAAGGAATGGGCTTAGTAACGACACTTGAGGTCCATTTTACCATTTTAGCTTATGGATGCCACTTATCTCTGATCAAAAGAGTAGTTTCTAACTAGTTACTTGTAGTAATTAAATTTGATAAGAAAATAAAAATAGATTTTTCCTTTAATATATTATATTTTAATGGCTTTAAGCTACCTGGCTTGTACCGTGGTAAGCAATTTGTTCAATTAAATCCCACAAGATCATTTAACTTTTGAAGATAAATGTATGTATAACATTGTCCTATGACTAATTTAAAAAAAGTGAAATAAAATTCAAATGTCAATTTTAAAGTTGGTAATTTATTAAATTTTGTTCAAATTACATATTGGTGGTTTCCTTTCCTTTTTCAGCAATATTAGGAAGAATTTTATTTGTCTGTGTTAATTTTGATCATTTTATTTTTACAATGAGTTGATCTTTTCAGTTAGATGGGTAAGAAGTTGAATGATCATTTCATTTATTTGCTGTGAGTTTTTAAATTTTACTTCTCTAAAAGGAGTCGTATGCTACAACATGTCTCTAGGATTTTGATCAGTTTAATTAGATTTCTAGAAATGTATTTTTCATTGAAATGTTTCTTTTTCTCTAATTACATGTTCATCAGATTATTTAATTGATTTATTTACGCTTTCCATAAAGCTTAAGAAAACTTGAAAAAAAATTTTGACATAGAAGTCTAAGAAACACAGGCTTTCTTGGTCAATTGAACCTATTTGAGTTTTCTAATGTTGGCTGAGTCATTAGGCCATCGGTTTCGTTAATAGGTAAACTGGTGGTTCTGGGTTTGAATCATTGACATAGCCCTTGAATTTTTACTAGTTAATAATTTGAAAAAATTAATGTAAAGTGGTTCTGACCACATCAATGACACTTAGCAGGAAATTTGACGTTAACCACTTCTGCAATGAAAGTTTTAGGTTTAATTTATAAAAAAAAAGATAATTATTTACTTGTAATTTTTAAGATGCCATTAGAATAAAAAGTTTACTTAGAATTAAATATTTATATAAGCTTATATTTGATTACAGATTTCAAAGGATTACACCGATTCAAGCTGTGTATAAGATAAATATTTCAAACTGGAATGATAAAATAGTTAATAAACAAACGAAGATTTATAAATAAAATAATATGTTTCGTACAAAGGTGCGTTATCACACACTGAAAGTGGTTTTTGTGACATCGCTATTATGGCTGTTTATCGGCGCTTTAGTTCTCATGTCAAACTCGGACTGCATGAACAATGCGAACAGTTGGGGATGTGAAATGTTGGGGAACAAAAAAGTGGCAGTCGGTTTTATGGGGGGAATAGTAGAAGAATCGAAGAACGAGCCAGGGAAAATGAGTAAAGGAAGAGGCAACTTATTTGCGAGCATTCTCGACCGAGGAAAAGCGAATGAAAAAGTGACATATCAGGTGAACGAGCTGACCCTGTGGCAGCCTGCAGAGAGTGTACCCAGTGTACCGGGTCAACCAGGTGAACTGGGAAAAGCAGTACATATTCCTGCTTCGAAACAGAAACTTATGAAAGAAAAATTCAAGCTCAACCAGTTTAATCTACTTGCCAGTGATATGATTAGCTTTAACCGATCCCTCACTGATGTCAGGCAAGATGGGTAAGTTTTTTCATTTTATTTATTTTTTTAACTAACAACTTTAATATTATTTATTCATTTTGTTGGGTACTGTGGTGGCCGGGTGGTTAGGGAATCCGGCTCATATTTGCCATGCTAGCAGTTCTAAGTTCGAATTGGCCTTGGCTTTGAAAAATCCATTTTATGAAAAATGTATTGTAAAGTAGTTTGACCCCTCGCCTCAGACACCCAATGGGTAAACGGACATTAAGCCCTTCCATATGACAGGAATTATGTTACTACTGTACTATTCACTATATATAAGTAATTTGGTCATTAATTGATGTGGAATATTTATTAATAAAAAATGTATATGTTTTGCCACAATTTCAACTTAATTCTTAATTTTAAGACCACTTATGTAGCATTATAAATGTATGAATATGTTAAACTTATAATTGAACTAACTTGAAATTTGGGCGTTACAGATCGTTTTGGTCCGTTTCTTCTTGCTTGGTTGGTTTATCAGACTTATTTCTTTCAGCATTTTCTATCTTCGGAGAGAGGGAGAGAGAGAGAGAGAGAGAGAGAGAGAGAGAGAGAGAGAGAGAGAGAGTGAGTGCGTGTGTGTGGGGGGTTAGGGATGGTTAGGGACACAACTAATAAACCACTTCAGTGACCAAAATGATCTGCAAGGGCCAAATTTCAAATTAAATAATAGTGTATAAGGTTAACATATTCTGGTCTTAAAATTGCACAAAATTGAAATTAAATCAATAAAAATAAAATATAACATTAATAGACCAGCACGGCAAGGTCAGACAGACCAAAATGATCTGTAACGACTAAATTTCAGATTTTAAACTAGAATAAACATCGCATCCTTTTTGATTTGAGCAATTCATGCTTAGGTTCAATATGCAAGGATATGTTATGGCGTCATTTTTTTAATTTTAGTGTTGACGTAAACTCAAAACCTTTGAGCTAATTAGCCATTCTTGGATTAAGATTAGGTGTGATAAAAATCAGGGATCAAGTTAAAAATTGAAATGATAAAAGATTTTTATGCTTTTACAACTGGCAAACTTATCATGTAACAACTTTTGATGTTTTTCTGATCCACTTGTCTCTTTTTATTTCCTTTACTCAAGAATGTTATTTTTGACACCATCTTGTTTGTTTAAAAAAAAAAAATTGAAATTTTTATTAATATTAATTAAAATTATAGAAACATTATTTATTTCCTAATGATTTTTGGCGCAGTGATTTGTAACATTTATAACTTTTTCCAAGCGTGTTGTCTTTTTTTAAAAGTCTGTATACAAAAGTTGCATTCGTTTATTTTATCTTTGTTATAGTTCGGTTTACTCATAAATCATTGTGATGATCAGTCTGTGAGTTGATAAAATTTAGGAAAACTTGAAGTTTAATGTTTTTCTTTCTTTATTTTTCAAAGCGTACTAATTATCAATTCGGTGGACTTCTTCCTTATCTTTGATGATAGTCTAATGCAAATAAGTTTTTTCAACTTATTTTTTACTTTTAAAACAAACTAATTAGAATGGTAATATTTTGTATCTTACTTTATCTTAAAGCAGAAAAATATATACACACTGAAGTTGGTGTAAGAAATAGTATTTTTTAATTTGTACAATGTATTAGTTTTTTGTTCTTATTGTTTAATATTGAATTGAACCAAGTAAATAATTAGTTAACATGGTCCAATATTGAGTAAAGGAAGAAAATGAATTATTAAAGATTTTTTTTCCATTGAAACAAGGGAAATAGAGAAAGAAATGTTCTTTTAGAGAAACAGAATTTGATTCAAATAGTTAATTCTTTTCATAATGAAATAATTAGCTGTAGTGTATAATCATTTCTAAGGATGAGGTGGCTAATTGTGCTAACTGCTGGAATTAGATATTCATTGGATAACTTGGAAAGTGGAACATGGGCTGTGTGCTCTATGCAAAAAGAAAGTTGGATTTCTTTGCTTTTTACTTTCACATACGAGTTATTACAACCATTAAACAATGAGGGGTGAAGCAATTAGCATTTTAATCCTGAAATGTAATGATTTGCAACTTCACCTAATAGTAGTAATGGACTATAATATAATTAATATTTTTTAAATTGCCCAATAAAGTTTAAAGTGGGCAAAGCAATAGTTTTTATCTCATTGATTTTTCACAGTAGGTGCCTCCTAAAACATTACAAATTAAAAATAGCTGTTAAAACTTTTTTTTTTTAAATAAACCGTGATGTTTAGAAACAATCAGATCGTTTAAAACATTGGCTTTTTTTAGATGTTTCAGTAAAGAATATCCAAAGTTACTTCCAACAACAAGTATTGTTATTGTCTTCCATAATGAGGCCTGGTCCACACTTTTAAGGACCGTTTGGTCTGCTATAAATCGCTCGCCGAAGACCCTACTCAAAGAAATCATCCTTGTCGATGATGCAAGTGACAGAGAACACCTAGGAAAGCAGCTGGAAGACTATGTCAAAACCCTTCCAGTCCCAGTAATAGTACTTAGGACAAATAAAAGATCAGGACTTATAAGAGCGAGACTACAAGGTGCCAAAAAGGTCACCGGTCAGGTCATCACCTTCTTAGATGCCCATTGTGAATGTGCAGAAGGTTGGCTTGAACCACTATTATCCAGAATTGTACAAAACAGGTAATTAATTTGTGTAAAATTTATTTGTAATAGTTTCTAACATATTGAATATATTTTGATAGAAAAACAGTCGTTTGCCCCATCATTGATGTAATATCTGATGAAACGTTTGAGTACATCACTGCCTCAGATATGACCTGGGGTGGATTTAACTGGAAACTCAATTTCCGGTGGTACAGAGTGCCCCAGAGGGAAATGGAGAGGAGAGAAGGTGATAGAACCGCTCCTCTTCGTACGCCTACGATGGCTGGTGGCCTTTTCTCAATCGATCGGGATTATTTTTATGAACTAGGTGCTTACGATGAGGGAATGGACATTTGGGGAGGTGAAAATCTTGAGATGTCATTCAGAGTAAGTGAACAAATGTTTTTATTCTTCATAAACAATGAATTTATTGAAGTGAGAACATTATTTAAACTCGTGCATGCTTATTTATTTAAATTCTATTATAACTGTTTTATTTCCTTCAAACAGCCTCTTCTTAGTTTAAATTGTTTGTTTATTCATTTATTTTAAAAAGACATTGGATTTAAACAAATACAGTTGGAGAATAGAAATAGAGTTGTGCCTTTGGCACTTAAGCAAATGTAAGTAGATAGCCATTTTACATTCCCATGCTTTTTCCCATGCTCCACATTTTTTTCCATCCCATTCATTATCATGAGAACCTTGTTGGCAACTTATTCAGACGTTGCTATCAGTATTAGTAATTCTACAGTTACTTAATTTTATCATTCTCACCTGAAATCAGACATTATCAATGACCCACTTTCTATCGATGAATGATGATTTTATATTTATTACACAAGGTCTTGGAAAAAATAAGAAAAAACTTCGATTATTTATTGTAAAGTGAATTATGGTGTCTTAATTAGTCAGAAACATTAATAATTTGCTGTAATTCAATTATAAATAATTGTAATATAACTTGGAAAATCAATCACGAATTTTAAATTTATTATAGCGTTTCTAATCATTGCTGTAATAAAATCAAATTTCATAAGAACAATGTTCAAATTTTTGAAAATAATTTCATACAGAAATTTTACTGTATTTTAGTTTTTATTGTGTCATAATTTATATATTTTATTCAGAAATGTGATAACTGTTTAACATGTTCAATACAAGCCCTCCCGGGCTGCAAAATTTAAAAAATAATGATGATAATTTTCTTAAGCATTATGATCTACCAGATCGGTCGTCTAGCTGGTTGTAAAACTTTAGCTCCCCTGAAGGTCAGCCAAATTGAACATGTTAGAAGAAAAAAAAGTGTCCAGGCCTATCAAGGCAAACATAGTATGCAAATTTTATGTATGCAGCAGGTTGTAGCTTCAAGAAATAGCCGACAGTTTTGAACAACAGCCACTGATGACAATTTGTTTTCTTCAACATTCAAACAAAACTTGTTTCTACATTTTATTTGTTGGTGGTCAGAACAATTTTAAGAAGTAATTTAACTTCAACTAGCAAAACAGTTTATTTTTTTATACTATTCTTTACTTTTTTATATGTAAAAAAAAATTCAAATGTTTTGTCGGACGACGAATGTGCACAGGTGTGGCAGTGTGGTGGCATCCTAGAGATCATACCTTGTTCACATGTTGGTCATGTCTTCAGAGACAAATCCCCTTACACTTTCCCAGGAGGGGTGACCAATATCGTCCTTCACAATGCAGCTAGAGTTGCCGAAGTCTGGATGGATGAATGGAGAGATTTTTATTACGCTATGAATCCAGGTACAAAGGCTAAGAAAAAAAGACAGAAAGTATTGTTCACATGTTATCCTTTTCTTCCTTACAATTATTCCTTTTCTCTACCTTATGACATGTGAATATTACGAGATGTACATGCTTAATGCAGTAGAGGAAAATTGTGAAAGATACTGCATGGAAGAAGAATCATGGCAACATCGCAATATCAACTAACCAATTATTTAAAATTACGATTTTTTTTTTTTAAGTTTGACTAATAAGACTAACATGTATATTTTGTTATAGTGTAGTGATGCTTTTGATATTGTGGTTTCATTAATGAAGAGGTGTAGAAGAACAAAACTTCTGGCATTTACTTACCAGACAACCTTTTTGTTTTAAAATTTTTCATGACTTGTGCTTGCTTTAGTTTGAAAATGTTTTGTAAATGTGGTGAGTGGGATAATTTGTATGGCTGATGATAATTTGTTAACACTAGCCGTTGGAATAACATACTTGCAAGGCAGCAGTGTATGGTATGGTTTTAAAAAATTACTAAAATGTAACAATACACACAAAAACAAGTTTGACATTAAAACTGAGAACTTGAAGTTCTAATTTTCGTATCATGTAAAGAAGGCTTAGATCAGAAAAACGTTTCTGAGCTAATTAATAGAAATTGTTTCTTCTCAACATTATTATTTATTTCCTAGGAATGTTACTCGTATAAATGTAGAGATAATTATATAGTTTTGATGTTTAATTTCATTTATTCATTATCAACTATTACATTTTATTTACATCTCTTGCAAATGTTATATCACTGGAAGTACAGAAGGAAGTACTTTAATCGTTGAGTATGTTTTCAGGATCCCTTCCCTCTAACCAAAATTGTATTTTGTCTTACTTCACTCCATATTTTCTTTTAATATTGTTAATTTTTCTTTTTAAATGCAACTATCTATTACTTACAAAGGAATAATAATTTATTCCAGTTTAACCATTGATGATAATTAGGTTTGAACGTAGTTGTAAAATGTATAACTGAAAACATTTTTAAACGATTTCCCCCCCTCTCGACGACAGAAGAGGCTCTGTGCTTAAATTGTACCATTCCAATACCCATGTCGCTTATTCAACTGCTGTTGCACGTGCAACATTGCAGGTCTGGATGTGTGGGGGCGTCCTGGAGATCGACCCATGCTCACATGTGGGACACGTGTTCAGGAAAAACACGCCTTACACCTTTCCTGGAGGAACGTCATGGATCGTTAACCACAACAACGCCAGATTAGCCGAAGTCTGGCTGGATGAATGGAAGAACTTCTACTACTCTATAAACCCAGGTGCGATTCGGACCCCCCCCCCTTCACTATCACTGCTAGCACATTTATTTAAGAAAAGAAATAAAAGCCTCTTTTTATTTTGGAAGACTTTCTTTATACAGTGAAACCTGTAATTACAAAATTGCTGATTTTATAGCTATTTATTTCTGTCATTTAGGTTCATCTTTTTACACAAACGACACCTGTATATATTGTATGTTTTATTTTAATTTTGTGTTTGATATGTTTTTGTTTTTCGGGCTTACAAATAATTTTGCTTTTCGCATTTTAATTTGGTTTAGACTGTAAATATATCGCGTGTTGTCTTTGAACTAACAGAAATTGGTGTGGTTAACCTGTTTTGATTAAAAACCTCAGTTAACAAAATATGCATGGCTTGATATTGAATATTAATAGTTGTATAAACTAATTGTGGACATTGTATATTTGATTAAAATTTAGTGCATTTTGTTGTTGAGTAATTAGAGTATAATTGAATAATAATGTTTTTTCAAATGGTAGGAGCACAAGGTGTCCAGGTAGGAAATGTTTCGGAAAGGAAAGCCCTGAGAGAAAAATTGGGATGTAAAAGTTTTCGTTGGTATCTTGAGAATATTTATCCTGAATCTCAAATGCCTTTAGAATATTACTACCTTGGAGAGGTAAGTCAAGACCTTAACTAAAATAATTTAATAAACCTGTATTTTAGAAATTAATTGTTTAATTAAATCATTAATTTATAATTTATTATTTAATTAAATGGTTTATAAATAAATCTTTTAAACTAAGTAACTTTTTAGGTTAGGAATCAAGAATCTCAAAGTTGCCTTGACACTTTTGGTAGGAAAAGCGGAGAGAATCTTGGTATGAGTTACTGCCATGGCCTAGGGGGAAATCAAGTAGGAATTTAAAAAATTTACAATTTTCTTAATATTTTGTTTGGATTGATTTTTTTAAAAATTGAAATAGGTTTTTGCTTATACCAAACGACAGCAGATCATGTCAGATGACAACTGTCTAGACGTAGCCCATCTTGAAGGTCCAGTTAAACTCGTCAGATGCCACGGAATGGGTGGAAACCAAGCTTGGGTGTACAGTAGAAATGTAAGGTTTTGTCTTTCATAAAGATGAGTATGCTGTTAAAAAAACGTTATTAAGCATTTTGTTTACAGGAGCGAACAATAAAACATCTAAATACAGATCAGTGTCTGCAGAAACCAGATTCTCGTGATCCAGGTCAGCCTCTATTGCGTAACTGTGATGGATCAAAGGGCCAGAAATGGATAATGAATAGCAAGTTCAAATGGCAAGCGAGTTAGCTATGAGGTGGCCAATCAGAGAATTTCTTGCCTTTAAATGTGATTTATTGAATAAAATGAAATTGTCTCACAAAATATATTTTGAAAATAGGAAATCACAAATTCCAGTTTCCTTGGAGTAAGGCTGAATTTATGTTTAGTTCGACTAACTTTATCTTAAGACAATTTTCCCTAATTTTCAAATTGTTTTGCCATAAACTAGTGGAAACAAAAATAAAAAATAAATATTTCCAATGTTTATAATGTGAAACAACATTAGCTCATTAGCTCCAATATCTTGTTTAAGAGATGTACAAGTTATTTGTTTGAAGTACTTAATACTTAAAAAAATGGATGTCTGTGGGGAAGTGAAGTCTTTCGAAATTGATGTAATGTTATTATATAATGTATAAACTTCCTAAACTTAGGATACTATCAATAGACAATCTTACCATTTTTAATATCATAAATTGTATAATTTCATATACTGTTGATTACTTTTATTCTATAAATATATATGTACATATATATTTATTACCAAAATTCATATCGAGGTGGAGGTCCAAATGTTAGTTTTGTTTCTGTCAATTTTTATATTATCTGTGAGAGAAAGGCTACTTCAAAATAACCAAGAAAGAACAAATTATTTAAAAAGCAATTCTCTTCCATATATCATTTATAGATTAATTGAAAATTAATTGATTGTTCATATCATTTTATGAATAATAGTAAGTTGAACAAAGAAACTGCTTTATTTTTAAAAATTTGAACGTGCCAAATTTTATTTATTGTCTCCATTTTTTAAATATATTTTTTTAAGTGAAAGAATTTACATTGTATGTTTTATTTATTTTTTTAATAGGTTTTCCATGAAGATATGGATGTCCATAATTCAACCTGTTTGTTTCTAAAATTATTTTTTATTCCTATATGAAACAATTGATTTTGCCATTTGTTAAATGAATAATTGTAATCGTTTATTATGTTTCTAACTTGTGCAATATTTAAAAGTTATTTTTATTGTTATTGTTATAAAAATATTTAATTATACTGTCCAATTCAAAAGATTTAGGGTATACGTTTTTATTATATTTCATTTTAAAAACTAAATATCCTGTTAAAACATTTAGTTGCAATTTTGTCAACATATCAATGGAATTATGTAGTTAAAAATTATAAATTTATCTTTAAAACAATTATATTAGTTAAATTGTATTTATCATAAAAACGGGTTTCAGTAGTAACAAAAACATTCCTTTAAAAGAATAAATGAAAATATTGTGCATATCTCCACAATGTACATATCTTTAAAATAAAAAGAACTTGTTACTTTTTCAAAATATCTTTTATTATTCCTAGAATTTAATTTTTTACCATTAAAAAAAAAGTTAATGTCAATAATGTAAATTTGATGACGGTTGAGCAGAGATGTTGCTCATAGGATATTGCATGTAAAGCTGAGTGACATCGGCACAAGATGAAATTGGGAGAAATTAAGAACTAATGGAAAGTCATTTAGAAACATGTAAAAGAGTGAAGGTCCAAGAATAGAGCCTTGGGTTACACCAGCAGAAAAAAAGAAAGAAGAGGAGACAGAATTTGAAGCTTTAACTCTCTGAGTTCGTTAAACAGATAGGATGAGATGCGATTAATAGCAGTAGAAGAAAAACCAAAAAGATGCGTCAGTTTAATAAACAAACCAATTATTATTTATGGAGCCAAGAGCATCGAAAAAAATCAAGTTGAACTTCTTGATGATGAATGTCTCATAACTAGGAATTTTCCGGAAGGCAGGTTGAAAAAGGTATATAAGAGCAAGGGAGTAAGTAAATAAGGATATTGTTTAAATAAAATCTCAAAAATGGTTTGTTTTGGATGTTTATCGACCTGCAGAAAGTTAAGTTTGGATTATAAAATTTTTAGAGGTCAAAGGGAACAAAAACAACTTTTTGGGCTGAACTGAGCTTTTGGCGGATTATTCCACCATCATCAATGCTTGACCCAAGAAAAAACAACAGCTACTACCTTGAATAAAATTTTACATGGTATTTGCTCAGTTCTTGCAATAGACGGTGAGCAGTTCATTTTTAACATTGAAAGGTAATCATTGTTAGAAACCAAGATCCTCTATTAAGACTAAGAAAACTTCAGTAAATAATTCATTAAGAGTCAAAATCAGTCCAGACTTCTGACAATATTAAAAATAAACGGTTCAACGTCAATTGCAAGAATTGAGCAAATACCATGTAAAGTTTTATTCAAAGTAGTAACTATGTTGTTTGTAGATGTTCTTAAATATTTAAATATACCTATTCATTAATTTCTTTTGATCTCATTGGGCCAAGTCCTGGTGGAAGGAACCACCAAAAGCTCGGTACAGCCGAACAAGTTGTTTCTGCTCCATATGACCTCAAAAAGATCACCCAAACTTCTCAAAAATGATGGAATTGTACTAAATAGGGTGGTGGCCACTAGCAAGGGTGGGTTTATGTTTCCTGGGGAAAGCCAACTATTAGGGCTTTCTTCTAGGCTGCAGGAAAAAAAAGGATGAGGTGAAGAGAAGTTCAAAATGTGGGCTATTTATTTTAAATTAACAGAAATGTAATAAATGATGAGTTTAATAGAAACAAGATAGAAACATGTAGCAGTATGTATAGTAGAAAGGATAGCTTTTAAAATATTTTAGTAATATTTAAAAAACTAAGGACAATTTTAGGAGATCTAGGTGAGTAGGATATGGGGTTTTAGTTTGGAGGGAAGAAGACATGGAAGCAAAAAGTGCTTTTAATTCCATAAACATCAAGGCAACATTAGAGCATGAATGAGAACTGCTTTCTTATTCTTTCTTTATTTTATTTTTATTTTTTAATATTCTTATTATTTTTTTTTCTTCTTGTTCCCCAATAGAAGGTTCGTATAAATTCCACAAGCTGCGTTCCTCGAGTCATCGATCATTTGAACAGTCCCACGGGTAAAGCCGAAGCAACCTTTTTGTCCTACTGAGTGTTACTAGCTGTATTGCACGCTTGTAAAAATGGTATGTATTATCCGAATTCATCAAAAATTTCTATATTTGGATATTATTATTGCCGAATCGAATATTCATGTCATACTTCACCTAGTTATTAAGATTCAATTGCGATCAAATTTGACTGTTTTAAATGATTATTTGTGAATTGCCGATCTGTGTGGGTTTTTGAGGTTGTAACCATAACCACATCTACATTTTCTGGGGTTGTTTTACTAATTTCCCAGATTTTACATTGCATTGCAGGTTTGCAATGCAGAACCTACAGACACGGGTTTTAACAGATCTTATAATAAAAAATACTTGTAAAAAGTATTTGCTCAACAATTCTAATATATTCTTACGTGGTAATAATCTGCTTAAAAAAAGTTGGAAATAACAGCTTATAAATTATCTACTTATAATCAGAGTATTACTCGAATTTCATAAAAAACAGAATTTTCAACTTTCATTACACGTATATAATGAATTAAGTCAAACACAGAGTATAACGGTCAAAAGTGGCCCCAGACATGCGGGATTCGCCGAATGGCAAGCAGATTTGCCAAATCCTGACAAGTAGCTGGTAGAGATGGGTGCTTGGTTATTCATCGATCAACAATATTCGGTGATCAGCTAATTGTCAGTTTCCTTGTTCGCTTCAGAGAGCACAAATATTCGTGAAGTAGGCGAAACCAAAACATCCATACATTTGGGAATCCGTATGGATATCAACTGTAATAATCAATCAACACTATTTATTTTTCAATAATAAACTCGTTTCCTAACTCGTTAAATTAATGATAGAACACCATAGTGTTGTTCCTGTCGATTAGGAATGGATTGGCTCAACTTAACAGACAGAATTCCTCGATCTGTACCAAGCTGAACCAGTAATTTGGAACGCTTCTCTTCTGAATCACAAAAATTGGGACGAGGTGTTCGGTGTGTGAAAACGGATCAAAAGTAAGATGGAGCAACATGTGACTGTAGCCACTATAAAAAAGAGTAAGGGGAGTTGGTGGCCGCAACAGTTTAGGCGTTGATACGGCGCTCATCACTGTAAGGTAAAGGTCCCGGGTTCAAATTCAGCGACCCTGCATCCGAACCTGACATACTTACAAATGGGCTTTTTTCAAAAACATCGGCACCCCGAGGGTTCATATAACCTTGTAGTTGAAATACCCTCGTAAAAAACCAGTAACCGCAGCTGTAGCAATGACAGTAACTGTTGTCCATCATGATTGGTGGTGTGTTGGGGCTTGCATGGCACTGGTGAATATTTATTCTCTGTATCCGCACAAACTGGCTGGTTGTATGTTACCCACATGTGTGTATACTTTCTCATGAGTTACTGTACTCTTGATTTTACTCTCTACTATTGGAATTTTCTTTTATTAGTCATCAAGATTGCATAAAATTGAATCTGACGTCTTATACTCTCACAACAGGTATTACAATTTATACCCCTCCCTCTGTTAAGCCGGGTCTCTTCTATAAAATTTTTCACAAACATACAAGTAAATATGTGTGTGCGTGCTGTATATGGTATGTTTCAGAACACGCAAGATCTAGAAAATGTTGGTTATTTGACAGACATCAAGAGATTCACACCCTATTTGGTTGAAGTGGATGCTTCTGCCGAATAAATGATTTTTCTATCATCTCTACTTAGTGTTCAGTGTTGTTTGGATGCAACTTACCCAAGTCACTGCCTAGTAAATGAAAAACAGACATGTAAGAACATAGAGGCTCATTTGTAAGGCAAAGATCGTGGGTCGAGTGGTCCTTGAATTCAAATTCAGGACCTTTGAGTCAACATCTGAGCCATTGAGGCACCAATGCCCCCCAATCAACAACTTAGGTTCTTGATTAAAAAAATATTTGAGCGTACATTATGCTGTATGTATTTCAATATGTAGGGGGGACCCATGTAAGGCTACATGTCAAATACAATTTTGCACTTTTGAGCGATTTAGTGAAGGAGTAGAAAACAAATTTTCAGAAAAAAGTTTAAAAACCTTCGTACGCATTTTTGGATTTTTGATACTATATTATTTTATCCTAGATTAAAAGAAAAGTGTTGTACCTGATGTACCATAGTTTGAAAAACCTCAATATACGTGCACAATGAAGGCAGAAAAACATTTTAGAAAATAATTTAAAATATTTATTTTCTCGGCACCTAGGGTCAATTGGAAAGAACACTCAGATACAAGTCTAATATTTTTCAACCTATCGTAATATAGCCATGTCTGCGCCCCTTGTTAGATTAATTAATTGGCTCACATTTAGTTCACATTGTGCGATAAGTATTAAAAAGATTTTTATGATAACTGCCTTTTTTATTGGCATAATTAAGTTTTTCTAATATTTCTAATGACAGCAGATAATAGTTTTTTGTTTGTAAAAGAAAGGAAGACTTGTTTCCTGGTCAGTAACTATGAAAAACATGGCACTTTCTGTCCATGTATCAAAACGTTTTAGTTTGACATTCTCATCAAACTCAACTTATATTATTTTTGGGAACGAGTGGTTTGTAGACCCCACGGTCATGGGTTCGATTCCCAGATACCCCTGGAATTTTCTGAACCATATTTTTAGTTTGTTCTAGTAGTTCAAGACTGAAATACAACATTGACTGTTAATTATTCAGAAATCGTGAGATGTGGTCTGGTGTGATGTAGGTTTCATAAAAACATTTTCTTTATTGTGTTAACGTTTCGGTCTTTATTGAGATCATCTTCGTACTGGCACTCTCAACACAACACGCAAGAATGGCACAATTACACAGAAGACAAACACTTTGAGTGAGTAGAAATACTTTGATTGAATTTAAAAAAAATTTTTTTTGCATTGTATAAATTCACTTTTTTCCACATCCTACATGTATTTGTTAAATGTAAACAATGTTTGTAAATCCCAGGCCCTGAAGATGATCTCAATAAAAATCACAACGTTGGCACGATAAAGAAAATGTTTTTCTGAAACATACATCACACCAGACCGCATCTCACGATTTCTGAATAATTATCAATTAACGGTCACTAATCACCACCCGTTGACTTAAATATAATTATTCAACAAAATGCAAATAAATAAATTAAACATGAACTGGTCGTGGTTTACTCAAAACAAGTCTGAGGAAATAAATAAAATTGTATATTATTGATGTATTTTGTTTTCATTTTTTGTTCATACACTAGTTTTTTTGGTCATAATCATTGGTCCATTACAATTTCAGATAGTAGGCATTTTTTTTTTTTTTATTACATTGGTCTTCAATAAACATAATTAAATAGACAAATATTCAACTTTTGTTATTGTAAATGTATATTAGTGTTCAAAATTACGAAATGTGAATTTTTTTTAATATGCAGCCACACAGTTCATTTGAAATATGCTAATTATCAAGAACAAAATTGCTTGTACATCATTATTAAATTATAATCTACTAATGTTCTTATAAACAGGCCAAGCACACCAAAAAGGTAGGGATCACCGGTAAATATGGTACCAGGTATGGTGCCTCGCTCCGTAAAATGGTGAAGAAGATGGAGATCACCCAGCACGGAAAATATCCCTGTTCTTTCTGTGGAAAAGTAATAATACTATTATTTAATTTTTTTTCTCCATTGATAATTATTTCCTTTTTAAAGACTGCCATGAAGAGAACTTGTGTTGGCATCTGGTCATGCAAGAGGTGCAAAAGGACAGTCGCTGGAGGTGCCTGGGTCGTCGCCACTACTGCTGCTACCTCAGTCAGATCTGCCGTGAGGAGGTTGAGGGAAGTCAAGGACTTGTAAACTGTGTTTATAAATAAATAAATTTTATAAAATACAATTTTGAGAACGAGTTATTCTCCTTCATTATCCTTCTGTTATTATGTTCGTATATTATTTTGTGTAAAAGGTTATGAACACTCACTCTTTATAAAAGTCCAAGATCAAGCAATCGTGCCATAATGATTGTAATTTTTATGTACTGCACCTTAATTGATCTTATGATTTAATTAAGATAAATAATAAATAAATAGATAAAACGGTAGCGACCAGTGCCAAACATCCTCATAATACACTTAAAGACCAGACACCAGACGTATTTTGTTGTTCATTTTGACCTATGTGCATTTTAATCATTATATTTATTACAACTTATTTTAATGTAAACCAAATTAAACAAGACACCAGAAATTCAAGTGTTAATTTAAAAAAAATTATGATTTGAAAGAAAATTGATTTTAAAATACCAGAAAATCATTTAGTGATAGAATATTTAATTTTTTCAAGTTACTAATGCTTTATTAAGACTAAAAGAAGGTAGTAAATATTAATTAAATTTATTACCTATTAATTTAATTAATTCCTCAGAACATTTCAACTACATGCATCCTTTGCACGGCTTCCTTGGTTCTACAGCGCTTTCCTCTGATCCCGATCTTTCAATTGTTTCAGAGAATCAGAAGAGCACCATGCATAAGTCTAATATTCATTGAAATTTCATATTCAACGAAACAAACTTTGGACGATAAAGATAAATGAAACAATGAACAAAAGCAATATTCCTCTACAACTATCCCATCCCTAAAACTGACTGTGTGCTACCTTGGGTTCTATCTTGACTCACCGACACGAATAAAAAGACTGGAACTGAACAGATGTTACAGACTACTCTATAAACTACTTGGACCATGTATGACAATCTAAGTTGACAAAAAAAAATTATTACTGTTAAATCCATTTGGACATGGACTGGGAACTATGGGGCAGTCTTAACCTGCCAATATCCAACAAATTCAGTCATAACAATGACCTCAGAATCATAGTCACTTTTACCGACCATGTCCACGACCTCAAGATGTCCTTTGTAATAAGTTAATCCCTACCGAATTTTCCAGGTTTCTCGGAAAACCACCTTAGCTGAGATGGCCTGGGACCCTCCTTGCCCTTGAATAAAGTTAGGAGAGCAACAAATGTTAACTACCTGCAAGACATTTACCTTGCATCATTATGTGATTTGTAAATATTTATCAAACATTACATAATGCATTATAACACATTTTAAAAACAAAAAATTTGTTTGAAAAAATGCTTATTTGTAAATATGAAAAACAGGAACAAGAACATACTCATTTGCAAAGTAAAGGTCCTTAGTCCAGCAGCTCTTCATTTGAACCCGGGACCTTTACCTTTCAGGGATGAACGCTGTGTCAACACTTAAACCATTGCGGCTACCGATGCCTTAAATTTATTAATTTTACTTTGTACTTTTTTTTAACACTGGATTGAAAGCTAGATAAATGACCCTCTTTTATTACATAAATTGAATGAATCTAGTCAACAATTAAAGTTAATTATTCTTTTTATGTAAGGTTTTCATCAAGATGAAAAAAAAAGATAGCTCAAGTGGTTACAAGCAGTGGTGTATTGAGCTGAAGGTCATGGGTTCGAATCCCAATCGTGTCACTGACTTTTTTCATCTTGACCAAGACCTTACATAAAAGGAATAATTAATTGAAATAAGTAGTTTGGTCAATTAGATCACTAATGGATAAATGGACTAGTCAATAATTTTAAAGAACGAAGTCAGAAACAATGCGCTTTTAACACATTGCATCAATCTTCAATCATTAGGGAAATACATTAAATATTTAACTACCAAAATGTTGATTTATGAATTTTATTTTTGGAAATAGAAAGGTTTTTATGCGTAAATAAAACTATATTTCAAAATTCTATTATTTAAATAACTTTTTATTGTTTTAAATAAATTGGTACGTAAATTTGAAAACAAGTCCTTTAAAGTCAAAGGTTCATTTACAAATGTATATATTTTTATAAGTAAAATCATTCATTACTGACAGCTTATTAAAAAAATAGGAATATTTACAGGTATATCAAAAAAACCAAGAACTTTCTTTACAAGAAAGGATATATATATAAATATTAAAAAGATTAATTTTAAAAAGTAACTATTTACACTTTAAAAAAATAAAGAAAATGAAATGTACAAAAAGTAAAACTTGGTCTTGACATGATTAATCCTTCTTTTTACCAGTGTTGTTGGTATTCTGAAAGGTCTAAAGTGATCACTCGACTTATAAGACACTCGCCAGCCTAAAAAATGAAACGTTAAAACTAGTACTGGATAAATATTAAATGTTTATCTTACATCAGGACAAATGCCTATAAGGGCTTCGGCGTGACTGAAAAACTCTTCTTTTAGGGATATTACAATGGTTTGTAGGTTTGACGTCTCGCTGTGGATGTAAGAAGCAACTTTGCCGATGTTTGTATTGTCAAGAGCAGCATCAATTTCATCGAGCACGAAAAATGGTGCTGGTTGATAACTATAACAAAAAAAGAAAAACATTTTTATTAAAAGTAATTATAAAATATTACAAATGATTTTTAATCATTTGAGGCATATTACCTGTGTATTGCAAACAGTAAGGCTAGAGCTGCAATGGTTTTTTCACCTCCTGAAAGATTGCACATAGGTTGGAATCTTTTCCCAGGTGCGACACAATTGTACGAGATACCATCGAGATACGGTTCCTCTGGGTTTTCTGATGACAAATACGCCTGAGCTGATGGATTCTTCGCAAGAGACTAAAAATTGAACCAGTTAAGAAACATTCTTCTACAAAATACTAATGGAATTATGAATATTTACTTTGTAAATGTTGTCAATGACATTGGACAAGTGTTCAAAGCATTCGACAAACTTGTCATACCGCTCTTTCTTTATTCTCTCGAAATTTTGTTTTGCTTTCTTCGCTCTTTTCCTTGCGTTTTCAAATTCTTCGTTTGTGACTTGCAATTTTCCTCTGGCAAGTTCAAGTTTTTCTATCGCCTAAATTACAAAAAAAAGTATAAAAAAAAGAAGTAAAACCATATTTTGAAAATTATATGTACAAAACCAACCTTCATATTTGGAGCTTGTATTTTCTGCAGCATCATTGACTGGTCACTGATAACTTTGGCCAATTTGTCCCCGACCTTTTTGATATCATCTTCGTCAATGTCCTTAAGATTTTCAGATAATCCAGAGTAGTCGATTACAATTCTGCGAATTATTGATTTTCTAAGTAGTTTGATTTTTCTATTAAACAAGAGCAATCGATTAAATTACCGGCTCTCTCTGTCATTCATTGATTGAGAACTAGTTGTGCTGGTGTCCATGCTTTCACCACCTGTTGTCTCCTGCCCGATATCTTCCATGTTTCCATGAGTCATTGGAATTTGTATATCCTCCATCTAAAAACAGACATTTTGGATGAGATTAAATGAAATAGTTAACATTTTTAATTCTTCTTTTTCGGTTGTTGACTTTTTCTATTTCTTGGGTTTCTTTTCTGGAACTAGACAGCAATCAAACTCATTTTGTCTAGTTCCCGAAAAGAAACCAAGAAATATAGAAATAGTTAACAGTTTAAAATAATTACCTTGCAATGCATTAGGATACTATGTCTTTCAGCCTTTTTCATTTCCAGTTTTGACTCAATATTTGTGACAGATTTTTGTGCTGTTTGGATGTCCTTGGCTATACTACCCACTTCTCTTCTTGCCTGTGAGAAAAAATTGGTTAAAGGAATTAAATAACATACTTGGCCGAGAATGAAAATTCTACTTACCTTGCCGATAGCTTCATCCATTTTGTCCACTTCTTGCTTATGCAGAAGTCTTTTCGATTTCAGTTCTTCAATCTGCTTCATTTCTTTTTCCAATTCTCCCTGTTGTTTCTGTTCAGCCTTTTTAGCAATATCTAGTTCCTCTTCTGCATCTCTCACCGAATTTTCCCATCGAGTGACATTGTCTGTAAAAGTAAACTTGTGAAATATTTTTGTATGATGTACGAACTAAAACTACCTTTTATTTTTTTGTCTTTTGATTTTTCAAACTCAAGCTGATTGACGATCCTGTTCTTCTGATTTTCAAATTCCATTCTCTTCTTCATTCTTTCTTGTTGGGAGCTGAAAGGGAAAAAAATCATGAAATGTTTGCTTTTAATGCATCAATACAATAACGTATGGGACAAAAGCCCACCGTAATTCTCTCTCTTCGTATTGTCTAATGTTTTCCATCCCGATCTTTCTACAGAAGTCCTTGAAGACAACATCCTCCACTGAGTTCATCCTTTCCTTCATTTCCTGGATCCTGATGTCACGTTCGGCCATCGACTTCTCGATCTTTTCACGCCTAGGCTGTTTTACGTCATAGAAGGGTTTTTTGATTATTCGAACACAACCGGAAAAAGAATAAACAGAAAAGACCAAGTTCTAGCGTAGAATGTTTTACGATATACACTCCTCAAGTCACCAGAGGTGATTGCATACCTTCTAAAAACATCCTTGTAAAAAGCTAAGAGAAAGAGAGAAATGTGGGGCATTGTAATTGTTTCAATGCTCCACATGGCAGAAAAAGGTGTTTTAGTGGATATAATTTATTTAAATGTCTACTCAATAAGGTAGATCTACTTTGAAAACTTTGTCTAAAACATAAAAACAAAAAATTAACCTGAAATGAAAATTACATACCCCTGTTTCTTCATATCTAGCTTCCATGACCCTCAACTCTTGCTCCAACCCTTCAATTTGCTTCAACTAAAAACAAAAAATAGATCATAAACGATGCAAACAAAACTAAAAATTCAAACTTACAGTCTTTTCCTTGTCGGTTTTTGCATATCTGATTCGAGTTTCTAAACCCCTTATTTGAGACTCGACAGTATTTAATTCCGATTCCTTACGAGATTTTTTCATGGCATCCCTCAAATCATCAGAAAGCTTTTCCTGTGAAAAACAAAACGTTAGTGGCTGTTTTTCAAGTTTAAATTTGTTTTACTGATTAAAAAATCTCACTTTCATAGATTTTAGCTGCGACATATGTTTCTCGTCCCAACGTTTTGCTTTCCTTGCCAAATCAAGACTGCCTCCCGACATAATACCAGACTTCTGATAGAAGGTTCCATCTAATGCAACAGCCTGTGAAAACCAAAAATAAGTTTTAAATAAATAAAATTATTAATACAGGTCTTTAAAAAATCAATAACAAAAATTTGTTTTTATTATTTTATCATTTATTTACACCATCATTCCTCCTATTCATAATAAAAAAAGCTGTTAATTAGCCTTATTTAAGACATTGACTGCATAAGACACATGTTTGGTCCTAAGCCCCTCAGGTGCAGTGGATGATCTGCTTCCTCCCCTTTAAGATTTTAAAATTCTATCCATACTTTACCAAATAATAGGTAGTTTTCGTTTCTAATTCCTCAGGGTACCTCAGAAAGACTCAAATATCAATGGTTATGGCCATGCCTATTTTTTTAATTGTGATTTTTTTTACTTAGGGCAATGCAGCAGGCATGGATCTTGTAAAAGCACCAGGTCTATTAGGATTTTTAAATGTATTTAGTGTTTGTGTTGTGTTTATAGTAATTTATTAGCATGAAAGGAAGAGGTGGTTTAACTCCGACTTGAGTAATACCAAGTGTAGGGTGTTCGACCATGTCCTGAGGAGAGTATACTGGGGAAGTGAATGTGACCAGACTTCTATATTTGAATTGGGTGGTGATGTACTGGTGTTGAGGTAATATCAAGTTACTGATGCTAGTGTGACTCCCAAGTACTCTGCTGTGGTGGGCAGGGGCCACACCTGCTGACCGTGTAGTGTCTGGACTCTCTAAGAGAAGCCCTGGTGTCCCATTGGATATCGCCTTGTCATGGTGCGCTATGGGATTCCAGCTCAGGGGGCTCGTGTTGGTGCAGTGCTCTGGTGGGTTGTCAGATGCGGACTGACATGCCTGCAGCTTGGCAAGGAGGTTGCCTTTTGGAGGATCTCAATGAGATGCCGTAGAAGAAGGGTAGATTATTCTCGCCGAGTTTTAAATGTGGTAACATTGAATGAGCAGGTGGGATGTGTGTGAGGGTAAGTGCATCTTGAATTTTTTTTACTTTTTTCTCAATCCAAATCCTGGGACTGTGCTACTAGGAGACTAGCAGACCCTTCCCAACCATTGGTTACAAGGAGGGGGGTTTCCAGGCACAAAATAATGGTGTAGCCTTGAGAGCGTGACAAACTCTCTAAAGCACAAGCTGGCTCTTATTTCCTGGCATGCATAATCACCCTTAAGCAGCCTCTGCATGCATTTGGACGATAGGACCAAGGAAGCATATAGTGTGTGAGGATGCTAAACTATGCCTATCTAGTCCCTCAACATGCGTTAAGGGAGTTGCTGGCTTGAGAGCTGGCCGCAAACAGCGGGTGCTGCATCAGAGGCACACACGGTTTAGATTACCAGTTTCTGTCTAAATACATATTTTTAATATATATATAGACGGGGGAGGGTGCATAACCATCTGAACAACAGCGTATTTACTTCAAAGTTCAAGCCCAGCTACATGGGTAAGGACTCGCAGTGGCTGAGTGGTGAGACCCCTGGTGGGTACCTAGAGAAGAGGCTGTGTTTCATTCGTGGCTGTGAACCGTAGTACTTGCATATGACCTCTGATTTACCTCCCGGATGGATCTGATTGCTGAGAGGATATAGCCAGCGAGGAGCTTTGACTACTCTCCCTCAAATGTGTGAGGAATGGTGGACAGGTGCGGGTGCTTGTCGGTGGAGGCCGTCTGAGCTGCCTTTACTGTAAGCATGGTCTCCCCTAGGGGGTGGTTATAGATTCCACTAAAATTGAAACCGTGTTCAGAGTGTATCCGGAGGTTTCGATGCTAGCGGAGCTATTACCCAGGGAGATAGTCGTCTTCTCTATCTAGGGAGTGTGGAAGATTGGCCGATGCATTTCGACCACTTTTTGGGTATCCTTTTATGCACGGCACTGGTTAAGTGCAGAAAGTAACAAACCCCCTCAGAAGAGACAAGCAGGAGAAGTCAGTATGTCTATCGATCTGTGTAGCATGTCTGTCGATTTGTGGGCTTCTACACCGAACCTCTCGGTTAAGCAGATTTTCCGGAGGTGCGTCGGTGCGGAGGTGAGTCGCTCCTAACTTGAGAATCTAAATGTGTGATAAGGCCTGACGGCTAGGTGCGCACGCTAAAGAACCTCAATGTTACATGACATTATGACTGTAGTGGAAAACACCCAAATTGAACAAAAGTTCTGTGGACTTAGCACTGGAAGTGATGCAACTCTTTCCATCATTAAATTTTTATCACTTAAAATTAAGTTCCAGGGGTAAATTGGGTTCCACCATGGTCAACATAGGTTGCAGTCAACGTGTTAAATATCTTGTTACATAACTTTTGTAACATTAAGTTACCTAATTTGTTTATCCTTTAACTAAATCAAACTAATAATTATGCAAAAATATTATTAAAGAAAATAATTATATACATCGTATCTATTGGCACCATCAATTTCATAAGCGGCCCTCATCGCATCTTCTGGGGTGTCACAGACAAGAGCATTATTGGTGGCAAACAGGACTGCTTGTTTGATGTCCGGAGGGTGGAAATTCAGAATGTCATACAATAATCGAGTGTTTTTTGGATCCTTGATTGCCCTAACAAATAAAAATAAGTACAAAAGTAAGTAATAAATATTAAATAATAAAATACTTAGCACAACTTTTATTAAAGTCATTACCTTAATCTTTCCTTTAAAGGTTTTGTCTGGATGTAGTCTAATGGTAAGAAAGTCTCTGGGTCAAGGAGATTCTCCTTTAAGTATTGAATACACTGCCTCGCAGTTTTTTCAGTATCAACAACAATAGCTTCCATGTATTTCCCAAGTACTTTTGTTACAGCAACATTGTACTTTTTGTGCTGCGGATGGCACATGTTTATCATCCTGTCGTACTGAAAAACAACCAAATTATGTGTCACTGTCAGGAAATGTAATGCAAGCATAATCGCCATTTTTAAAATGTTATACTTACAACACCAGTAGGAAAATTCCTTTTGAAATTTTCAACAATTTCTTGCTTCTTTTTTCGCCTGGAATCTTCGTGCTTGTCTACCCTAGCATCACCCAGTTGCTCCATAATGGACTCGAGTTCTGTTTGCAATTCTTTGACACGATCTTTAGAAGTACCAACATCACTTTGAAGGTCGATCTGAAGCTTCTTCTGTTCTTCTAATGATTGCTCACTCGCCCTTTATTTAAAATATAAAAAAAAGTAATTAAAATACATATACGTTTTTAATCAATAAAAGTTAAATGAAAACCTGATATGATCTGTAAGTTTGTCAACACGTTTCTGAGCCTCGTCCCTCTCATGGCCTTTTTGCCTGATCTGGCTCTCCATCTGCGTCCTAAGCCGGATTTCATTGTCAAGTTGATCCTGTTCTGCTTTTTGTTCCCTGTTGATCGAATCTAAATCTTGAAGATACTGAGCAGATCGTTTTTGTGCTTCAACTTTCAGACTGTGGTATTCTTGAACCTAGAGGTAAATTGATTCATTAGAAAATTATTCCGTTTAAATTTCCATTGATTTATTTACCTGTGTCTCCTCGAGGTGAATATCACGACCTTGACTTTGAGAAGCATCTTTCTCATTCGCTTCGTATTCTTCCCGTTTTCTATTGACCTCAGCAAGTTCCTCTTCAAGGAGACGTGTATCTTCAGAATGAGCTTCAGCGGCTTGTTTAACTTCTGCTAGTGACTTTTTGGCAGTGTTTAGCTTTTTTTGTAAATGAGCTGTTCGTTCTTTGCTTTTTATGAACGACGGACGCTTCTTACTGATTTCCGCTTCCTTAAGTAATCGGAGTTAATTAAAATCTTGACATAATAGACAATAAAACTGAATATTTAGGAATATGTTTATATTTACCACTTCACGAATGTCTTGGTCAATTTTCGCAAGCTCCCTATTTGCTTTTCCTTGCTCTTTTTTCTTATCTTTCAATGCTTCTTCTGCAGCTTCTTTCTTCTTCTCTATTTTTTCAACTTCCTTTCTCTTTTTTTCCAATTCCGTCTCATAGTATTGGATATCATTCTCATTGTTGTAGAGTCGAAATAATTGATATTCAATCTCTTTTTCCACCTAAAATAAAAAAATGTAAAAAGAATGAAAAATTTAGAATCTTAAGTAAATAAACCAAAATGATTAAACGTACCAACTCATCTTTTAACCGTTGATATTTTTCAGCTTCATCTTTCTCTAGTTTTGCTTCTTTTCGCTCAGCAACAACACCCCTTTTTTTCAAATAAGAAAAATTGGTCTCTTCTTCCGCTTTCAACACTTCTTGCTTTAACCGATCGTACTCTTCTTTTAAAACCCCAGAGCTTAAAAACAGGTATAATTTGATGAAAAATCACCCCAATAAAAACCTCAACTGTTTTCATGGAATCTTCATTACCCGCTGATTTCCTCAAATAGAGAAGTGAGTTCTTTAGGATTTTTCATTGCAATTGACTCAACAGCTCCTTGGAAAACTAAGAAGTTTTTGGCCTTTACATTAATACCCAGGTGTTCCAGGTCCCCCAGATATTTTTGAGTTGTTACTGCCTAAATTAAAAAAAAAATTTAAAAAAAAATTATTATTATTATGCTTACAACTTTTACACATTTGACCAAATCATCATTTCTAATTTACTTAATTAATTAAAGGACTTTGTGTATTTTTTTAATGTACCTCTCTGTCAATCCTGTAGTCTGAGGAAGAACCTTGAACTGTCCTTGTAAACCTTTTGAGATTTCCATCCTCCAAAAGGAAAACGGCTGTGACAGAGGCTCTGCATAACAAAAATAATATAATGACCCTCTAGTCTAAAACTGACATTATAATACATTGTTTTTAACAATACGTACACTTTAGAAATCGGCTGTCCGATCGATGCTCCATGTATTAAATCACTCAACCTTTTGACTCTGAGTGCTGACGTCTTTTCACCCATAACAAAACTTATGGCATCCATAAAATTGGATTTACCTAAGACATAAACAAATTAGCATTAATATCTTATCCAATTTGAATACAAATATATTCATGTTTATATTGTTAACAAATGATTCCATGGCCTAGTCTTTTATTTAATTTTATTATACAGTCTAGTCTCTCTAAAGTCCTAGTATAATGCAGTCTTTATACATTTGCCTTTCTGAGACTGTACTAATTTCTTTACAATGTTGGGAAAAATAGGGTTAAAAGAAGATTAAATTATTTCCTGTCGTACAAGTGGGCTAACATGTAACTATTTGTTGAATGTAGTGGTCGAGGGGTGAGAGCCACATTAAAATATTTTTTCCCAATTTATTCTCAAATAAAAATCCAAGGGTTATGCTGGAGTCCAAAACACAGACGAAGTTAGACAGGAATCAATAGCCATGACAGACCTCCTAGGGTTCAGGTAAGATAAAACTTCATTATATAAGTTTTGGTAAGTTTGAAAACAGCAGAATGATCAGATGTAACTTGAATTTAATAGCAAAGATGATAGATGGGTGAATAACAAATAAATAAGTCTCTTATTAAGCGGCGAATTAAGTCTGATTTTAGAAATTACTAGCTTAAACAGTCAGTACCTACTGTCTACATTAAGCATTAACATTGCTGATAAGAGTGAGTCAAATGTTGGTCAATAATAAGAACAGAATTTTTAACATTTTGTCGTCTAGTTGTGAGGTGCGGTCTTCTGGTGTGATGTTGGTTTCAGAAAAACATTTTCTTTATCGTGCCAACGTTTTGATCTTTATTGAGATCATCTTCAGGGCCTGGAATTTACAAACGTTGTTTAAATTTAACAAATACATGTAGGATGTGGAAAAAAGTGAATTTATACAATGCAAAGAAATATTTTTTTATATTCAATCAAAGTATTTCTACTCACTCAAAGTGTTTGTTTTCTGCATAATTGTGCCATTCTTGCGTGTCGTGTTGAGAGTGCCAGTGAGATATTGCAGTTTTATGGTTATGTTTTGTGTTTATAAACAAAACAGCAATATCTCACTGGCACTCTCAACACGACATGCAAGAATGGCACAATTATGCAGAAAACAAACACTTTGAGTGGGTAGATATACTTTGATTGAATATAAAAAAATATTTCTTTGCATTGTATAAATTCACTTTTTTCCACATCCTACATGTATTTGTTAAATTTAAAAAATGTTTGTAAATCTCAGGCCCTGAAGATGATCTCAATAAAGATTGAAACTACAATTAATTAAGGTTTTTCATCTCAACTAAAAACCTTAATTAATTGTAACGATTTAATTGGTCAAGCGGACCACGAAATTAGTGAATTTAAAGATTGAAACGTTGGTACGATAAAGAAAATGTTTTTGAACATGAAACACCAGATCGCACCTGGTCACTGATCACCACACATTTTGTCAGAAGATGGAATATCAAGTGTCATTGTTGAAGTACTATCCTAGTGGTACGGCAAAATGCTAGATCAGTAAAGCTTGAAGGAGATTTATTAAAATAAATTATATAAATTAAATTAAAAAAAAAAAAAAATCTTTAAAAAAAAGGGTTCTGCATGTCAGTTTTCAGTTCAAGTAGTGATTAAATGCGTTTCAGCATTTCAACTTTTTCAGTGTGGCTCTCCACAGGAAGAAATAATCCTATTTAATTTTTTTTCTATATGTTGACCCTTCTAATAAGCAGACAAAATTCCAATCATGATGTCCGCTTAGCTTGTTAGTTGTAATGTCTGGGGACCGTGGTGGCCAGGGGAGATAGGACATCAAACTTTATTTGTCATGTTAAGGATTCGATTCCTTTAGAATTTTAAATGAGAATAAATAAAAACTATATTGTTAAGTGGTTTGCAAACCAAGAGCTCGCCAGGAGTGAGAGAGATGCGACCGTCATTCATACACGCAAATAAAAAGCTTCCGTCAAAAATAAAAAAGCAGAGAACAAAAAAAATCAGCCACCAAACTGTAAAGAGCCGAATACGGCTTAGGTGCAGTAAATGAAAGGCCAAGACGGTTGTTAAGTGGTTTGACCCCTGACTTGTTAACTTCAAAATCTATCCCTGCAAATGTGGAAGGCAAGCATGGACTCTTTTCAGCAAGATGTCCCAAAATTTTACGTAGCATTGGACATTTGGAGAAAAAAAGCAACAGGCCGATCAGTGATCTTTGTGCATTCTACACCCAATGTGGAGTAAGGAATGTTACATTTGGATGTAATAGACCTGTTGATAAATATGAGAAAAGTTTATAAGCAACAAAACTACTCTAAACTATATGTGGACCCTTCTAATAAGCAGACATAATTCCATTCCTGAGTGATGCCCATTTATGAGAAGTTTGACTGTAGTTATAATGCTGAGGCCTGTGGGAACTGATCGTTACGCCATCTGACTTGTATCTGCCATGCTTGCGGTTATAAATTTGAACCCCTCAGAATTTTAATGAAAAAGTTATTCAGATTTTGTGAAAATTACTTCACGGGTATGCTAACATTAAAATATATCTTAATAAATCTTGTTTATTTCTGTAGTTTTCTAATTATATTAATTACAATTAATTACTTATTTCAATGAAAACCAAATTAAATGAGATCAGAAATTCATGTTTTAATAAAAAATATATTAATTGATGGTTTGAAAGAAAATTCACCAAAACACTGGAAATCATTTAATGATAAAATAGCATAGCTTTGTTCTTAATAAGGTGTTATTTCCTCTGGCCTCTCAGAGGGCCTTAAATCTCATAAGCATCAATTAAATAAGCAATCGGATTTCGTTTTCTGAAACAGAATCCCATTTCTTCAACAAGAGTTGAAGCTGTTGAAACTCAAACTATGTATGGTCGACATCGTGCATTAACACTAAGTTGTAGCCAATAAATGGAATGAAAACCACAGCTTCCAGAACTTCCTCGATGTACCTTAATGCAATCAAAGATACACTGATACCATTCTATATGGTAATCAGTACTACAGTATGAGCATGGTTGTTGATTCTACCCCATACCCTATCTTTTAAAAGGCAGCAAAACATTCTTTATCCCCGATCATCTGATTGATACAAATCAAACCGGAGGAACTGTGGTTAAGGCGTCAGAGTTTCAGCTAGTAGATCCTGCAGTTGTGGGTTCGTTTTCTGCCGTCGACTATGGACTTTTTTTCTAATGCCTAAGGGGACCAGTAGCCAGAATTGGGTAAAAAAAAACTGACATGACACTCATCAATGGAAGATCTGGGGTGGGATCAGATCTCAGCGACCCTGAATTTGGTTCCAACCCCCTTCAAAAATGAGTTTCTTCGATGGAAGAACACTGACACACCAGGGGCACATGTTGCGAGCCCCAAAAATAGAGCCAGGAATAAAGTACTATAAGCTGCAGTGCTCAAGGGGAACTCCTCTAGTTCCTGATATCCATTAAAAAGGAAAATGGAACTAATTTGTACAGAGAACTGCCCCCATTGTTCAAGTGTCGAAACAAGCCGCTGTGAATAGTCACCATTATACACTATACCTCTCAAGTAATAGAGAACAGGATGTCTAGTGATTACGCCATTCTAATGAAGCTTTATGAGAACCATTTTAGAGCTCACCCTTACAATTTTGGACCGTTTGGAGTTAACTTATCAAGGAAGCCATTAATGCGTAGTGTAATAAGAGCATTAAAACGATTGTATCTAGCTGACATATATCGCATTTAACCTTCTCTTCGATTGAGACTTCCGGTGGCCCTAAATTCCTGTATACCATTGAGGATGGTATAGCACAGCAAACCCAGAACTTGAGCTATGTAACACTACATCCATCATTAGCCAAAGCTGAAATTGAACTGATTTTCTTTATTTTTAATCTAAAGAGTGTAAAAGACCTAGGAACACTATAAAGGTAAACAAGTTATTAATTTTGTGTTTACGTTTGAAGTCAACTATTGATATTTATACCTAGTTATTATGAAAAATAAACAAATAAGTGTCAGATTTTTGTGATTTTTTTTCTGGCAGGTTAAGAGGTCCAAAGATTCAACAGGTGTATTAGATATGAATCACAGTAAGTTCTGTTTTCTTTTAGGGTGAATCGTTAAGGTAAAAGTTTAAACCATGAGTTGTTGATCCCAACGAGGCGCCAGAAAGAAATTCCCTAACATGAGCTTTAAGCGCCAAATCAGTTGTTTTTATTTTTTTTAAATTCAATTATTTTCTGGACGTACCCGAGCCATTCGGTCCGACAACGGCTGTGAAAGATTTCAGAGGTCCGATGGTGAACTTGCCCCTGTAGGATTTAAAGTTCTCCACCTCGATGCTTTGGAGAAACGCTGGCATTTTATCACCCGTCTAGAACTTTCGGTTTGAAATCATTTGGAAACGAAATACACAAAGGGAAAAAATCAACTGAATACACGAACCACACCAATAACGCGTTTATTTAAGACACATTTGAAAAAAAATCGGTGTCGGTACGGGTCCAGGGAACAACCAACGGGTGTTGTTTTCCTGGCTTTATGAGTCGGGTTGAACTTTCAAGAATGGCGTTCCACAACTACTGCTCTCTAGTACAGCAATTTGTACTATAAACTATTCAAAATTTTGAATAACTTTAATAAAGAACTTTATACTAAGAGACCGACTTTTAAGTTAATTCATTTAAAAAAAGCTTAAATAGAATTAAATAAATGATATTTGTCATAAACTGAAACTAAAGAAATCCAGGCGTTTTCAGAACACAGGTCCAACTGTTAAGCACAGGATGAAAAATATTAAAAAGACTTTCTTACTTGTTTTTTTAAAATTGCCATTTAAAAAAAAATCTCAGTTATATTTTTTCTATAAAACCATTTGTTTTTATGACATCACGAATAAGTAATGTGTCCATGCGAGACGGTGTAACCTTCTTCTTTACATTTTTTTTTTCAGTCTTTCTGTTCTACTTTGTTGGTAAATTCGTTCGGTAGGCATTCTTGCCCGCTGGAAGGTAAACCGTGGGCACTGCACAGTCCAGGGAGGGTCGAGCCATGAATGAACACGATTTGATCTGAAGGTTGGATCCAACCCGTAATAATTTTACGTCCAGGTAAACTTTTCCCTCCTGTTTACCGGCGCCTTCACGAAATGCCAAAAACCTCGAAGAAACAGAGTAGTGGTAGAGGTGAGCTTGAAATCAAAGACTTAATTTTTAATCTGTTCAAATGGGATGGAGTTTGATTTGAAAAAACAAACTGTCGACAGAACATGGAGAGCCGAGCAGGCAGATCAACAGCAGATTCCCAAAGTTCACCGAAGAAGAGTTGGCTGCTCCCAGACATCCGTTCTGGGCGAAAGGGGCTGCCATTGGTTTGTCACTTTTTCAGCTTTCCAACCCGCAAAATTAATTGACAATTAGTGTAAAATAAATGGAGAAAAGACGCAATGAGGTTCGGTTGCGGTGAAGGCTCGAACGCCTTGATTCGGCTGGTCTGATCACACAATAGCTAAGTCAGCATGATACCGACATCACTCAATTCCAGCCAATCCTGATGAAACCCAAAACAGCAGTGGGATGTTATGGACCTCAGCTTTAATACTCTGTTCAGGACGTTGATGGTATCAGGCCCCTATAGATGTCCAATTGACTTTATTACCGACCGGTTTCAACCCACTGGGTCAAAGTCAAATACACTTTTATATGTCTAATCTTTAAGATACCGGCATCACAGCACTTATTATATTGTACTCTTTCATTACAAAACTTAAATTTATACACCTTGCAACAATGTCTCTAAATCGTCATGTCATTTCAACCCACTGGGTCAAGGTCAAATACACTTGCATATATATAATCTTTAAGATACAGGCATCACAGCACTTATTATATAGTTGTAAGGGTGCAAAATTGGTACACAAACAACCCCGGTGGGGACCTTCTTCCCCGGGAGATAAGAAAAATGTGACTGGACATGAGCGAGTCAATGACGGTGAGCCAAATCCTTTATTTTTTCTGTAAATTCCTGAATCCTTGTTCCTTCAGGGAGTGTGCCCGCTCCTTCTTTTAATTAAGCGTGATTATAAGTAGTATTTTTTTTTTAAATTGATTAAGGTGAAATTGTGTTGTTTTTTTCTTAAGAGGAATTTTTTATTTTATTTTATTTTTTTTGTTAACAAGGCATTTTTTTTATTTTGTTTCCATCACACGGCATTTTTGGTAAATATAGCTTTTTATCGGATTTCATAAGATCAAATTATACATTTTTATTTTATCTGTGTGGTTGGATATTTCCCTTTTCCAGGTTCGTGTTTTCCTTTTGGAAAAACTTAGAATTGTTCAGTCAGGGTCCGACGGTCCATTGAGATGACTAACATAGTACTCTTTTTATTAAAAAAACTTAAATTTATTAACCTTGCAACAATGACTCTAAATGACATTGATGTGCTGTGATGCCGGTATCTTAAAGATTATACATATAAAACTTTATATGACCTTTAGAATGATCCAGTGGGTTGAAAACGGTAATAAAATCAATTGGACATTGAAAGTCTATTTATTGTGGCCTGATAACATCAACCTCCTAAACAGAGTATTCCTGATGAAAGTTTCACTCACAAGGACGTGTACCTGAAAAAAAAATTTCTTAGTGTTAAGCAAGGGGAAATAGTATGGCATCATTTTCAGTGATCATCCCGGCTCAATCATTAACAGGACCGAGACAGATACAAACTCGTGAGACTACTAATAAATCCAGACCCAAAACTTACCACGCTGGTGAGACCTCAGTCTTCACCCTGGCTTGACCACAAACTTGACTGACACTGAGCACATTACATACTCAAACAAAACACACTGGCTCGACCATTAACTGACCGATTTTTTTTTATAACTGAACTTATCAGAATGAAAAAGATTTAATTTACAAATTTTAAAATTAGAGACGTAAACACACTGAGAAATACACAGCAAATACAAGAACACTAATCAATGTGGTACAGTTCTAGTACTGATTATGAAAATTAAAACAAATTACCTCTGTCTGAACACATACTAAAACTTATAGCACAAAGTATAATTATAGTTAAATCAGTTTAATTTTTTTTAAGTCTTAAATTAGTAGCGTCACCAAACAGGTAAAATATTTCTGTGGAACTTCTACGACTAAATTTTCTGTTCAGTATTCTTTCTTCTACTCCGCAAAAGGAGGCACACAAAAACACTTTTTTTTTAAACTAGCCGGTATATTGGAGGCACTTCCGATCCCACTTCTAATGTAAGAAAATGGAAAATAAAGACATTGTGGTCTGGTTGCGGTGAATGCTCCACAAATAATAATAATTTTATTTCTGAAAAGTACAGTAATACATTAAGATAAAACATAAATAGAGAAAAAAATTAAGGATAAAATAATAAAACAATAAATAAAAAGTAAGTCATTCAACCAATCTGCAGATTTTCGTCTCTTCACTTAAAAGCAGTGCTTGTAACAGGTGGCAGGAGTTATGTCAGTGAACTATTGCTAAAAATTAAATCAAAAGAACTTAAAAGGTGTGTAAGATCAAATAAATGAAAGAAAAAAATTAATGAAGAGAGAAAAACAAAAATAATGCAATAAATCCAAATAAAGATAAAATAAAAATTAAAGAATACGATAATTGCCACGTATACCACAAAGAAAGTTCAAATTAAAAATTTAAAATTTTTACAGTTAACAAATTGTTTCAAATAATGAGAATTAAATTTGCTAAAATTAATTTTATGATTGTAAAGAAATCTAAAAACAACATGTAATGAAAAATTAAAATAAAAAATAGTATTTACTTTAAATATAAAAATATTAGTAATTACTTTTTGTCTTCTTTGATACTCATTGTTTGATCCAGCAAAAAGGTTATTTTTAAAGAAATACAAACAAGAACATTTCAAAAATAATTGTTTAAATTTTAGAGCTTGAAAAATATATAGTTGATTGTTGTTGAATCTAAAAGGTTTAGAAAGGATAGTTCTAAGATTGCCCTGATTCTGAATTCTACTAGTACGCCTTTTATCTCAGTGCCGTTTTCATCTCAGCCATTTTGATGACACAGTGGCTAAGCCAGCAGAACAGTAATGATAATTGATTCCAACAATAGAGCTAGGTCTACATCAGGGACTTAATGCTGAATTGTGACATCTGTTGCATTTTTGACAAAAAGTACATTGTTTTCGTTTGCATTCATTAGACTAGGTGGTTGTTGGTCTGCAAGTTGATGAATATATTTTGAATTGATTGACACTTGAATTACTGTTAGTAGATGGAACCAGTAAAGTGAGCAAGAAATTAGATCCCTACCTATCCTTGCTGGTTTGTCAGACGCATTTCATAATTTCTCCATCTGTCTTCATAATTTCTGTATGTCTGTCAGAGCTAGAGGATAAGCAGATTGAGATGATTGGTAAGGATCAAAATACTGGTTTCTTTATCCCACAGACCTATGTAAATGGTGAAGATGTCAAATCATGTTGTCCAGAAATGGCTTTAAAACTTAAAAAAAAAAACACGTGATCATGAAACTAATGTTAATTGTAGGTGTCCAGTTTTAAATCTTTTGAGAGGATAAATAAATACATTCTAGGGACACCGCTGTTAGTGGGTTATGGTACCAATGTATTGGTTAATCTCAGACCACATGGTCGTGGTCATCCCATGGTTAGACATATTAAGTAGTTTCCAATGGTATGGTAAAAAAGGATACTAGGAAGCGGGGTTTGCGCTCCCCAGGCACTGCAGCCTTCTGGCTTATTGTACCTTCCTAGTTCCTTAGTTCAGAGCAACAGACTCAATGCTTCTCCTTAGAAGTATCAGGTCATTGACTCTCGCTGCTGCATTTTGATTCCCTAAGTTTTTTTCCGTACGTTTGGTTAAATCTCCATTGAGCTCTTGCTTTACATTCGAAGATGATATGGGTGGCTGTTTCTTCCTCCTCATTACATAATCTACAAATGGGTATCATCGTTGTATATACCCATGTTGTGTAGATGTTTTCTCAGATGCCAGTGACCGGTTAGTAGTCCTACCACTCCTCTGAGTTTGGCCCTCTCCAGTTGCAGCAATGCTTTTGCCAGTCTTGGTGAGGGTGTTTCACCATAAGTTTACTATGTCTAGCACTGCTAGAGTTTATCCACTTCTCTTTTTGTTTTGTTTGGATCCATTCTGCGATGGAAGATTCTATATTTGTTTTTGTTATCCCAAGGTTCAGGGCCTATGTATGTTCTTGCAGATCCTCCTCTGGCCAGACTGTCTGCTTTGTCGATACCCAAAATTCCCTTGTGCCCTGGCACCCAAGATATCATCAGGTTGTTGTGTTTGGAGATTTCAGATGCATTCACTGCCAAATTTTGATGTGATTCTTTTACATGCTAATGCTTTAATGGCTGCTTGGCTATCTGATCTTATGAGAATTTTTTTGGTCAGTGTAACCTCTTTTAAGATTTTCCAGGGCACAAGCATTGATGGCATGTATTTCTGCTTCAAAGACCGAAGTGTACTTTCCTAATGAGTTTTCCAATGATATAATTTGAGTGTGTAGAGATTAGTGACCGTTAATCTATAGTTATTCAGATATCATGAGATGTGGTCGGGTGTGATGTAGGTTTCAGAAAAACATTTTCTTTATCGTGCCAACGTTTCCATCTTTTATTGAGATCATCTTCAGGGCTCAAAGTGTTTGTCTTCTGTGTAAAATGTTTTTCTGAAACCTACATCACACCCGACCGCATCTCACAATATCTGAATAACGATATAATTTGAATAGTAATAGTTTAATGTATAATAATTATAATTAATAATTCTTAATATAGTTATATATAATTCCTGTATGTATACAAAATAAAAAAAGAGTATGCAATTTATTTGTATTAACATAATTTTTTCTGTCACAGTTGGTGACAGAAAAACTCACTATCTTTATGTTAATTTGTTAAAGGGCATTTCTACAGACTAAAAAGCATTAAAACAAAATCTTCTGGAGAAGTGAAAGAGAAGCGGATAAAGAAAGCTGTATGTAGTTATAAATTGAGCTGTAATTTACTAGTTTTGCTTATGGATTCTGTTTCAGGATTGTATTCCCCTTGAGCTCAGTGAAAAGAAACAGCAGCAAATTTATAACATCTTGAGCAAAGTAACTACTCAAACCCCTCCAAGTATAACTAAACTAAGGTATAGTTACATTTTGAAAGTTTTTGATCTTTTGCAGTTTTTGTCTGGTTCCTTAATGTCAAAAATAAAATATCTTTTTATGGGTTATGGGGTAAATGTAAATTGTATTTTTATAGAGCGGACGGCCAAAAAACGTGTCAAACAGATGAAGAGAAGTACAAACATATTGAAGAGAGCACATTTAAGAAAAATTTTCTAAATTCAATTGGGGGCCTGATGTCTGAAATAATTTCTCATTCAGAGTACACTACAGATGTGAGAACTTATGCAAATTTATAATATAGTGCTTTTAAATAAACTGTATATTTACAGATGAATAGAGATGCTCAGAAAGATTGGATGTATATGGAACAGGAAAAGTACAAAGCAACCAGTACGAAATACCAAGAGATGCAGAAATTCAGAAAAAAACTTCCAGCGATGTCAAAAAAATTTGAAATAATCAAACATCTTAAGACAAATAACGTTCTTTTAATAAGCGGTGAAACTGGTAAGGTTTTATTTTGCAAAGTTTTTATTCTTACATTCAGTATTATCACATTAGTATATTTCAGGATGTGGAAAAACTACACAAGTACCTCAGTTCATTCTGGAAGACAATATTGAGAATGCAAATGGTTCCATGACGCATATTATTTGCACCCAACCAAGGAGAATATCAGCGATTTCCATCGCAGCCAGAGTTGCCGATGAGCGAGGAGAAAAGCTTGGAGATAGTGTTGGTTACCAAATAAGACTTGAAAGGTAAACACGAGAGTCTCGTAATTGTTTTCCTGATTGATTATTTGTTTATTTTATTATAGATCTCTGCCAAGAAAATCTGGTTCGATATTGTTTGTAACAACAGGGGTTCTTCTGCAATTCATGAGGTCTGACCCACTTTTGAAGAAGGTGTCACATGTCATTCTGGATGAAATTCATGAAAGGGATACACTCTCAGATATGGTCATAACCCTGTTAAAAGACATTATTCCTGCTGTAAGTTTTTGGGTAGTTTAATTGGTGATTAAATAAATAAATCACATTGTATTTTTTTTCTTTTTTAGAGGCCTGATTTAAAAGTAATTTTGATGAGTGCTACTCTCAATGCAGATCAATTTTCAAAATATTTTAACAACTGTCCAACAATCAACATTCCTGGATTTACTTACCCTGTTAAAGAATATTACTTGGAAGATGTCATAGAAATGTTAAGGTAAATGAGTACGCTCTAAACAAAATTTACAAGATAAAATACAAATCAAGTTATACAAAATAAGAATAATTTATGTTATTGCAGATTTCAGTATTCAACTAAAAGGAACAAACAAAGAAAAGCGAAAAAGACTGAACTGGAAGAAACCAAACTTCTTGGTCCATTTTATCGGTGATTTGATTGTTTTTCTTTTGAATTTTTAAAAAATATTTGTAAATAATTAAGTGTGAGTTTATGTTCTCTTGTTTTTGAACATGAATCTTGGTTTTAAATATTTTAAGTGTTTGAGCTTTCACGTGCATGGATTCCATCAACTAGGTTATTACAAAATTCCTTGTGCACAACAACAATTTTTAGGCATTTCATTTTTTTTTGTTAAATAGAAATTGCAATACAGATTTGTGCAATAGGATTTGGTTGATTAATATTGAGTTATTTGAGGAGTACAAGCTAGATTTACTGTTTATGCTTGTTGATTGTTGACTTTCTTGACTTAATTCCTGTTGCTCTTAAAGAGAGCTAAAGTTCTTCCATCCCCCTCTCCAAGACTTCCTGACTCCAGGAAAAGTTCCTTTCCCAGTGATCGTCTCCACATTTGCCTCGGTTGTCCAACATCCTTGCAGGTTCCATTTTAGGGCATATCTGGCACTGCCCCTTTTTCTCAATGTTTTTTTAAAATAATTTCCATTTTCTTTTGCATACTTTGTTACCGGTTCCTTGCCGGACTGTTGGTAATTCACCCGGTCGCCCGGTACCTGGGGCTCAATGCAGATTTTTTTTTGGTCTTTGGCCACTTCGTCTCCAAAAGTAAAATAATCAGGTGCCACACTGTTTTTATATTTTGTTTTCTTTTTTTTAGAAAACTGAAACCCTCGGGTGAAATAACAAAATAAAAAGTAAAAACACAACAAGAAAGTAAAATGTCCTCTGTATGGTGAATAAAACGAAAAAAAAAAAATAAAATAAAACAAGTCTCTTCAAAAATAAACCAAAAACAAAACTGTCCAGAAACCAACCTTACAATATAAATTAAAAGCTCGAACCTTGAGTACATTCTTTTCCTTCTCGTTCCAGAGCGGTTCTCCCCTAGCACACGTGAACCCTCCACTCCATGATGATGAGAAAAAGTTCCAAAATAATTAAATAAAACACTTCTATCACATGCTTTCTTTACTTTTTCGCCTGGCTCATCCACACCAACCAGTCCCAGCTCGAGCTTCCATGTTCACATTGGTTGGGCCCCACTCCTTTCCAGTGTCCCCGCTAACCCTGGCTGGGCCTCCTTCAGCTTCCAAATACCACCCGCACGTCTTCGGCCTCTTCCAGGCCTCGCTCAACCTTGCCGAAGGCACCCTCGCCTCTGCCCGAGTCTGGCCACCCCAGTGCAAAAAATTTTTTTCCTTTCATTTTCACTTGTAACAACTTCACAGTAAGTCCATGGATGCAGTTCTGTTCGAGCTCAACATTGCTTATATGACAATTAATTAAGGTTTTTAGTTGAGATGAAAAAAAGTTAATGGCACGAGAGGGACTCGAACCCACGACCTTCGGCTAAATACGCCGCTGCTCTACCACCTGAGCTATCGTGACCTCGATCCACTCGGACATCAACTCCCCGTCTCAACCCCACCTTATGAGTTTTCCCTCCTTTTGCCATTTTTCATCTCAACTAAAAACCTTAATTAATTGTCATGTATTAATTGGTCAAGCGGACCACGAAAATAGTGAATTAATTGCTTATATGTTCAGGTAGGTAAAGGAATCTACTGTTTCATCGCTGCCATCTTCCAGCATCAGCAGTTCTAAGATTTATTCTCATCAATTTTTTTTCTTCTTTTTTCTCAATTTATTTTTAAGCCTAACCTTTTGTTGTTTAGGGCCATTGGTTTGGCTTGCAGGTCGTTTATTCTTGGTACCAAGAGACTAATGTCATCAGCAAAATCAAGGTCTTCCAATTTTACCTCCATTGAATACCTCTTTTCCTTCCTTCCAGGGATGCATGCAAGACTGCATCCAGTACCAGGGTGAAGAGGGTGGGTGACAGGAAGCATCCTTGCTAAACTTCACATAAATGAAAGAAGTCATCGGGTTTCCTCAACATGATTTAGTCCTGATGTTAATATGTCTTTCCATTCGGCGGTACATTTTAGAACTTTTTTTATTTATTATGATTTTAATGTCTACCCTTTTGAATTGGTTACCTTGAATGAGAGGGAATTCTACAAAATTTAAACGTTTTTTTTCTTTAGGCACATGGTTTTTCATAACAACTTAGTAAGTGCTCTTAATTAGTGATACTGATAAAGTATTTCAATAAGAAAACCCACAAAATATTACTAATAATTGTACAATATAATCATAATGAGGAAGTAACAATAAAGTATTGTTTACAATTTTCATTTTGTTTTAGAAATATCGCAGGTAAATATTCAAAACAGACAATAGAAAATTTAATGATGCCAGAAAGCAGTGAGATCAACAACAAACTGATTATTGCCTTGCTAACACATATTTGTCAGAATAAAGGTCCTGGTGCGATCCTGGTTTTCCTCCCTGGATGGGAAAAGATTAAATCTTTAAACCGCGAGATGACAGAATCTGGAAAATTTCCTTCTAGTGAGTATGAATCAAATTCAGTTGCACTTAAACGATTAATTGTTTATTTGTGTGACAGGTCGTTATGTGATAATTCCTTTGCACTCTTTAATGCCAACTGTTAACCAAAGAACAATTTTTGATAGACCGCCAGCAGGTCAGTTATAATTTTTATTTTTCTATTGGCCACCTGTACTAAAAGCTTGAAATTTTTCTTCTGAAGGTATGAGAAAGATAATTTTATCAACCAACATTGCCGAGACATCTATTACAATAGATGATGTTGTTTTCGTTATTAATTGTGGGAAAATCAAAGTTAAGAATTTTGATATTAAAAATAACGTTTTGACACTTAAAGAAGAGTGGATTAGCTGCGCTAATGCGAAACAACGTAAAGGAAGAGCTGGAAGGTATGCACTAGTTTAATGAACTGCAAAGTAGATTATTAAATATTGTATTTTTGTAGAGTCCAGGAAGGAATTTGTTACCATCTTTATATCAGTGTCAGGGAAAATTTCTTTGCTGCATACCAATTACCAGAAATGCTGAGGATTCGTTTGGAAGAAGTGATTTTGCAGGCGAAAATCCTCCAGTTGGGAAAAATTGCCCCTTTTCTTGCTAAAGTGATGGATCCGCCCAATCCTGATGCTGTTGAATTATCACTCGAAGTACTTACTTTTTTATATCTATGTGTAAAAGCTAGTACACACTTTTAGACAAAATCACACAACTTGTATCTATTGACAAAGTTCTGTGATTGTCTATAGAAAATTTGGGAATCGAGTGTTCTGCAATACCTGCAGACAAAAATTGCAAGTGTATGGTCTACCAGCTCGGATAGAAAACTTGAGACATTTTGTCGTGTGGAGGATGGAATGGCTGTTCTAAACCGTCTTGCTTGCATCTTTTATTCCCCACCGTAAGAAGCAATTTTTCAAAATCCGTGATGGTTAGCCAGGTAAAATTTCTGAAATGTGAACTATCTTCTAATATTAATTTGTCCAGAAAAGTCAATCCAAATTTAGGACCATCTGCCAAAACATTCCTTGTCCACCAGTGTTTACAATTAATTTTCCTTTTTTGATCAAAAATTAAAACTGAACAAGCTGCAAATCCGCAGGCCGCTATCTCACTTGCCATGTTATTGCAGAAACTCGTTTAACTGAGTTGTGTAGGTGTGGATGTGTGACAAAGGTTCTAAATCATCTAGGATTTGTTCCGCAACAGTCTACAAACAAAATCAGCGATTTGTCTATAGAGTCGTGTAATTTTGTCTACAAGTGTGTACTACTTTAAAAGTGAATGTTTGTATGTGTGTTTCGATGAAACTTTCACAATTTGTTTTTTAATGCCGGGCTGGTTTAGAGATTATAAAATGGACATATAACAAATAATGAGCGTCAGGAATTATATTTAAAAAAAAATCTTTATTATCTCCCTGGGCAATGCTGGGTTATAAAGTTATTATAACATAGTTTCATGTTTATAATTAATTTATATATTTTTAGCTTCTAACAAGTATGAATGCTTTGGATGAGGATGAGAAGCTGACCCCGTTAGGGTTTCATCTTGCTAATTTACCGGTAGATCCACATACAGGAAAAATGATTTTGTTGGCCTCTATGTTTAGCTGTATAGACACAATGTATTCAATAGCTGCCAGCCTTTCCTTCAAAGATGCATATTACATACCTATGGTTTGTTAAACATATTTCTTCCTTGTTATTCCCACATACTAACATATATTTGCAATAGGGAAGGGAAGAAGACGTATATAATATCAAAAAGAATTTTGATTCAGGTCAAAAAAGTGATCATCTTTCTATGGCAAAAGTTATACATTTGTGGGAAAATGAAAAAAGATCAAGTTGGGAAAGTGCAAAACATTTTTGTTATAGGAATTTCCTGTCCCATAATATACTAGAACAACTCCAGTAAGTTTATAACTATTAAATCAATATATATTTGTATTGTTTATTATTTAATAATATTTTTAAGTAATACCTTCCTTCTTTTAGAGAGTTGAAGTTTCAGTTTGCAAAATTAATGTGTGACATGAATTATCTTTCTACATCAAATGTTAAAGCGCCCGAGTCGAATAAGAACTCAAAAAATCTTGCGCTTATAAAAGCATTACTCTGTGGCTCACTCTACCCCAATGTTGCAGTTATAACGTAATTATAATTTTAATTATTTTTCTACCTCAAAAATCATACACAGTATTTTTTGTACATTTTTAGAAAGCTTAAAAAGGTAAGAACGAAGATATTGACAACTGTAAGGTTACCGGAAAACAACCAGAAAGTCATTATACATCCTAAGTCTGTTAATGATAGCTATGAAAGTTTTGAAAGCAGGTAGATACAAATGATCCAAGATGGATATACCAGTCTTCACACATTAAAATTTGCATTTCAGATTTTTGGTTTACTATGAAAAAATGCGATGCCTCAATTCGACGTTTCTTTTTGATACATCCATGATATTTCCTCTACCTCTGATATTTTTTTGTGAGAAATTTAGTGTGGAGGATGAAGGAGAGCTCAGAATAATTGAAATAAATCCAAATATACGATTTATTTGTCATTCCTCATTAGCTAAATTAATAATTGTCAGTTGTTATTGGTTTTTCTTGATACAAATTTTCTAATAATAATGTTATGTTAGGAATTACGAGCTTGGTTGGATTGGCTTCTTGAATATAAGTTATCCCACCCTGGAGTCACAAACTGGTCAACATCTAATGATGAGCATTACATTTTAAGGTATATAGTCAAATTATTTTGTAATTAAATTTGTTTCAAAATATATAACTTATCTTTCAGCGCAATAACAGAGCTAATTACAACTGAACATGAAATGTATGTCAATTACGATGATGAGGATGACGATGATGATGATGACGGATTGCTGACACAATGGCATCAATTTTCTATTAATACTTAAAACACTGTTCTGTACATATATGATTATTACTTTGTAGGAATGCAGAATCGTTTCTTTTTTCAGGGTGTTCCTTTTTCAAATTGATAATTTTAATTTTCCAGTGAAATTCTCAGTATAATCTCAATTAGAGATTTAATGAGCAGGTTCTCCATCATTGGAAGATTAAGAAGTTATTGATTTTTTTTAGTTGTAAAAAGTTTGTCATTAATTTTGAATAAAAAGGCGTAGAAAATTCTTGATTCTTATTCTTTTTATTGTTTAATGTGTTTTTTTAAATTTTAGCGTTTGAATAAACTTATTACGTTTTTCCAACTGTGTAGGAAAAGCGTAATAATTTATTCATACCCAAACAAAAGTAATGAAATTCATTTGTTTACAATGTGCAAATTGTGAGACAATTTTTTCTGTGATTTTGAAAGTGTATTCAACTCAATTTATAAAAAATAAATGATGTAATTTATGACTTGCTTCATATAACCTTCAAAATGGACTATTCTATAATTGCATTTTATTGTATTAATTAATGTTCAAAATAATTTAAATGAATTAGATAAAGGGTATTTGAAAAAAAAAAAATTTTGTACATTTTGGGCACATCTTTCATTTTTCATTATCTCATTATTGGAAGTGTTGGTTTCATGGGGCACTTAACAGAAATTAGCCTATTTGATAACTAGTTCAATTTAATTTTAATTGAAAGACAAAAACCAATTGGTTGGATATTAATTGTCAATTTATGTTACAGGTTTCTATTTGTATATTAATGATAAAATTCTAAATTATTCTAATCAATTGACATTTAGCACTGCTGAAGATGTGTCAATAGCCCGACGTTAAAAAATATTAAAAAACCAGTAAGGATTTTTTTTTCCAAATTCCCACAACCTACATTGTGAACTGTGGATAGCATAACAAAATTATTATTTTAATTAAAAATTTATTCATGTTGTTAGGTCATTTATGATTATTTTAGTGTGCATAACTTTGCTGTTCGGACTACTAAATGCATTCAGCATTTCGCCGTTTGCACTTCTGCAGAAATCTCACATTATTCTCCCCAATCATCCTAATCGGTTAATTTAACCCTTAACGCAACAGCTTTCTATGTCTTGGTCTAGGTCACAGTTTTATCTTAATGTACAAGAAGATTCAAAGAGGAATGCCTCCTCACTTCAGGACCACAGGAGCTTCTCACGGACGAATACATTGAACTATAGAGTGCCACAATACCAGTAACTTTTAAGAAATGATGAACTTACATAAAAATGGGAAGCAGAAATTTGAGGAACAACATACCGTTGGCCTTGAAAAATTGCCCAAAATTTACTCACCCATTGTGCAACTATGAAATATCCTGCATTTGACAATCTTTTTAGTTTCAGGCTTTCAGCGTGAATATAATTTGTCTGCAGTCAATAAATGGTTTAATATCTTCAAAAAGCGCAGATGAGATTCAAATAGGGTTTTGCAGTGTAGGAAAACAAATTTAAATTTAAAGTACACAATAAAAATGCCTACGTTTTACTAGTTTTGTATATTTTTTTTAAACAAGAGAAATATTTATGGCCTATATTTTTTTATGATATAAGTACTTTTCAATTAGTTTTATCAGTTAAAAAAAAAAAAATAAGCAATCACAAATACACACATACATAATATGTTTTTATTTATTATAAAAATCTAATAAATATGTAATATTGAATATAAAAATGTTATATAAGTTTATAACATTATTTGCAATATGTTCAAACTCAAATTTAAACATTATTATTTGTTCTCAATTTAAAATAAATTATGCATATTTCTGCACTGTCACAAATCAATATATTAAAAAAAATTATTGGTTTTTGGGAGAAAAGTGTTTTTCCTTGTGTCTGCTTGCGATAGAAAGCATTTCAAGAAAGGATGGCTCAGCTTCATCACTTTCTTCCTGTGATGCATCACTGTAGTAATAAGAATCATAGTCCTCAGTTGATTTTACTATTGATGATTCCTCAGCTAAAAGCCCTAAAACTGAACCAGTATCAGTTAGCATGTGTGCTTTGCGGTTTAAGTTAGTCATATCGCTGTCCTGATCCATGTTTAGAACCGAGAGCCTGAGTTTTTCAAATGTTTCTTCTAAAAATTGTTTATCTTCTGGCTTTGCTTTAGCAAGATGGTCTCGTTTCATGGAACTAATAACATCTAAGATAGAATCCTTATCCAATTGGTTTAAAAATGACCTCATGTTTTCGGTCATATTACTGTCTGACATATCTTTAATCGTTAAAGATGGTAATAAACCTTCTTCCACAGAACGATCATCTTCCACTGAACGAGAGCGAACATGACGTCTTTTTATCGGTGATTTATTCTCTTCTTCTATGATGTCCAGCTCTGTTGGCCCTTTCTGATCTAACGTTTCTATAATTTCTGAATGATTATTTTCATTTTCTTTTAGGTTTTGGTTTTCTGCCCTAAAAATATCCATTTTAAAGGGTTTATTGTGGGTGTCCAAAGTTTTTTCTTTCTTATCGTCTTCCATATTGGTTGGAACTTCAGTTGGCTCAGACTTGTCATTATGACGTATAATAGTTTTGGATTCATATAATTTTACTTCATGATCACCTTCAGAATTTTTAATCTTTTCTTCTTCAAGTCGTTTTTTGGTACTTCCAAAAGTTTTATTTTCAAATTGTATGGTCAACCACTTTTTACTATAATCAATATGTTTCCTTTCTGCATATGGGGTTTTAAGTTGGTTATTCTTTTCCGCTGGAATAAAAGTTCTATTACTTATTGTTTGTGTAAGGTGTTCTAATTTTGTAATATCAGATGAGTTAATTGATTTTGCCGGTTCTGGAAAACCCGTAGCCATAAAGGCTTTTTCTTCATTAAATTGACTTTGTTCTGAATAATCTAGTTGCAAATCTGCGATGGTTTCCTCATTAGTACCATTTATGGTTATTTGATTTTGAGTATTGCTATAGGAGTTTTCAGTTCCATTCCTTTCATCCTTGCTCCTTGTAGCTATATCAGCAAAATGTTCAAACAAATTGAGTTTCCTTACATTTGCTTGAAGCACACTATCAGTTTTATTTGTGTGCTGTTTCTCAATAATATCCTCTATTAGGGTCTTCCTTTCACCTTCAGTATCATTGTTAACAATATTTTTAAGTCCATTCATAAAATTGTCAGTTTTAATTTGTTCCTTATTCACAGCATTGTGTATTACATCAGAATCTGTGGTAGTAGGTGTGTCTGTTTTCTCTTCTGATTTAAATGGTTCAGTGTGGTTTAAGTAAGACAATTCAATGTTAATAGATTTTTCTTCTTTTGATATATCTTTATAATCCTTTTCTGCAGTAGACTGTTCCTCATTTTTATCTGATTCAATTTTTTGTTGAATTACAATAGTTTCGATCTTAGCTTGGAAATCTTTCTCAGTATTAGCTTCTTGCCCATATTCAATTGGCTCAGTGATGTCAGATTTTACTGACAATTCAGGTTCACTTTCGCCAGTAGTTTTTTCTTCTGTTGTTATTTCTTTTTCAACTGTGGGCTCATTCTTATCATTCTCCAATAAAATTTTATGTGGATTTTCAACGCTAATACTTCTGATCGTGTCTTGGAAATCTTTTTTGATATTGTCTGCTATACCTGATTCAAGCAGTTCACCTTGTTTTTCATTAGAATATTCAGAAACTCTGTCAATAGTTTTTACTTCTGCTGATATATTTTCAATTGTGGGATGTTCCTTAGTCTTGTTTTTCTCTAGTAAAATTTTTTCTTTAATTTCAGTTGGTATACTTTTGACTTGACCAAGTAAATCTTTCTTAGGGTTGACTAAAAATCCAGATTCAAGTTTTCTACCTCCATCAGGAACATCTTGGATCGTAATAGTTTTCTCTTCTGCTGTTATATTCTCATCACCATATTCCATGATTGTTTCTACTGGAGGCAGCTCCTTTTTCTCCAGGGCAATGTTTTCTTCATTTTCAGTTGGTATACTTTTAACTTGATCTAGTAAATCTTTCTCAGGGTTGACTAAAATTCCAGATTCAAGTTGTTCACCTCCATCAGGAACATTTGGGATCGTAATACGTTTCTCTTCTGCTATGATATCCTTTTCATCATTTTCTAGAATTATTTCTGCTGGAGGCAGCTCCTTTTTCTCCAGGGCAATGTTTTCTTCATTTTCAGTTGGTACACTTTTGACTTGATCAAGTAAATCTACCTCAGGGCTGACTAAAATTCCAGATTCAAATTGTCCACCTCCATCAGGAACATCTTGGGTGGTAATAGTTTTCTCTTCTGCAGTTATATCCTTTTCATCATTTTCTAGAATTATTTCTGCTGGAGGCAGCTCCTTTTTCTCCAGGGCAATGTTTTCTTCATTTTCAATTGGTATACTTTTGACTTGATCTAGTAAATCTTCCTCAGGGTTGACTAAAATTCCAGATTCAAGTTGTTCACCTCCATCAGGAACATCTTGGATGGTAATAGTTTTCTCTTCTGCTGTTATATCCTTTTCATAATTTTCTAGAATTATTTCTGCTGGAGGCAGCTCCTTTTTCTCCAGGGCAATGCTTTCTTCATTTTCAGTTGGTATATTTTTGACTTGATCAAGTAAATCTTCAGGGTTGACTAAAATTCCAGATTCAAGTTGTTCACCTTCATCACGAACATCTTGGGTGGTAATAGTTTTCTCTTCTGCTGTTATATCCTTTTCATCATTTTCTAGAATTATTTCTGCTGGAGGCAGCTCCTTTTTCTCCAGGGCAATGTTTTCTTCATTTTCAATTGGTATACTTTTGACTTGATCAAGTAAATCTTCAGGGTTGACTAAAATTCCAGATTCAAGTTGTCCACCTCCATCAGGAACATCTTGGATCGCAAAAGTATTCTCTTCTGCTGTTATATCCTTTTCATCATTTTCTAGAATTATTTCTGCTGGAGGCAGCTCTTTTTTCTCCAGGGCAATGTTTTCTTCATTTTCAGTTGGTACACTTTTGACTTGATCAAGTAAATCTTCCTCAGGGTTGACTAAAATTCCAGATTCAAGTTGTTCACCTTCATCACGAACATCTTGGGTGGTAATAGTTTTTTCTTCTGCTGTTATATCGTTTTCATCATTTTCCACAATTACTTCTTCTGGAGACAGCTCCTCATTCTCCAATGCAACATTTTCTTCATTTCCAGTTGGTACACCTTTGACTTGATCAAGTAAATCTTTCTCAGGGTTGACTAAAAATCCAGATTCGAGTTGTCCACCTCCATCAGGAAAATCTTGGATCGTAATAGTTTTCTCTTCTGCTGTGATATCCTTTTCATCATTTTCCAGAATTATTTCTGCTGAAGGCAGCTCCTTTTTCTCCGCAATGTTTTCTTCATTTCCAGTTGGTATACTTTTGACTTCATCAAGTAAATCTTTCTCAGGGTTGACTAAAATTCCAGATTCAAGTTGTCCACCTTCATCAGAAACTTCTTGGATGGTATTAGTTTTCTCTTCTTCTTCTATATCTTTTGCATTCTCACCAATAAGTAATTGTACTGTAGGCTGCCCTTCTTTATTCTCACCCTCTGACATAGTTTTTTGTTGATAGTCAAAAATTAACCCTTTATGTAGATCTTGACTTTTGTTGAAATACACTGACAGTTCAGTATCAATTTTGAAATCAATAGTTTTCTCTTCAGCTGGTTGATCCTTTTCAACTGTGAACTGTTCCTCATTGTTACCATTCTGTAATATGTTTTTGTGTTGATTTTCAATATATAAATTTTTCTCGATATTGTCTACTGTTCTAGATTCTAGCGGCTCACTTTGATTTTTGCCAGAAAACACCAATTCAGAAACACCTTTGACATCAACTGTTACTGTTTCTGCTTCTCTTTCATCCATTTCATCAGTTATTTCACCTACAGCCAGCTCCATTTTGTTATTGATTTCTGTTTCAATTTTGTGTTCATTTGCATCATTTATACTTTTAAAAACTACAAATTCATTCTCAACATTGATTACTCTTTCTGTTTCATTAGACTGGCTTTTAGTAATGACGGAATTTCTTTCTGGAACATCTCCGATTATAAGTTCTTTGTTTTCGGGCATATTTTCATTTTTTTCAGTAGTCACTTCACCTTCGAGCAGTTCCACATTATTATCATTTTCTATTAAAATTTGGTGCTCGTTTTCAATGTTTAAACTTTTAAAACTGTAGTCATTTCCAACATCTTCAATGGGTTTAGTAATGAGAGAATTGCCTGCAATTTCAGGAATATCTTCAATAGCGATTTTTTTATTTTCAGTCGCTAAGTCAACCTTTTTAACAGACATTTCTCCTGCAGGTTGTTCTAAATTATTATTGTTTTCTGTTAAAAGTTTATCTTCATTTTCAATAGTTCTACCTTCAAAAATTTCAGACCCATTCTCAATGTCTGCTGTTCGTTCTGCCTCGGTAAGCTCACTTTTATGTATATCGGTATCCAATGTAAATTGTGAAGTACCTTCACTCACAATTTCTGTTTTTTCTTTGAGAGTTATTTCTTCATCATTCTTTGCCATTTCTACTTGCAGTTGATCTCTATTATCACTATCCTTTTTCAAAATCTTGTGTTCATTTTCATTCATTTTACTTGAAACAACAACGGATCCATTCTCAATATTAACCACTCGTTCGGCTTCAGTAGGGTCACTTTTATGTTCGTCAGCATGTTCAGTAAATTCATCTTTAGTGGCATCTCTTGCTACATCGCTCTCAGCATTGTCAACTTCTATTTTTATAATAGTGGGTTGTGGATTTTCATTGGGAAAATTTTCAATAATAGCAACTTTTTCTTTTTCTAATGGTACAATACTACCATTTTCTAGATGAGATGTATCAATAATACTAATTTCCATTTCAGTATAATCACTCCCATTCATATTTTTAATGTTGGAATCTACTGCAACATTTTCAATTATTAAAATTGTATCTTCTTCAAGATTCTTCTGAATCTCAGTCTGTTCGGAAGATATGTCAATTTTAATGTTATCTGCATCTTTTGGATTATTATCCTTGATGTTAGTCACCATAGAAGGACTATGTGAAATAATTTCTTCTTCAGCATGATGACTCTGATTGTTGACAATTCTTCTTAATTGTTGTTTATTAAAATCTGTCTCAGTATTAATTTTTTCACGTTCATTCACATTTAATACTGTTTGAAGAACTTTAAGAGTATTATCTTTTGTTTTATGAAGATCATTTGTAGCATTGTTTTCTTGTGATTTTTCATATGTTTTTCCATTATTAATTACTGCTCCTTCCAGACTTTCATTAAATGTTCTTTCACCTTTGTCCGCAAGTTCAATAACGAAGTATTCAACTGGAGATTTTCTATTCTGTTGTACATCTATGTTTGCTTTATCTTTTGTCAATTCTTCATTTGTTGTGTTGTAAAAATTATTCCTGATTTTTAATGAGCCATTCTGTGCATGGTCAAGTTTTGCTTCTTCCTCTATTTTGTTCTTATGCTGGTTTAAAATAAACTGAGCTACAGTGACTTCATGTGGCTTGCTTACGGGTTGTACTTCAATATTAAATCGGTTAACTTTTTCAGTGGGCTGATTTTCATTGTACATTTCTTTTATGTCATCTTTTCCATTTATTTCTTTCATTGGTTTTATCGCAAAACCAATCAATCCTTTGGTCTGTTCAGTTCCAATATTTATTATGTTCTTCCCTTCTGTAATTAATTTCTCAATAAATTTTTTATTTTTATAAGCAGTTTTTTCAAATTGCCCTTTTTCTATTGGCAAAAATTTTTTGACTGCCCATTTCGCCATATCATAATATAATTTATTATGAATCTTACTTTGGCTTTTTTTCTGTAGGAAGGGACACAGTGGAGTGTTTATTTTACAGTTAATATGTTTGATGACCTCATACGTTGGACCATTAAATTTGACATTTCCTTTGTTTGCACGGCCTACATCTTCATTTTTCGTCTTTGTGGCTTGATTTGCAATATGTCGAGGAAATACGTTTCCTAACGTTTTGTAACCATGATATGAATTAAATAATGGTTTTTCACTATCTTTCTGAAAATCAGCTACTTTCGCATTTAGCATATGGTAGGTTAAGGGTATTAGATATGTAACATATTTTTTCACCCCAAATCTAACATCCATTTTTTCTTTATGTGATGAATCCTGGCGATGGTGATAATAACCTTAAAAATAAAATAAAAATAATATTGAATAAAGTACAGTATTACAATCACATATAACATATTTATGTAAAATTGTTTTATTATTATTGATATAAGAACAGGTTCTTTGAACAACATTTATATTACAATTCCCTTTTCCTCTTTCTTTGTTTTTTTGTTTTATTTTTATATTCTGGGTCAGTGTTAAAATATTGGGCTCATTAAAAACATAAAATATTGCTGAACAACCTTGAGAGTTATTTATTTCTTAATCCTTAATTTGGTAATTTATCATATTTTATTTTCCTGAACATCACAACTCTTCCAATTTAAAATTTGGCTGTTCCTTATTCTCCGTGAGTTTTCTGACACGAACCACATTTCAGTTTTCACTACAGCCTTGCTACATTTGCATAATAATTTTTTATGTAGTTTATTTTAAATCATGCTTCTCTAAGAGTTTTCCAACTGTATATAAAACATCAAGGATAAGACGAATTTGAAAGAAAGAAAAATACTCATTTCCTTCATCAAGATTTAAAATAAGCTTAAAGTGACTTTATTCATAATAAATTTATGAATTTAGCTCAATAGACTGGACAAGTTCTATTAAAATTGTATCAATAATTATTTTTTAACATTTTTAACCACGTTTCACAGTTTCTAAAGTAGGGGAGAAAAGGTTTTGTCACTCCTTTACACAAAAGATGTGGGTTCTGCTACTTCAAAATGTAATGTTTTTTTAATCTAAAATGATTTATTTATATTTTACTATATGATAATTAAGTTTATACGATTTATTTACATTTATAAGACCGCATTCTTGACAATGGATCATGGGTAATACATTTTTAATTAGCCCATTCTGAGAAATAACAATTTTTTAAAACTATTTTTTCAATAACAATATTGAATTGTTTTCATTTAAATAACAATTTAATTTTAACGAAAAAAATTTATTAAGGTAAAATGAGTAAAGCTCCTCCTAGTAAAGGCTGAAATGCATGAGCATTAAGAAATAAATAAATCAAAAGGATGATATTGACAATATTTTATATTTTAATTGGTTCAACATTTTAACACTAAATCCAAGTAACTTTATTGTAAATTTACTATATTGTAATATCTGGAAGGAAGGAAAATATAATTATCTTTAAAATCAAGATTGATAAATTACTTAATTTTTATAATGCTTTTTGGATTTTTATGTTATATATAAAAGTATAGACTTTATTTTGGAAAAAAAATAAGTTTTTATTTGCTTACTTTAAGCAAAATAATTTCAGTGTCAACCATTTTACTATTACATGTTTTAAAATTGAAGTTTAATGCAACAGAAATGAGGATTATTGAAAAAAATTAAACCTGCGCTCACACGTAAAGTGTCATATATGTAACTGATCATCATATTAATAATTTATCTATAACAAGAGGCTACAGAATGGTATCACTGATTTTAATAAAACTTATCGTGGGGATGAAAAATATTAGACAAGCGTCTGCGCATTTTTGCCAGTGGGTAAATTTCAGCTATTTTTTTTTTCTCAATGGATACCAGGAACTAGAGGAGTTCCCTCCTGAGCACTGCAGCTGTACAGCTTATTGTACTTTATCCCTGGCTCCATTTTTGGGGGCTCGCAACACAAGCATGAATTTGACCCCCCCCCCCCCGGTGTGCCGGTGTTCTTCCATCGAAGAAACTCAATTTTGAAGAGGGTTGGGACCAAATTCAAGGTCGCTGAGATCTGATCCTGCTCCTTCCATTGATGAGTGCCGTGTTTTTTCTTTTGTTCTTTCAATTCACCGGTCCCCTTAGGCGTCAGAAAAAGTTCAGAGGCAACGTGGGGATCGAACCCACGACCGCGGGATCTACTACGCCGAGAGTTTGATGACTTAACTACTCGGCTACCGCGGCCCCCCCAAATTTCAGCTAATTAAACATTTTTGGAATTTTTTAAAAATTGGACCGATTCAAAAGAAGAAAGGTTAAGAATTTTTTTTTTAATGTATCCAAAACTTTGTATTCAGGTTTTTAAGGTGTGATTAACAAATATCATCTTTGTTTCTCACTACAAAATTATTTCAACATACTTTGCAGAAAAACGATTCTGAGTGCTAGCAAATTGGCACTAACTATTAAAATACTATATTAATTGTAGCAAAGCAATTCAATTTTTTTTTGCAAGAAACAAAGTTGATATTCATTAATCTCACCCTTAAAAATTCCTGAATTTTTGGGCAAATCATCAAATATTGCTTTCTCAAAATTTTCCTCTTATTTTATTTACAAATACAAAAATTGTGCCATTAGTTAAAGCTCATAGAGTAAAGATTTTGGTGGATTAGTTGTCATTTACAAGTCATCACTATTTTTGTGATTTTTGAAAAGAATCAGAGATATGTATTCTTTTTGAAAATCTCAAAAATAGTGATAACTTAAAAATGACTATCAGAATCTTTACATAGATTTAGGACCCTATGAACAAATAATGACACACTTTTCAACTTGATAAATAAATTAGAACCGTAGAAATAAAATAAAACGTTTGAGGAGTTTTTTCATCCTTATTTTTCTCACTTATGAAAATATAAAATCTAATGTTCGTTAATGTAGGCTCAAAGGAGAGAAATGAGGATCTCCAATAGTTCTAATGAGGTTCAATTTGGATAAAATCCAAAGGATTTATAAAGTTTAATAGTAATCCAGTCCAAAAATTTCTATTTTTTTATGACCACGATTTTTTTTATTTATCAGTATTTTTTGCAACATATCCTAATTGTTTCTTTCAAAATATATTTTTTAACTACTTTACTTTACTAGAAACGTTTTTGTAACTTTTTATATATCTGATCTCATTTATTACGATCCTGCATATTATTTTCTTATCCTAGGTTAAAAAAATCGACTGATATATAATAACCTTGAAATACATATATAGCAAAAGCAATTAGCTGAAATATATTTTTTTTCGGCTCCTAGATCCCATTAGCAAATAGACTCGGACACGTGTCTAATATTTTTCAAACTAGTATTTAAAAAAAAGCACTTTTCATTGAAATAGGTGATTTGACGTTCTTACATTTTATTAATCAAATATTAAATAGCTGTCTAATAAAAAGAAATTTTGCAAATATATTCTGGAATTAAAACCTTGATTTATTGTATGTTGCACAAATTTTCCACATAATCGCGAGTTTGTGCGAAAACTTTGTCAAAAAAAAGTCGTATTTACCACTTGGCCTCTCATGTCTCTGCGACTTTGCTAAATGCAGGATTATTATGAGAAGCAAATTTATTAATATCCTGGCTTCCATCCTTCCTCAACCCCGGCCAAAATCAGGACTGGAGAGGTTTAGATTAAAAGTCCGAATCGAGAATTGTTTAATCCCCATAGAGAATACAACAAACACCGATTAAACAACAACAAAATAAAAACTATTCAGTAGTTGCAGTTGTCTTTATTTAAATCTTGTATTTAATGTTAACACACGATTTTAAATTTAATAACTTCATGATTATATCTGGACACTTTTCGTCCTGAGGATGTACGAATGAATATTTTGCCAAAAAGATGCCGAAAACGTTAGAGAAAGTTCCGCTTGTTTTTTTATGTTTTAATTTATTTTATAATCCTAGAAAAAAAAGAAGTACTAGTAGTTATAAAAGTTCTGCGTTTATTTTTTTGTAGTAGTGGATTTCAAGGATGTTTCGCAATATATTCCACGTCCGAAGATGCACAATTTACATTTCGCCGTTAGGATTTTCATAGGAAAATTGCGCAAAACAATGTGGGCTTGGTATAAAAGCGAATTGCAAATAGACACCGTGTGCGAATATTATCCAGTTTCACAATCAGCAAATTAGTCTTCAATATTTACCCCTATTCAAAAGCCCTGGATGACGATAGTTCCTATCAAAATGGCGATGTTTTACGTCCGTTTCAAACCCACGGTCTCCATTTTATAGCCCGTTTAAAATAAAACATACTTGAATAAGACAAAACAGAAAGACATGTTCAAAATTATAGCAGAGGGGCTAAGTTCAAATTGTAGCCCTGGCTAAGTTTATTTTTCGATTTATTTCAATAACAAAGCACCGCTGTCTCAAACTCAGAAAGACAAAATTACAAAATTTATCATTTTACATGATTAAAGATAATATATTACTTAAAGATATCCATGTGCAGATACTCCCATAAAAGCTAGTAAATGTTAGTACTAACAGTTTTTAAATACAAGAATCAAAATGCAAGAAAAAAACTTTTTTACGACGGTGGGTTCGCAACAGCAGAGGTCATATAAACCCTCAGTGTCGGTGTTTTTGAAAAAAGCCCATTTGTAAGTATGTCGGGTTCGAATGTAGGGCCGGTGGATTCGAACCCAGGACCTTTACCTTCCAGTGATGAGCGCCGTGCCAACGCGGCCACCGACGCCCCGAAAAAAAACTTCAAATTTATAAAATTTTGAACTAAACAAGTCTTGATTAAGTGAATTAGCAGATCCTAACTAAATAAATAAAAACTTAATAACAACAGTTTTCTTTTTCTTTTTGAATCAATAAAGTATAAAATTATTCGATCACAATGTCCAACTCGTTCTTCAAATTGTAAATAAGTAAATAACTGGATGTAATTAATTTTCGTTGATTTTTAACTCTTAACTTTTAAAATAAACATCGCGTTTGAGAATTAACAGGTCCTGAATAATTTTGCTGATTCTTTTAAATGTACAGACCTTGAAATGATTCCGACAGATTTTAATTTTAGTTATAATTTTAGTTGATTTTTTAATACATTAAACACGATATTTGTTAAATCCAATATTTAGTGGTCTATTGACCAAATTACTTCTTTCAATTAATTAATCTTTTTTATGTAAAGTTGTAGTTGAAAAATGGCAAAAAGGAGGAAAAATTCGAAAGGTTGTAGGTTGAGATAGGGAGTTGGTGTCCGAGTGGATCGAACTATGGAAGTCACGATAGCTCAAGTGGTAGAGCAGAGGCGAATTGAGCCGAAGGTCGTGGGTTCGAATCCCACTCGGGGCACTAGCGTTTTCATTTCGACCAAAACCTTACATAAAAAGGCTGTAGTTGTTGTTAATTTGTTGCTAGAGCTTTATTTCACTGGTTTTGTACTTATGGATACTCCACAGTAAGAAAACCAGTCAAATAAAACAAACAACAAATTAGACTTAAAAAAAAAGAGTTTATGAATCAAATAAGTCTCTAATTAATCGATTATAACGAATGTGTAACTGTTGTCGAAATATTTAGTGTATATTTATTTAAAAATTTCATAGCTAGAGAGGGGAAATCAATAAATAAATTATATTACAGTGCTATAATAAAGTTAAAAAAAGAAAAGAAAGAAAAAACCTTCATAAGATCAGACAGCCAAGTAGCCATAAAAGCACTAGCATATAGGTCACATCGAAAATTATTCACTAACTGTAACTGCACCCAAAATCTCCAAAAAATACCAAATACAACAAACCATCTTGAGCGCCAGGGCACAAAGGAGTTCTGAGTAACAAAAAGGAGGTACAAACTGTCCAGAGGTAGATCTTATAATTAGGATAACAAGATCAAACATAGACTCCTCTATCACAGAATGCGTTCAGAAATAACAAAAAAAGAACTGGACGAACTCCAGAGGTGCCAGACACAGTAAACCTATGATTGAAGAACCCTAACCAAACTGGTAAATACATTGCTACAGTTGTACAGTGTAAATCTCGGGGACTAAATGGGAAATAAACCGGTCATTGATATCTGAGAAAGCACCTGCAAGATATGGGTATATTCAATAACATTTATGAGTTATGCAATGAGGGGGAAGACAGCACCACCCACATCATCTGCCAATATTTAATGGAGACTTAACCTAAGAATCGAAGGAAAAACGAAACTAAGGAACTAGGAAAAGTACAGTAAGCCTGGCTGCTTGGGAATACAAAGCCCCGCTTACTAACATTCCATGATCATCGGCATTGTCATCCTTAATAAATACGAATGTGTAAAAAAATAAGCGACAACTTTAGGTTGGCCGTTTCCGTAAAAAAACTAAGCTACAAATTTAAGTTGATCGTTTCCGGTCATTTTGGTCTGGCTATCCTTCTTGTTTTGGCCTGTCAGAAGAATTGCGGCTCCGCCATTTTTATTTATCGGTTTGTGCTTCCAACTAAACCACGACCGCCTCTGAAGTTGGGAAAATGCCGATTAAATGCCTGAGAAACAAACCCTGTGGCGATAGGCTGGCCAAAATGATCCAAATTTCATGTTCATCACCTTGCAGATAACATCGTGAAATTTCACAAATCCGAATGTGTCAGAACTCAGAAGTTTGATTTACATCGGTCATTTTTACAATATGTTTTTTATGGTTTGAGGCAAAAATTTGTTTGCAGATTTATGGTTTTGTATAATTGAGAAATGTTCTATTGAACTTTGATTGGACGTTTATTGGCTATGAAAATGAAACTTTATTTATTGGGAGATTGTCGATGTTTTTGCATGAAAATTAAATAAATAAAAATAGGTAGAATTTAAAAAATAGTCAATTTAAACAATATTTTATGTAAATTTTGCAAATGTTCGTCAGAAAGTTTAGCTTAGTTTTGAAAATTACTGCTATAATTATAGAGATAGTTTTGATGGAAAATTCTTTATACGTTTTGCGTCCTATAGACAAATAATGATACTTGTAATTGGTTTTGTAACATAGTTGGGAAACGATATTCACTCGATGCTGGTACTCGTATATAACTAGGCTCTCCCGCATGTCAGCAGTCATACCAAAATGAATCCGTGGATGTGTGTCGCGATTTTCTTCGCCGCGAGTACCGCCGCCCGATCGACTAAAGGTCTCACAGGACCACTTCCGGTTTAATAGACAAAGTGGAAAACTAATCTTCAGTTTTCTTTCCTAGATTTGAAACTAGATCCAGAGAGTGAGACGAAGCTTGCCAAACAGCTTGAAGAGATCGAAAAGGAATTGGAGCTAGTCGAAAAGCTGGAGAACGAGATTGACGGTAACTCTTCCAGGGAGGCCAGGGGCCTTCTTAAGAAGCTAAGCTTCATGGCTGGTAAGTACTGATTTTAATAAGAAAACTTTTATGTTTTATTATGAGATTTCCTCTTCAGTACTGCAGTCACTGTAGTTTGATCGTTTTCGATCAATTTGGATTGTTCTTTTTCTCTGGTTTGGTTTATCAAGCACTTGGCATTGCCTAACTTCAGAGGTGCTTTTGGTTTATTTGGAATCAGAAACCAACAACTGAAGATGGCGAGAAATCAAAATGCGTCTGATAGGCCATAACATGGGAGGATAAGCAGACCAAAATGATCGGAAACGACCAACCTAAAGTTGTAGCTTATTTTTAAGGATGATAATGCTGATGATCATGGAAAGTTGGTTAGAGGGGTTTGTACATCAGACTCTCTCTCACTCGCTCTCTCTCTCACTCGCTCACTCTCTCTCTCTTTCTCTCACTCTCACTCGCGCTCTCTCTCTCTCACTCACTCTCTCTCTTTCTCTCAGTCTCTCTCGCTCTCTCTCACTCACTCTCTCTCTCTCAATCTCTATCTCACTCTCTCACTCTTTATCTCACTTTCTCACTCTCTATCTCACTCTCTCTCTCTCTCCCACTCTCTCTCACTCTCTCACTCACCCTCTCTTACTCTCTCTCGCTCTCTCTCTCACTCTCACTCTCTTACTCTCTCTCCCTCTCTCTCTCTCCCTCTCTCTCTCTCTCTCTCCCTATCTCTCTCCCTCTCTCTCGCTCTCTCTCTCTCTCACTCTGTCTCTCACTTTCTCTCTCTCTCTCTCTCTCTTACTCTTAATCTCTCTCACTCTCTCTCACTCACTCTCCCTCCCACTCTCTAGCTCTCTCTCTCTCACTCTGTCTCTCACTCTGTCTCTCACTTTCTCTCTCTCTCTCTCTCACTCTCTCTCTCTCTCTCTCTCACTCTCGCTCTCGCTCTCTCTCTCTCTCTCTCCCTATCTCTCTCCCTCTCTCTCGCTCTCTCTCTCTCTCACTCTGTCTCTCACTTTCTCTCTCTCTCTCTCACTCTCCCTCGCTTCTCTCGCTCTTTCTCTCACTCTCTTCTCTCTCTCTCTCTTACTCTTAATCTCTCTCACTCTCTCTCACTCACTCTCCCTCCCACTCTCTAGCTCTCTCTCTCTCACTCTGTCTCTCACTTTCTCTCGCTCTCACTCTCACTCTCTCTCTCTCTCTCGCTCTCGCTCTCGCTCTCTCTCTCTCTCACTTTCTCTGTCACTCACTCTCTCTTGCTCTCTATCTCCCTCACTCACTCTCGCATTCTCTCTCTCTCTCTCTCTCTCTCTCTCTCATCTCCCTCTTTTTTTCAAATTAATTAAGCACATATATTAAAGAAAATTAAACTTTTTAGTTAATAAAATTGTTAACCATTATTACTTTTTTATGTTATCTCTATATAAGCAAAGCATTTCATCAACTCATTTTGTTTGTTTAAATAAACTAGTTTTCTAAATAATTATTATATAATTAATTCAATGAATTAAATATTTTATGTGATAAAACTTTAACTGTAAACTATTCTAAAAGTATAAAATATTATATTATTTTAACACATTTAACGGTATAAACAAGTAAAATTAAAATAAATGTATGTTTTGAAAAAATATTTTCTGATAACATGATAAAATTATTAGGATAACATGAAAACATAAAACTCAAATAGTGTATTTATTGTTATTATTAATTTATCTTAAATACAATTGAAAATTGGATTACTTTATAATGTTTGTGATGAATCATCAAAAGTAAAAAAAAAAAAAAATAGTAATAATAAAATAAATAAATAATAAAATTTAAATTCTATCAGGGGAATGGGGTTTTTATATAGAAAATATATAATTAATAGTTTTAACTCAGTTTACACCTTTATTTGAATAACTAAGTAAACACACACAGTAAAATCATTGGGCTTAAACTTAGACTGCGCAAGTCCTTTCTATTTATTACACAAGACATCACAATTAGGGCCATCTATATATAAACAATACTATTATATTACAAATAATAAATTGTGTCGAATCTTTATTTAACAAATTCGTAATTGATTTATTACCTTGGTTGAGAATTACTAAATTACAGTGTTGAGTACTACACAAATTGCAACAATACTATTTCAAAAATGTAATTTATAAATTGTAAAATTAATTAATTATAAAATGTACTAATTTCTGCGAGGGATGAAAGTTGGTGGTATCATAGAATCATCTGGCACTCTTGCTGCAAGCAACAGTTTGAGGATATTTGGAAAAGTGATGAACACCGCCCTTAGTGTCTCTTATGGTCCAATTGAGAACTTAGAGGTAGTACCACCTATCCACGATCAATCAGTGGTACGTGTTGTTACTCTAATTAATAATTCGATATCTTTATTTTTACATAATGTGTATGTCTAGGTTGAAGAAAATATAAAAGCAAAACCGATCAGTTTTTACGCCGTTGAATCATCGTCTCCATCCTCATCGCCAACAAGGCAGGGTTTTATTAAAAACCATAACAACCTTGTTAACAGGGTGAACACCAAGTTTCTGAAAAACGGAGCTAGTTTAAGATCAATTTGATATCCCATTTAAATATTTTTCCTGTACATATTTTTTTTCTAAAGGTTAACTTTAAATTTTTATTTATAAAGTATATTTTTGTTAAGCATAACTGTGATTTTGATATCAAAATTATTTAATTAAAAAAAGGTTAATTGTAACAATTATTTGAAGAAGTATCAGATGTAGAATTTTGATCACTGGTAATTAAAACTATTAGGTGATAATTGTTATACGCGTGTAAAGATTTCTATGGGAAACTACTTCCTGTTGGAGACTTTCCCTTCTATTTACATAACTCTACAAATCTGGCCTATTAAGCTACCAGCATTTCATGGATCTAATTAAATTTCACATTACTTTGATCTGTTTTTTCTTTCTTTTTTTATATTAATTAGTTTATAAATAAGTTTTGTTTTATGCCACTTATTTTCTATTAACTTGTTTCTTTATAATTTTTTATAATTATTATATCTTATGTAAATATTTGTCCCACTTGTGTTTTATTGTGTTATAAACTGATGTCACTTCAATAAATTTTTTTTAATAAATATGCATTGCATGGTATGTTTATACCAACCAATTACCTAAACATCTTAACAATTAGTTATAGAGAATTTAACAAACGATAAATTAGAGAAAATCTCATCCTTAAAAAGGCAAAATTCTGAATTGTAAGAAGTTTATTATAAGTATGTAATTATATTTCACTTACTGGATTTGTAGTAGAGCCCTTCTTTTGGTTTTGGCAGTCCATCCCAGATGCCAGGGCAGTCATCTCATGCTACATCTACATTAGAAGGTAGGTTATTTGTACTAAAAGTACAAAGTAACACAACAATACGAACAACATAGGTGCATATGTGGAACATGGAAGTTTCTGAGATATCTGACAATACTGATAAAACGATTTTAGAAGAGCAGCAGGATGCAAGGGCCAACCTAAGGGAGAGATATCTCAGATGCTTAATCGGATTGTCAGGTAACATATTATTTTGATTTAATTCCAAACATCAAAAATCTTAATTCTGTCAATTTTGTAGGTTCAGAATGCACAATGAAGACAGTTGAGGGTTCTGAAGTTCGTGGAGTTTTCCAAGGGATGGATATTAATGGACAGGAGATCTTTGTAAAGAACTTATCGACTCCGTTAGGGGAGCTTAAAAGTGCTCTGGTCAGAACTGTGGACCTGTTGAACATTTCTGTGTCAAACTTTAAAAACGAAATATCAAATTGTACTTAATTTTATGATCTAATTTTTGTTTTATATCTTGTTTCTCTTTTTTGTTTGTCACAATAGTTCTTTATTTGTTGTAGTCATACAAGAGAGTTTTACAGCCAACTAACTACAGGTTTTGTAGATGAATATGTTGGCCCAAGCGCCCTAAGTGACTATATCACAGTTCCTTTAATTGTATTATAAATTATTATATTTTTGTATTATATGTGTAAATGATGAATGTTATTTTTATTGACCTTTGTAATCTAAACTGGAAACAGAAGCTTATTTTTATGATTGCCTTCACTTTTGATTTGTTAACCTGTTTAAATTACAGAAAATAATAATCATTAGAGTTTCTTTCAATTTTTATGTAAGGTCTTGGTTGAGATAAAAAAGTCAGTGTCACGAGCTAGCCTAAGGACGTGGGTTCGAATCCCGCTCAAGACACTGAATTATTTATCTCAACCAAGACCTTACACAAAAAGAATAATTAATTGAAAGAAGTAACTTGGTCAGTTGTCCACTAAAACGTAAAATGAATCATTAGAGTTATTAATTTAATCTTTGGTCAATACTCAATTGAAGAACCAAAAATGGGGACTTAAAATTACAAATGTTGGCAATATTTTCTTCTAGTGGTAATTTATGTTAGATTGTTTGTGTGCCAGAGGAGACCTATAAAGTGCCAAGAAAAGTTGAATGATGCCACTTATAGATTCAGGGGTACCTTTCTGTGCTGTACCAAATTTCTGAAAACGTAGATCTGTCAGACAATGGGTTAAGAATAAGTCCTCGGTACAATAGGATTACAATATAGGACAGAAGCCTGTGAAGTAGTTTTTATAGGACTATTGAAGAAGCTAACGGTGGAACTATTTAAGACTGGAGGCATATGTATGAATGACTTGGAACAGCAGAAACAAGACTGTGTTGATATTGCCAAGAAAATGAAGGAACAGCAGACTACACCCTCTCTTCATGCGAAAATCGAAACAAGCTGACATTCCTCCTCCGGGAGAGAAAAAGCCATGGCCTGAAAGATACACACAGGAGCTCTTAAAAAAGCTTAGGGATCTGATAAAAAGCTAGATAATAATGGTGATTGTAAATAGACCAATATTGGTCGCTGTGTGTAAGGTTGAAAAGAGGCCGATTCTTTTTAACTTTTTACTTAAATCTGTATAATATTTTGAAGATCTTTGTCAAAGAACTTTTACAGCTATGCAGCAAGAAATATGATCTCTAGGTCAAACGACCATACCAGTACCTAAAGCAGAAATGGTAAGCAATTTGAAGGGGAAAGTGCAAAAAAATAGCACTACACTAAAAGAATAAAGGGATTATGAGGGATTTAATAAGGAGAACATTAGTTTTTTGTAGAATTAAAAAAGCTAAGGTGTTGAAGAGACATTTCTAATAATAGAGGTCACATAGTCCTGCCACATACATGATAACAATAAAAACTTATAGGAAAAGAAACAGGACTAATACATCCTAGTAACATTTTTTGTTCATTTACCAAATAAAACTCTCATTGAACAAACAAAAAGTCAAAAACTTTTGAAAACTAGCTAACTTAAAAAAACTCCCATTCGCAATTTAATTTTCAATTTCAATTTAACTTAATTATAACATTAAGTTGTTTATTAACTGATTTAATGAGGTATAAATATTTATTAAATAATTTACTCTTTCCTAACTACTTTGTCCATCTTTTTTAGAAGAAGCGGGAGTTCTTCAAACTAGAACAACTTTGTAGCCTCCGTAACCTCTCATGGGCTGCATAAAGTTGTTGATGTTTTTCATTCCTGAGGGCAGTCATTCACCGGCGATTTTATAACTCCTCACAAACAAGCAATCCATGCGGATGGTGGCAAATTTTCCACATACTGGCCCAATTATTCCCCAGCCTTCAAAACTCGCGGTTCGCCAGGTAATTATTATTTTTGAGACGAATATATTTCTTTTTGTACGGATTAGATTTTATTTTTATTTCCAGCAGATTGGAAATACAATACTTTTCCAATGGGAGAAGCTTTGGATCAAACTATTAAGACAACAAAGTCTTTACAATGCACCAACCTATATGAATATTTGAAGACCCTCCCCAAAGCGACTTTGGACAAGCTGTACACACATTCTATTATATGTTTAGCAGTTTATAGGTAACTTTCAAATATGTAGTATTAATAGTAAGAATTTATTTACGTTTTTAGAGGTCTGTTTACCAAGTTACTTTTTTCAATTATTCTTTTTATGTAAGGTCTTGGTTGAGATAAAAAAAGTCAGTACCACAAGCGGGATTCGAACCCACGACCTTCGGCTAAATACGCCGCTGCTCTACCACTTGAGCTGTCGTGACTTCGATCCACTTGGACACCAACTTCCCATCGCAACTTACAACTATTTGAACAACAAACAAACGTTTGTATTATTAGAAGATTGAAGATAGAAAACCAACAAAAGAACCAACAAATTTGGTGTCCAAGAGGATCGAGGTCATGATAACACAAGTGGTAGAGCAGCGGCATATTTAGCCGAAGGTCGTGGGTTCGAATCCCACTCGTGACACTAACTTTTTTATCTCAACCAAGACCTTACATAAAAAGAATAATTAATTGAAAGAAATATTAATAATGTATAATTTTGCTCACTAAAATTATTTATTACAATTACTATGTGTTTTTACATTGTTACATTTATTGGCTGTTACCTAACTAATTGACAAATTTATGAGACTTCAGCTTGGCTTTCATATGATTTTTTTAAATTATATTAGTTTATTTATAAAAAACTAACTTCTCAGGTCAAAGCAAAGATAAGAATCATTATTTCCTGGCTCACCGCTGACATTTTTAATCCCTGAATAAAACAGGATCAGCCAATTTATAAAATATCTATCGGTTTGAACTCTTCTCAACTTTTTTAAAATTTAATTTTTTTTAAAAAGAAATAAGCCAATAGTATTGAGTTTGTTGCTTATGAGTTCAGTTCTCTGTGGTCATTTCATTTGTTGTCGAGAATCCAATCCAATTACACGACATTTGAAAAATGGCAAAAAAGGAGGGAAAATTCAAAAGTTGGGGATGAGATGGGAAGTTAGTGTCCGAGTGGATCGAGGTCACGATAGCTCAAGTGGTAGAGCAGTGGCGTATCTAGCCGAAGATCGTGGGTTCGAATCCCGCTCGTGCCATTGACTTTTTTATCTCAACTAAAAACTTTAATTAATTGTAATTGTCAGTTAAATTTTCGCTTTTAGCACTTTGAAAAATGTTGCAATGTGTGTCATATAAGACGCAACTTGAGCCATACATGTACGAATTCTTTTGAAATTGTGTATGATCAATTACAATTCAGCAAGTATTTTAATTTAATTACTAAATTTATTAAAAAGTCAGTGCGTTTTTTATTAATTTTTAAAAATGTATTTTTGGTCAACAATAAGAACATAAATTTCAGTTTGTATGACTTGAAGTCACCTTTGTGCCAGTTTGATGAAAATACCATGAAGAGTTTTTTCGAAAAACTCTTTGTGCCCATTTTTCATTTCTTCAAATATGTTAAAACACCTACTATGGAGGAAGATTACCATGGACTAGAATAGGTGGTAATCAGAAGGTGCAAGATCTGGGCTGTATGCTGCATAAGGAAGATCAAATTCCAATTCCTTGATTTTTGACTTGGTAGTCCTGGAGGGGGGCTTGAGTTATTTTGTTGCAGTAGAACTTGTTTCTTATTCCCCAGGGCAGGATACTGTTAGACTAGAGCGAGTAGTTAGGAGGAAACATGAATGGATTTCAACAGTTGTGTGATTTCTTGAACCACCGAAACAAAATTTTGGATTATCTCTGGGCAACTAGCTTTTCTTGTGCCAAGGCAAGGAAGGTTTGCCAAAAGGTTGTGTTTTACAATCAAAAGTTGAGTTCATGCTTTTCTGCCTAAATTATAATCTTTAGTATAGCAAAAATCTCCTACACGACAATCCCACCATGTCTCACAATTAATGAACTAGAATTCAAATTTCTCTGTTTTGGCCTCGAACCATTTTTTCTGGTTCATAAATCACTTATTGCATGTCCACATATTCAAGACTAGAAGAATAGCTGAAGTATCGCGTTCTTTCATTTCTAAATACCTATTGTGGTAGCAGAGAAGGATGAAATAACTTGGCCCTGAAATATTTAGAAATAGAAAGAAACTTGGAACACGTAGGAATAATAATCATTGTTTTCCAGCATGTTTATCTATATTTTGATTGGATTTGATTGCAAATATTTTACTTAAAATAACGGCTTTTCAGGGATTTACCAGATGTTGCTAAACACTATGTTATACGGCTTCTGTTTGTTGAGCAACCTGTACCTCAGGCAGTTATTGCATCTTGGCTTATGCAGAATTATTCCAAGTATGTTTTCTACTTTTACAAAAAAAAATTGAAATGAAAATGAAGTCATAAATAATCATTTTTACAGAGAACATAATAATGTAGCAAATGTATTATCAGATCTTCATGTCTGGCAAGAAGTCTCCATTCCTGGAGGTCTACCTGCTTGGTTCTTGAATCCCGTCTTCAAGAAAAATTTCAAATGTGCTCTTGTTGGAGGGTAAACATTTTAATGTAAAAACGATTGTAAATTGAACGCATTTAAACAAATAATATTATAGAGGTCACAATACTGTAACAAAGGCTAATCTAGAGACTGATTCAAAAGCGAGAGATGTTGATTATTTAGACAAATATGCGATGGAAAGGTGGGAATGTGTTTTGCACTACATGGTAGGCTCTCAGCAGCAGGAAGGCATCTCTGCAGATGCTGTAAGGATACTTCTACATGCTGGGTTAATGAGAAGGTAAAGTCTTATCACACATTTGTTTAAAGAATTTAAAATAAATATTTTTTTGCAGAGATGAAGAGGATGGAAGCCCAGTTATTACGAAAGAGGGTTTTCAGTTTCTTTTGTTAGATACTCCAGCCCAAGTGTGGTATTTCATGCTACAGTATCTAGGCACTGTTGAATCTCGTGGTTTGGACCTTGTACAATGTTTGGCATTTTTGTTCCAATTGAGTTTCAGCATTTTAGGAAAGGTAATTGTTTATATTGTATTTATTTTCCCCTTGTGTTAATTAAACATTTCTAGGATTATAGTACTGATGGTATGAATGAAGGTTTACTGACGTTTCTTCAACATTTAAGGGAATTTGGACTGGTGTATCAGAGAAAGGTAGATGTGTCATATTTGAAAAATTTATTAATTGATTTAAGTTAATAATTTAATGATTATTTGCAGAGAAAGGGCGGTAAATATTACCCAACGAGGTTGGCGTTAAATATAACGTGTAAAAATTCCACGTCTGAGATCTCAACTAAAGAGGGTTATATTATTGTAGAGTCAAATTACAGAGTGTACGCTTATACCAACTCAAATTTGAAAGTCGCTCTTATCGGGCTTTTTACAGAAATGTTGTATAGGTAAGTCTGTACTCGGTATCCCAGCTGATATGACACAGCCTTTTTATTGCCTTAATATCTATTGATAGATTAGAAGTTTCAAATGATTTCCTTCCTTGATTTTTATGCAGTTTCTAAATTTTTAGTCAAATTGTAAACATGGTATTCCAAATGATTAAGGCTTTTTTTTTCATAAATAAGAATCTCTAATCTGAAAATACACATTCCTCTTTTAAATGTTTCTTAATTTGAACTTGTCGATTTTTTGTACTGAAAATTTATGCAATGGTAGATTTTAAAAAAATTGTGTTTAGTAAGTCCTCAATTAATGCCGTGATTAGGGACTTTGAAACAGAGACAATAAATGACACAACTAATTAAGGTTTTTAGTTGAGATAAAAAAGTCAATGGCACGAGCAGGATTCGAACCCATGATCTTCGGCTTGATATGCCGCTGCTCTACCACTTGAGCTATCGTGATCTCGATCCACTCAGACACCAACCTCCCATCTCAACCGCACCTTTTGAATTTTCCCTCCCTTTTGCCATTTTTCAAATGTCGTGTAATCGGATTGGATTTTCGATGACAAATGAAAAAATTTTACTCCCTTCAATCAAGTGGGACAACCTAATTTGGTCTGTTCTTAGTTAATTGAGTCCCTCTCTTTCGATTCTGATCCACCAATGGCCACCTATCGACCAAGCTTTTTTAATAATTTTTTGATGAATAGAATTAGACATGTTTCATTTCATTTTTGAAACTTTAGATACAGTTAAATATTGTCAAAATAATCTATATTTATAAAATTGAATATTTCTTTCTGTGTTAATAGTAAAAATAAAAAAATACTGAACAAATTTCGATGAAACTTTCACACTTTGTTTTTATTAGTGCCAGGCGGGTTTAGATACTATAAAATGGGCACAACAAATAATGGGCGGCAGGATTTACAAAAAAGTTTTATTACAAAAATTAAAAACATTTTTATTATCCCCCTGGCAATGCTGGGTTAAAAAACTAGTACTTAATAAAGGCTAAAGATTCCTACTAAATTGTGATATCTTCATTATGAGATGGCATTAAAGTAGATGGATTTTTATTTTAGCCAGCAAGGCCTTTTTCATAACAAATAATGTTTCTCTGTAAATATGTATAGATTGACTTGTGCATTTACACAATTGGTAGAGGTGCATACATTATCTTAATATGTGTTTTTTAGAAAATTAAATGAACCCTAAAAGTTTGTACACGTTTCATGAAAAATTCGCTGTATTAGAATAAAATAGTATGCATGATTATGCAAAAAATGTGAAAATATCTTTTTTTTGGAGGGTGCAGTGTACTTGTGTTGACTAAATATGGAGTCTTTAATTTAAAATTGTTAGAATCATCAATTAGATCTGTCATGCCTTGAAATTCTAGATTTCCGAATATGTGTGTCGGTACGCTGACACGGGATTCTATCTGCATGGCATTAAGGAGTGGAATAACCGCCGAACAGATTATTGGCTTTCTTAAACTACACGCACACCCCAGGATGTTGGCGAATACCGGTCACATCCTTCCACCGACCATCACTGATCAGATCAACCTGTGGGAAAAGGAAAGGGACAGGTTTCAGTTCACAGAGGGCATCTTGTACAGCCAATTTCTCTCTCATAACGATTTCTCAATTTTGAGGGATTTCGCGCTCGAACACAATTTGATCATTTGGCAAGACGATAAAAAACGGACCATGGTATGTTTTAGTTATTATATTAGCAATTATTATTTTTTAAGTAATTCAAAATGTGCATTTTTTTAGGTCGTGAGTAAACATGGACATGACGAGGTTAAAAAATTCTGGAAAAAACATTCTAAAGGATCTTCCCATTCAATGAATTAGAAAACCAATCAGTCAATTTATTTAAACATAATTATATATAATGTACAAAGAAATAATTTTTATATGTATATTTAAATAATGTAAATACATAGGTTTTCTCTTGTGTATAATTGTTGATAATGTTTTAATTTTATATGTTAATATTAAAAATATTAATGTTAATTTTCTTAATTAAGCCCTCCCCCCGAAAACAATTTGGAATAATTCTTGCTTTACTAATCATTTGGTCTTATGAATGTAAAGTTTCAGTGCGAAAGTTAACAGGTTTTTTCCTAGTTCCACATGTCAAATTTATGTGAATTAGTTACGTCATTGTAGTAACAAGTGACAATACCTTTTACCATAACTCATTGGGAAAATTTGAAACTGGCATTTATAAAGAAACATATTTATATATTTAGTTATAAATAACATATAATTTAGATTTTAACAGTTTCCTTGTGTGATCATCATCAATCTTGGTGGGGTCGATGGACTCGGATCGGCTCTTCTATCACAATGGTGTTGCAAATCTTGTCATAAAATCGTCTGTTGTAGGAGAAATAAAATAACGTCGGCATCAGAAACGTAAGTACTGAATTTTTAATTGCTGCTCTGAGGAAACTAATACCAAGGCCAAGATCCGTCCCTGGCCTCACCACAACCATACCCTGGTCGTTTGGGTTGTTGTTCGTATCAAGAGGTGTGACCGTCTTGCACCGGACGACCCGCAGTCGCATGAATGTCTTTCCAGGCGAGGCACCACCGAGTCTTCCATTTGTGCCGCCTTTAAGCCAAACGGTCTAAAAAATAATTTTAATGTAAATTCTTTACAATATTGCTTATAACTTCATGTTACCTCAAACAAACAAGCAACGACTCTGTGAAGCAGTTCAAATATAACAAGCCGCTCACTCATTTTTAAAAGAGTCTGATGCTCAAAGATAGAATCTTCATACTCATTTAAAATCTTTTCCAATTCTCTAAAATAAATTAAAGTTTAAAATTTTTAGACATTAAAAAATTTTTTTTTTACTAACATGATATCAAAGACGTTAAGTGCAACATAAATTACGGCAAACTTGAGAAAGAAGAGAATAAAAAAATCCGTAACTTCAGCAACTATCCGTTTCCAAAGTGGAGGTATTCTGCATTCTAGACCTAAAGAAAATTTTGTTTATATATATAAAATATATTGCTACTATCAATTAAGTTAATATTTGGGCTAAAATCCTCTATCTTCTTATATATTTATTAAAACAATTGAATTTGAAATTCTTTTCAAGTGCCATAAAATAATTAACCTTGGTCTAACAGAAAAGACTCAAATTTTATAAAGGGATCTCTAATAAAAAGGAATTAATAAAAAATTAACTTTGTAATATGTAGAAATTTATTATAACGCATTGAGATTAAAGCTTATATTTACAAAATGTACACATTGAAAGAAAGGATTTAATTCTGAATTTCTGAAAAAAACATCTACATTAAACGTTTGGCTTTTAATCTCTTTGATTATTTTATTGCCTTTTTAGAGGAGCTTTAACTAATTATATTTGATTGCTTTCAGTCACATTCAACATTTCGCTATAAATTAATTAATTTCAATATCGAGGCTTAAGCTTGTTATTAAATTTCTAACTAGATGTCATTGCCAATCATTGTTTTCCTGGAAGTTCAGTTTTATTTTGAGTAAATAGTTGTAATAAAAATTAGTAATTACTATTATTTGGAGATCGTGAGATGCGGTCTTGTGTGATGTAGATTTAGAAAAACATTTTCTTTATTGTGCCAATGTTTCGATCTTTATTTAGATCATCTTCAGGGCTCAAAGTGTGTGTGTTTTCTGTGTAGATGTGTCACGGTTGTGTCAACACTCACAACACGACACACAACTGTGACACATCTACACAGAAAACACACACACTTTGAGCCCTGAAGATGATGTAAATAAAGATCGAAACATTGGCACAATAAAGAAAATGTTTTTCTAAATCTACATCACACAAGACCGCATCTCACGATCTCCAAATAATCATTAATTAACGATCACCAAACACCACACATTAGTAATACAATTTGCCAAATGAAATATTTTCTGCAATTCATATAGAATACACATATTCTTGAGGTTCTTTGAATATTTGAAATAGAAAAAAAAAACTATTAAAGTACAAATAATAATTTAAATAAATTATTCTTTTAATCTAAAGTCTTGGTTGATAAGAAAAGTATAATTAATTAAAATAATTAATAGGTCAATTATGACTTCTAAATATATATATATATATGGTTTAATAAATATTTATGAAATGGTTTATGACACAGTTGCATGGCCTAAACATAAATTGATAACGACAAAATTTTAAAGAAATTTGAAATAAAAAGGACAAAATTGAACTCATTTTTTGTGAATTCTGTAAATATACATACTTTTCATAAATTTGACGTTTTTTAATTTTTTTAGACGGTGTAGTCCCAGCAAATTATTACATTTGAAATATTAAATTTCTAATAAACTTTTCCACATAAGGTTAAGTATAACGATAGGAAAATTGAAGTTTTCTAATTTAACTTTGTACACTAACTTTAAGCCCATGTACAATTAACAAATATTCAAATGTAGCTTGATTTTCTCTAATCTTCTGGTCTCATTATTATTTATGGTTTTGTCAGTAAGATTTTGGTGTTTTACCAATTACACTGGTTGGAGACGATCAAGCTACTGGACCACCACATCATCGCAAAGTTTCACAACTATTCAACTATTATAGAAGGCAATTAGAACAAAATAACTGTTCCACAAACAGTAACATTAAATGTACATTTTGATACAGTTAACATAATCATTATTAACTTTGTCAAGTCCAATAGCAATTCCCATCACATCTTAAACAATTATTTTATAACTAACAACGTGATAGCATTGTTAACTGGACAGACAAGAAATGTCGTTTAATGCCTTTGATAAAATATCTACAAGTTTGAAATGTGTTGCATGTAGCTTTGACCATCACCCTGATTGTTTAGTATTCTCTAATAGTTCATATTGGCATGATTACCATCGATGACTTCTCTTTGGTTTTGTGCAGCTTCTTGGCCTTGGGCAGCCGGTGTTGGCCGAGGCACAGGACCCGAGGGGTGGCTGCTACGATTAGTACTCAGCGAGATGACAGGCTGGTTGAAAAGTGTCTGCTGGCTCATAAGGTAATAAGGAAAGTGGGCGGTGACACTCTGCCAAAAGTAGGCCTGCTGGAGCCAGGAGCGCAATTCCTTGAAGTAATCCTCCGACGAGGTGTACTTCCTGCGCACTGTCTCCGGGCTCCTACAATGAGAATAGCTCTGGAAGCCCCAGTAAGGGGGTGTTCTTATCCATGGGAAGTTACTGTCCAACTCCCTTCTCTTTCTAATTCCTTTGCCCTCGACCATCTTACTGAAATTTTCCTAATAAACAAAACTTCAACTGAAGCCTTGGACAATGTTATCAAATATCAATGGGTACAACAATTGTTACTCCAGGCACAGTACTGCCAGTATCCAAAAACTTGAAATTTCTCTTTTCCATTTACAATTGGTTTTCATTCCGTTTATTTACCTTCTAAGGGTATTTTTTAAATTTGTTTTACCTAATATTAACTTAGTCAGAACATAGGCTGCAGGTTGAAATTGACATGAAGCTCAAAGTATTAGTTGTGTCGTCACTCATCAAGTTTCATTACCACTAATAAAGTAATTCACTAATACTAAAATATTAATATATAATAAATCTAAGTTTACGAACTTGATAAATATACAAAATTGTGTTATTTAATAACGCTTCATATTTGACACATTCACAACTGAAACAATGTGATCTCAAATGTGTGAATGAAGAGTTGATGATTCGGTTATCATTTTGATCTTTGAGGAAACTCAAAAGTTTGAACCGGTCGACTTTAAGAGTTAAAAAAAGCTTTAGAAAGAACACTGGCTTAAAAGAAAGATGTTTATATTTTTGGTCGTGTAATTTATTTATAAAACAATTGAAACATTTGCTTTGGATATTGGATATCGAATAAAGCTCTTTTTTTCCAGGTCTGGTTAATTTTATACAAGCGAATATCTTTTATTATTGCTATATTAAATTTCAGGGAAAGTGATGGAGGCTTTTAAGCACACATTGCGAAGGCTGGTCAGCTTTAGGACACCACAGATGCGATTGTTCTCAGAGGGCAGACCGAATGAACCGACGATACCTGAATACGAGCATAGGAAGGACGAGTCTGCTGTGATAAGGAAGGCACGCCTATTGTACCAGTCGAGAAAACGTGGGATGCTGGAAAATGATCTTATCCTGAGTACGTTCGCTGACAAATATTTGCAAAAAATGGACGGTGAATTGCTTGAGCAGTATGACAAGCTGATAAATGTGCCACTGAACGATTGGGACATTTACTATTGGGCTACTGGGATTAGGGATGTACCACCCGAGTATGACAACAAAGTCATGGCCCTCCTCAAGGATCATGTGCTCAATACAAAAAAAGAATCACGGATTAGACAGCCTGACCTACCTCATGAAATCTAGTCATAAACGAATAAACTAATTGCTTTGTTAAATAAATGAACTTGTTAGTTTTTGTATAAATTGGCTTTCATTTGTCCTTTCATGTTTTTAAAAATTGTTTTCTGGTTTTTATTGTGAAAATATATGTTTTTTAAGTTAAATCAATGATTTTATTTGTTATTTGGTCACTCCTGGTCATTTTGGCATCTTCTTATCCTTGATAGTTTGGTTTGTTGGATGCATTCCACCATTTTATTGGTTTGCCCAGCATTGAAGTTGGGAAAATACCAAAATGTGTCTGATAGATTAAACCAATGAGGATAAGCTGCCCAAAATGATCAGTAATGATCAAATTACAAGTTTATTACTCTGCGGACCACTGGTGAAATATTTCATTAATAATTTGATTGTTTAATTATTCATCCACCATTGCCAAATATGCTAAAACTTCAAAAGTGACCTATATTCTGAATGTTTTTTTTGTTTTTTTAAATTTTTTTAATAAGGTTAATAATTTAGTCCTGATTTACCTCTTTCTTTAAAACACCCTAGCAGTTGAGGTTATTTAGTTTTATACAGTATATATTTGCAGTGTGATTAGGTGTTGTAGGCAATGGAATAATATCCAAAACCTTGGTGACAACCCGGTTGTGTGAATGTATTTATTTGCATGAGTGGTTGTGTGTCTGGACACAATCTGAGTAGAGTATCAAGTACCCAAGACTTGTCGAACCAATTAAGTTAACTAGTATAGTGAATACGTGAGTTTTACCCTGTGTGAATGAAGGGAGAATGGCAATGGCTTTTCTGGCTAGCCAACAATTTTAACATAGTTGTTGGGGTGGGGCCTCAGCAGTATTGAGAACTTTTTAGTCCTGCCAAACTTTGATAAGGTTATCGTGTTTTTTTTTTTTTGTTTGTTAAATATAAATAATATATATAATAATAATATATATAAAAATAATAAGGACATATATACATGGTAATAATATAAATGGTAAGTATAAATGATAAATATAAAAATACAATTAAAGAGTAAAAACTGAACAACAAAAATGAAAGACATAACCAAATAAGGCAAAGGAAACAAAATAAAGCTGAAAGACAATTGAAACTACAATATTTAGGTACATGTTTAATGAAAATAATGCTCTTTGTAAATACATAATAAGACTAGAGTGCGAGATTTGAACAAGTAAATGAAATAAATTGTAATAAATCTTGTACAGTATGAAATATAAAAGCATTCAACTAAGGTTGTAGGATATGGTTTTTCACAGAATGCACAGTACTATTGAAGAAGTCAATGCTATTGCAGATGTTGTTACTCTTGATTATCATGCTGTGTAGAGGAGAAGAGAGCATGTAGTACAAAAACAATATCAAAGTAATCCCTTCTTAGTGCCAGTTCGAAAAGTTTAAATTCAGAGCGGATTCCAGGGTAGTCAGAGTTTGGAGGAAGATTGAGTTTGTAGGAAAGTTTTTTAAAAATTTGTTTTGTACAGATTGAAGAATTTTTTGATAATTTAGATAGAATGGGTTCCAAACAGGTGTAGCATATTCTAGTATGGGTTGTTCAAAAGCTTTATAAAGTTGGACAAAACATAGAGGATTTTTAAATTCATTGGTGTTCTGGATGATGAAACCAAGCATCTTCATAGATCTATTTTTTATTGAAGAACTATGTTCTTTAAACTTCAGCTTTTGATCAAAAAGAAATAATATTATTAACACTATAACTAAACTAAATAATAGCTTTAGATTTCAATCATGTGTGGAAGGGTCAGGTAATAGAGGTTGGAAGAAAATGCAAAATAGATAAAATATGAAGAGCTGGTAGTGGCCTTAGCAGCTAATTGACAAAAATAAATAAAATGTTTTGAAAAAAAAAAAAAAACTCATTTTCTGGGTTTAATGCACAGTTAACACAAATTCTTGATATTATGGAACGGTTTTTGCATGAAAAACATTTACATTTCTGATTATTGCTACATATATTTTTTGACTTTTTTTCTTTCCGCTCCACTCTTTTCTTCTGCAGATCTTTCTTTATTTGGGCAAAAATTCTGCATATCGGTGTTGTTTCATATCAGAGCTCAAAGACCCCATTGGTTCAATTCTCCTGAAATTTTCTTTCACTCCTCCATCCAAAAAAAAAATTTTTGTTTTTGTCATTTTGTTTTCTAGCTAATATGGAAAAAACGTAAAAGTGTTTGTATCAAATACTGCAAAATTTGTATTCCTGTCCCATCTATAGACTAAAGTTCTTCAGCGTTTGTATAACTTGCTTTTCGGCGCCAATCAAAAATAGAGCACCAAACAAAGCAAGTATTTCTGTTTTCAATGTTTCCAAACTATCACGGACCATTCTATAATTTGTTTTATGTGTCTGTACATACAAAATAGTAGTGTACAATTTTATTAACAATAATGAAAATTGAATTACGCACATCATCTTTTGGACCAAGCAGTTTTCACATATTTCTTTTATTTTTTGGTACCTCATTCCATTTGAAGGTTTAATCTCACCCCCCCCCACCACAAAAAAGTCATTACCGATAGATTCAAGTGTTCTGTTTGACAAGGGATTGCTACTGATTCATATGAGGTTGGTAAAAACGGTCAAAAGGTTTGTAAATCAAATAAACCTCATTCAAAGAATGACACCATCTCAAATCAAAATTGGAATTGTAGCACTTTATGCAACAATGCAACCACCCAAAGGTTAAACAAATGTGAGTGATTGCCATAGTGCTATAACGTTGATGATTTGAACTTAAAGCTTATATGGTGTTGCATACCATAAAAAAGATGCCACCATAAATCTTGACCTCTACGATTCCTTAAAACTATATTAAACGTGTGGTGATTAGTGACTGTTAATCGATAATTATTCAGAAATCATGAGATGGGGTCTGGAGTGATGTAGGTTTCACAAAAACATTTTCTTTATCGTAACAACGTTTCGATCTTTATTGAAATCATCTTCAGGGCCTGGGATTTACAAACATTGTTTACATTTGACAAATACATGTAGGATGTGGAAAAAAGTGAATTTATACAATGCAAAATATTTTTTATATTCAATCAAAGTATTTCTACTCACTCAAAGTGTTTGTCTTCTGTGTAATTTTGCCATTCTTGCATGTCGTGTTGAGAGTGCCACCATCTCAACACGACATGCAAGAATGACACAATTACACAGAAGACAAACACTGAGCCCTGAAGATTTCAATAAAGATGGAAACTTTGGCACGATAAAGAAAATGTTTTTCTGAAACCTACATCACACCAGACTGCATCTCACGATTTCTGAATAATTAATCTATATTAAATGCAATGTACAAGTATAACTGAAATGTCAATAACCCTTTAAGGCTACGAATCTGATCATAGAAATCTTTTAATTTAAAAGATAAAAATAAATTTAAAAGTTTATTGTAAGATCATAAGGATAGGATATGAACATATATAGCTGCATATAAACATAACTTATTTATTTAATATAGTAAACACTAATAGCTGACTAACTCATCTAATTCTTTGTTTTCATCGATTTCCATTGAAGAAATTGAGTTTCTTCTGTAATTGTAAGTTTCAAGGCTAGGGTCCTGCAGTAACATTTCTTTGTATGCCTGACAGATTCTGTCAAGCTCTTGGTGAGTGATTTGGAAGGCCCTAGTTTCTTTTGGAATAGAGGCTCGCTCCAATAGCTCCATTGTCAATTTCTCTCTTTTTGATTGATGAAATAGAGTCCTGTGGAGGAAAAACATTACTAGATTGTTACAAATTTCAAAATATTGTTTATTTTTACCCAAGGCTTTTACAACAGTACTTCTGCCTGAAGCTGAACAATGAACGGCAAACATTTTCAACAAAATGAAACGGTTCGTCTACCAAAGGTGTCTTCAGGGGAATAAAGTGAACCACTCCTACATCTACTTTTGGTTTAGGCACAAATGCTTTTCCTAATATTAAATATAGAGATTATTAATTTACAAATATGACGTAATAAATTTGTATTAATATAACTGGATACTAGTTATGATTACCTGGTATAGTAAATTTGTGATCGACATGACACCAGTTTTGTGCCATCAAAGAAAGCCTACACCTTTGTGAAGATAGGATAGGTGCGACAATTCTTTCTGCGACCTCTTTTTGAAATGTAAGTGTCATTTGAACCCTGCCAAATGCCCAGGCACTACTCCTAAAATAATACTCTATAAGACATTTTAAACTCAAATCCATAATCAAAACTTACCGTTCTGAGATGGCTTTTAGCCATTTAATTATAAGTGGTGTAGCAATGTTAAAAGGTAAGTTTCCAATTAGATGAATATTTGGCGTCTCATCAGACCAACCTTTCGCCTCGTTTTTGGGAAAGAATTCTTGATAATTTAATGAAAGTACATTTTCGTTGATGATATTTATTTCACAAGGCGCACAATCTTTAAGCATCTTCAAAAGCAAAAGTAAAATTAAACAAGTTCGTAATTAAAACAAATTAAAAAATAGTTAAGACCACCTCGAGAAAAGGGCTAAATCTTATGTCTTTTTCGACAAGATACAAACTATTGGGTGAACGCTTTATTATAGATCTGGTGATGTTGCCAGGGCCAGGTCCAACCTGAAATTCAACAAGTTATTATTTACTTTAAAGGTACAAATAGGGTTTGAAGCCCCCTTACATATACACATAATAGAAATAAATTTAGTTTTATAAACGTAAATAAGAATAATGACAATAATAATTATAAAACATAATAAAATATACAAAACCATGACCATCCCTAACGCTATTAAAAATAGCCAACCTCACAAATGTGCCCTCCTTTAATTTTCCCAGCGGCTTTTACAATTTTATCTGTGATTCTTTCGTCCATTATAAAATTTTGAGATAGTTGTCGCATTGCCCTAAGTTTATACAATCTGCAATATGGCATGTAATTAGTTTAAATTAACAAGTGAAAAGAAGGTAGAAACGAACCTTAGTAAGTCTCTAATTGTTGGCAACGGAGGTAATGCTAAGTTGGGGAGAGACATTTTTTTTTTTATAATTTTGTATCAACTTCTTTGATTGCAGGTTTGTCAAAATCGTCTAAGAAAGTTTCTTGTCTAACAGAAAGTATCGAATAGGTGAATATTCCTATTACACAGGCGCCAAGAGAAAATCCAGTTATTAAGTTGTTTCTGTAAACAAAACAAACAAAAAAGAAATTGACAATGATTATATATTATATATATTTATATTATTATTCATACACTGCTCACAAAAATGTGGCACACTTTGAAATTTTGAATTTATACACTTGCCTTTTCAGTAATATTAATTAAGGTTTTTAGTTGAGATGAAAAAAAGTTAATGGCACGAGCGGTATTCGAACCCACGATCTTCGGCTAGATACGCTGCTGCTCTACCACTTGAGCTATCGTGACCTTGAACCACTCGGACAACAACTACCCATCTCAACCCCACCTTATGAGTTTTCCCTCCTTTTTGCCATTTTTCAAATGTCGTGTAATCGGATTGGATTCTCGACGACAAATGAAATGGCCACGGAGAGCTTTAGTGAAGTGTAGTTCATTTTAATCATTAAATTCACTAATTTTGAGGTCCGCTTGACTAATTAATACATTACAATTAATTAAGGTTTTTAGTTGAGATGAAAAAGAGTTAATGGCACGAGAGGGATTCGAACTCACGATCTTCGGCTAGATACACCGCTGCTCTACCACTTGAGCTATCGTCACCTCAATCCACTCGGACATCAACTTCCCATCTCAACCGCACCTTTTGAATATTCCCTCCCGTTTTTAGTTGAGATGAAAAACCTTAATTAATTGTAATATATTAATTGGTCAAGCAGACCACGAAATTAGTGAATTTAGTAATATTAATACTAACATATTTTATGATTTATGTATTTATTAAGAGTAAATAATTAATAATTAAATTGTATTTAAGGACTCGTCATGATATCAAAAACATTCTGTTAATAAAGAAAATTCCATGCTGCAGTATATTGTTCAATAACCTACAGCGCAAGTGACACAGAAAAAATAAATAAATATTATTTAAAAAAATGTATTTATTAAAAGATTTGGTTAGTGTGAAAATAAAAATAAATAAATCCCTTTGGGTACTTAAATTTTTCTAATACGGTGTTACCTCCTCTTGTTGTTATTACAAACTCTAATATTCTCGGCATGGTCATAATAAAACCTTTAACCACACCTATAGGAATTTTATCCCAAATCTCAACTAACGTAAATTTAAGCTCAGCTGAGGATGTAGGAGGTGCATATCTTCGTTTTACCTAATGTCTAAGCTCGTCCCAAAAGTTGGTACAGCATTACACTGGTGGTGACTTGTGGACTGGCATAATCTTGCATAAACAATAACTCCTCACCAATAACACCACAAATTCAAGAAGGTCTTTACATGTCGATATCCGCATTAAGTTACACCTATTAAATCCATGGAATTCGTTTTTCGCCTTCAAAGAAATTCCACTCCACCTCTGAACAACAGGCAATGTTGCATGGCTGAAGAGCTCTACAACTGCTCGATAAAAAATACATCTGTCTGGTGAATAGACAAAAACTGGGACTTGTCTGAAAAGACTTTTAGTAAGGGACCTTTTTTATATATATATTTTTTACAATGGATACCAGTAACTGGAAGGAGGAGTTCCCCCTGAGCACTGCAACTGTATACTACAGCTTATTGTACTATATTCCTGGCTCAATTTTGGTTCACAACACGTGTGCGAGTTTGAGTCCCCGGTGTGCTGGTGTTCTTCCACCAAAAGAACTCATTTTTGAAGGGGATTGGGACCAAATTCAGGGTTGCTGAGATCCGATCCTGCCTCAGACCTTCTATTGATGAGTGTCATGTCAATTTCTTTCAATTGTGGCCACCTCCCCTTAGGCGCCAGAAAAAAGTCCAGAGGCAATGGTGGGAACCGAACCAAAGACTGTGGAATTTACTAGCCAAGTCTGACGCCTTAACCACTCGGCTACCATGGCCCCAGTAAAGGACTTGGTATGTCATTTGTCTAGTCTGTGTTACAAACTCTAAGTTGTCCCGATGATGGTTTCAGGTAAGTGCCAGAATCTCAAGTGCTGGTCTTCTTGGATGCAGACTTATTTCTACAAGTCTTCTTCTCACTGTTTCAACACTGACTGATGTATGGGTTGGCGATCACATAGCCCAAGGTTGAAAGATTTTTCAGACAGCCGAAACCAGACCCCTTTACTCTACCATTCCTACCCTCTTCCCCAGATCCCACTCCCTCCTCTAGGTTGCAAGAGGACATCCAGGCTTACTGTAGCCTTGAGTGCCCAGCTAGCATTCTAAATCAGTAGACAGTTTGGCGAGTCTCTATCAAGATCCTTAACAATTAACTGTCGGGTGTGAGATCAGTTACACTTTGTGGACAGCACTATGCGAGTCCTATATGCAAGAATTACTGAACTACGGTTGCAAGCATTTTCCAAGCCTAATTGCTTGCAATTGAGGTCGCACTCGTAATGGTACGTGGTGAGACTCCTTAAGAGTAGCCCAGGGGGTATGTTTTTACCCTTTGGATGGCGGTTAGTATTCCACTTAAACAAACAACCGGTGCTGGCCCGCCTGTTGGAAGTACCTACGCTAGAGGTGCGCCTCCACCCAGGATTTCGATAAAGCTGCCTTCTCTATCAAACGGGAGCAGCTTCGGCTGTGACGCTGGTCAGGTAGTCTGCTGTCCCAACAAGCCCTGCAGAAGGACCAAGCGGAAGAGCCTTTTTCAAGGCTCTATGTGAAAATCTACGGTATTGCACTCCCCACCACAGACAGAAGCGTGTCGCCTCCCTTCTTGAGAAACGATCCCGTGCTCGCAACGATATGGGCTATGCGCGGTCTTAAAAGATCCTCACATCCTTGTCAGAACGTCTTGCAAGATTGGGAAGAATGTTTCAAAACTAACAGAAACATCTTGCATGATTAACTCTTTGAGACGTTTCATAAGCAGCAATTGGTCAGACTTATGCTTGTCATAAATCGGTCATTGGCTGGACCTGTGATGTCCTAAAGTGTAACTTGATCAGATCTTGGCTTAATGGTTTAGAGAGTTTATGATATAACTAATCAGAATTACATGTATAATAATTCATTGTTATGCAATGGTTGATCTTTTTCTTACACGTAAACACAAAGAACTCCGAACAATCATTCTATATCACAATGATGTGATATTTTCAGCAAAACCTGTGGGCTACATACCTACGGATCCTCTGAAGTTTCGCTACCCTTTCCAAATTTTGCTTTTCGATCAGTTTCATATAATCAGCAATGCTCGGGGTGATGGCTGTCTTGTCTTTCAAATTGTCCAATTTTGGCATGCGATCGGCCATGGTAAGCTTGTAAAAAAAAATGTAATTTTTAATTTTACACATTAGCAAAATAATAATAATAAAAGATAAAAACTTTTATACCTTTAAAAATAGTGTAGACCGAGAAAGCAATTAGACAAGAATGAATGACATACTTATAACAAACACTATTTTAAGTATTATTATTTTTATGTTTTAAAAGGATTAAGTACGATGAGAAATGCCGTACCTTTTTATCTTTCAAATAAACCTGTGAATGAGGTTATGGATAAGTCACGTTGACTCGTTGAGTGAAAATGTAGGATGCGCTCACATTGAATGAAGATCCGCATAAATTCAAACATAAATTCCTGAACACTCCTCATGACTTCAACAAATTATAAATTTAAATTTTCATGATAAATTTTCGGAATGAGGCGGAACCAAACTTTTTTGTTTTAGATAATATTATTAATAAATATACACCGAAGGACAAAATTAACGCACCACCTTTAAATTTGAATGTATTTAGGTTTATTCATATTTTCCATACCAAAAATAGGTTTGGTTATAAAAGCAAGACATTTAAAAAGAAACTATTTATTACCTAATTCTAAAAATACAAAACAAAATTGAGCAAAGAAAAAATTTAAAAACAAATAAAAATAAAAACTTTTTTGACCTTTTTATATCTAATATGATGGCAGGAATGCCATTCACCTCTGGCATGAATCACGTTCGTTAACGCTTTTGCAGTCCTTGGAAAAATTTTCTGGTAAAATCCTGACGAATTCTTTACCATTCATCAAGATTATCAAGAATAACCGTTTCCAACTCTTCTAGGGTGTTGGGACCTGATTTTCATAGTCGTACGAGTCCCTTATTTTGGTCGCAAATGTGTTCGATTGGGCTAAATCTGGACTTCGAGCTGGCGTCACCAAGCACTCAATTACAGCCTAATTAAGGTAGTCATCCAAAATACGTGCTCTATGAAGCCCAAGAAAAGCAATTAGCAAGAACGTATCACCGATGTGGAGGGCAAATGGCACTACATGTTCTTCGATTGTCTTGTTGCTTCTGTGAAGTTAGATATCTTCCTCGCACAACAACCAAATCAGTGCGGGATTCCAAGGAAATGCCATCCCAGTACATCAATGATTCACCGTGGAATGCCACCTTAGGAACCATGGGGTGTACCTTTCTGCTGAATGCCTCCTTAACAAATTAAGCCCATCTGAAGATTCGAGGCCAACTCACCAACTGTAAAGAGAACCATTTCACATGTCCCCGTGCATATTGAAGCCTGGACATTTTTTAGCTGTTTTAAGAAGAGGTCCACGAGCAGGGTGCCGGGCCCTGATGTTATTTTCATTGAGCCTTCTTCTTACAGTCCTGGAGGGAATAAAAACATTTCAGACTTGTTTTATCTCATTTCCCGTAATAGCCTGTTGACGGATGAATCTATCGTCTTTCTCGTCTAAGACCTAGGTCGACCCAGTCCTGGTCTTCTAGTGTGAAGTCCTGTTTCTCTGAAGACCGGGCGACTTCGCGCTGGCTGTGTCCGTCCTCTAATATAGTTATTACCCTGACACTGTCTCATACTCACTCAAATGTCTGGCTGGAGCCATTGGTTCTCTTATTACAAACTCTAATATTCTCGGCATGGTCATAATAAAGCCTTTAACCACGTCTATAGGAATTTTATACCAAATCTCAACTAATGTAACTTTAAGCTCAGCTGAGGATGTATGAGGTGTATTTCTTCGTTTTACCCAATGTCCAAACTCGTCCCAAAAGTTGGTACTGCATTACACTGGTGGTGACTTGTGGACTGGCATAATCTTGCATAAACAATAACTCCTCGCCAATTAAAGGAGTAAATGGCACCACATATTCAAGGTCACATGTCGATATCTGCATTAAGTTACGCCTATTAAATCCATGGAATTCCTTTCTTGCCTTTAAAGAAATTCCACTCCACATCAAACTGAACCACCTCCGAAAGGCTCTCTTCGGGCAATGTTGCATGTCTGAAGCGCTCTACAGCTGCTCGATAAACTCGATGACATCCGTCTCACTCGTTGAAAAAGGTTTAAGAATAAGAATATTATCAAATGAAATCAACGAAAGAAAAATATTAACTGAAAGCAATCTTTAGGAATAGCAGAATGGAAGGGCATAATGCTAATTTTTGTACAAATCAGAACAAAAGTAAATAAAGGAAGTAAATAAAGCATTATTACTATTTGTTTTGAGAGGTGTTAAATTTGTCCATTACTTTATTAAGGCAGTTGAAAGTAAATAATACATTGTAGGCCTATTTTTTTTTGTTTTTGCAAAACGGAAGCTAATGTGACTAAGCAGCGAACCCATGCTTGTTAGGCACGCCCACTGAGCACTATATCAGTACGGGTTGTCATAGTGTGTGGGTTTCTTCAAATAGATTTCCCGGGAAGAACTCGAAAAAACCCAACCCGTTACCGGTGTCCTCGGGGACACTGGGCACTATTGGGGTTAATCACAGATCTACAGTTTCTTAATTCTATTAATGCTTTTGTTGATGTATGGAGGAAAATTTCTCAGAACTTCCTATTTTAAGATAAGATAAAAACTTTTTATAAGTTTAAAAATGAAATATAAGCCTAAGAATTGAGGCTAAATATAAGCCGAAAGCTTGGCTGTGTTTCATTCGGACCACTACTCTGATCCCTCACCCACTATTACTTCAAGTTGTCATAACATTATAAAATGTCTAAATACGATAATTGGTCATTTTTCTTGTCAACTGAAACTGAAAAACTTATGAGTTTTAATTTTTTTGAGCTCGTTGGCACTATATCATAATTTTGTTACTATTGATTTGATGATTTTATGGCCATTCTTTTGATAAGAGATTTAAAATATTAATCTTTGAATCTGTAAACAAACTTGTACAAAAAAATGATATTGCAACCGTTAATGTTTTTCACGTTATCGAACAAAAGTTCAAGTATTGGGGATTTCTATTTATAAAGGTCATTGAGTCTACTCGACTCTTGTTGATCTTTGACCATGATCTTCTTAATCACTGTTTAAATAATAATTATTTATGACGTACAGTGTTCTGCTCGTAAAGTACTTGTAAATTTATAAACTAGCTATTCATATGTATTTTCCTCAAGGAGTATAGGGTTTGTCCTCTTGACAGAACATCAATTTAGAATTTTAAGGTTATTTAAAGTGATCAATTGTCGAAAGGATCAAGTTAAAGACTCATACTTGGTGAAAAACACCCTAGGACGGAGGCAGACAAAAGACGGCTAAGAAAGTCTCTCCTAAACTTATTAGGGATTATCGGTCACAATTAGTTAATTTATTGGCAATATACAGTGTCGTTCAGTATGAATTGTGAATAAGTGTGTAAGTCGGATTCGGGTAAAATTGAATTAGTATGCTGAAATCAAGACCTTTGGTGTCAGGAGCTTGCATAAATAAGTGCTTCATAAGATCAACTCGGAGGGCATATGAAAGATGTGCTGAGTCGCGATAGCTCAAGTGGTTAGAGCAGCGGGCATTTAGCTGAAGGTCGTGGGTTCGAATCCCGCTCATGACACTAACTTTTTCATCTCAATCAAAAACCTCAGATGAAAAGAATAATTAATTTATATTACACAGAGAGAATTGGGCAATATTGTGAGTCAGGACGTCAACGTCCATTTTATAGAGAAAAGAACAAAAAAAAGCTCATCTAGATCACATGAAACAGAAATGATTTGCGATTGTAGTAAGCTTTTCGGGTGGAATTGGACAGCATCTCGAGCAGTGGAAGCAGGTCGCACGCTGATCCATGCAATATCCATGACAGCTCATTTCTTTGGATTTTCAGCTTCAAATTGCGCGATATCGCATCGCAGGAAGTGTAAGCAGGTCGCTGATCCATGAATAGCTCTTTTCTCTGTGTTTTTTAGCTTCAAATCGCTCGATATCGCATCGTATCGCAGGCAGTGTAAATAGGTCATTGATCCATGCAGTTGACAGCCCTTTTCTCTACGTTTTCAGCATCAATTCGCGCGAAATGGCATCGCAGAAAGTGTAAGCAGGTCGCTAATCCATGAATAGCTCTTTTCTCTGTGTTTTTTTAGCTTCAAATCGCTCGATATCGCATCGTATCGCAGGCAGTGTAAATAGGTCATTGATCCATGCAGTTGACAGCCCTTTTCTCTACGTTTTCAGCATCAATTCGCGCGAAATCGCAGGTCACTGACCATGGATAGCTCTTTTCTCTGTTTTTTCAGCTTCAACTCGCGCGATATCGCATTGCATCGAAGAGCAGGACGCACGCTAATCAATCAGTGACTGCTCCTACTTGCGTCTTGAGCTTCGGATGACTTGTCGACGACAAGATTTACAAGACAACTTCATCGAAAAAAAGTAGGCGATCCAAAAAGAAAGAGATGCTGGTCAAAAGTTGAAAAAACAAAATATGTAACAAAATAACAACAAACAACAAAGTTGGGGCTAACAAGACACATTGTGGATTTTCTGTTCTCATTGTAAGGACTGTTCCGTTTTTCCGAAGACCTCAACTGTACAATTTTTGTAATTTGGTCGTTATCTTAGCCTCAGACTATCTTTTACCCCTCATCTAAAATCCAAAGCTTCATTGGCGAAGGTTGCTTTGAATAGAACATGGTGTTACTTTTTGGCCCAGAATCTAATCCCGGTTTACTCAAAGTACGAGGTATTTAATGCAGTTTGCCGTTCTATTATGTGTTATGCAGGCCAGGTGTGGGGGTTCCAGGATTATGAAGTGATAGAAAGAGTGCAACGTTTTTTTATTAGGAAGATCTTCTCACTGCCTAATTCTACTCCAAACTATACGCTTTATTTGGAGACGGCAGTAGATAAAATTTTCCTTTTTATGCTTTCCCTGCATTTTTCATTTGTTTTAAGGGTAGTTAGGGCCCTGTTGCCCGAATCTCCAAAATTACTGCTCTCGAGGTTATAAAATCTAATTGTTCTTGGTTTCGGCAATGGAATACTTTAGCTTCTCAATATGGTTGCGATTTTTCTTTTTGTTTAGAAAACCTCTCGAGTTGGCCCAATTATACCATGAAACTTTTGTGCAGACTACGTGATCAACATCGTGTGAGTTGTGAGCATCGGGCTCAGGTTTCCAACAGGAGGAAGGCCCTAGACCACTCTAAGGAAAACTTTAACCTAAATGTTCAAGCTAGTGGGTCTATAAAACTTCCGACTCTTCGATGGCTTCTTAAACTCAGATGCGAGCAAGTGTTCCTTAATTCTGTGCCATGGAAGGAAGACGTCGGAAATTTCTTGTGCACGCTCTGTAACCTAAGAGTTAGGGAAGATATCTTTCATTTTGTTGCCCAGTGTCCCATACTGTCTGAACTCTAGGCTATAAATCTGAAGGCTATAAATCGCTTTCCAGGTCTCAGCTACTTGATCTGTTAAATATCGTGGATATGGAGAGGTCGAAATGTCTAGCACACTATGCACGTCATGCCTGGCAATATAGGTACGATTATAATACCGAGTCATAATTGTTTAACTTGTATCTAAAATCAGCTAGTTTTTATAATTTAGTTTTTACTTATAGTTTTCTAATATTACCATTATTATATAGTTTATTTTATTTTTTATTTTTCGCTCGCCTGAAAAAAAAAACAGCCAACTTCCGGCAGACGGATAAGCATCCATGCTGTAAAACGCTTTTAATATTGTATATTAGGTAACGCTTCTCTTTAATGTAAATAAAGCATGTAATCTATCTATCTATCATCTATTATCTTGGCCTCGTTGTGTCTTTAAATACCAAATTACCGGTTCATCGCCCGCAGGCCACAGGAAAAAATCTCAAGATGTGCTATTCTTCTTTCGCATTACGAGAGATTACCAACTTTAAATTTTTAAAAATCTATTTGATTTATTTCTATATTATGTATAAAATAAATATTCAAATCTGTCTGACCAGGAGGCAGTGAGGAAAGAAACCAGCCAGTGCTGGAACTCTTTTTTGGGGAGGGTTAAGGAAGGGCAACACGAGGCCATCGTCGTGTTGGACGGCTGGACGATTATAGGGGTTGGGCGCTGAGGAAAGAGTTTGGTGTAGTGGGTTAAGGTGGTTATGGATAGTTTAGCATGGAAACTGAGGAAGCGTGGTCGGATTAGTTACTTCATGAATGGGATTTTAAGATCTTTATTGATCATTTGATTGTTGACATAGCAGGCAGCGTTGAGGATACGGCGGAGAACTTTGGATAGCCCAAATCGGCTGATGAGAGTTTTGTAATCGGTAGTTTATGTGTGCTTAGTGTTGATTTTGTCCCAGTAGGTATCTGAGAAGTCTGTATCTTTTGTTAAATCTTGAATGTGGGTTCCTTGTAAGTGTTATCTAAGTAAAGCTCAAGGTAGCGGACTTGGTTGGATGGTCTGGACTGGTGGGCAGGTCTGAGGTTTGAACTTAACGTTACGTGCTGGCTTTTTGCTCATTCAACCTGATCCTCCAATAAGTGCACACGACGGTAAAGAGGTTCAGATGCTGTTGGGCTTTTTCTGTGGCTAGGTGTGCATAGGTTGTGAGTTGTGTGCTTGGATTGGCTTGATGGGTGTAAAATCGGTGTTGATTCTCACTTTGACTCGTCGATCCAAGAGGCGGGGCTTCAGGATGAGATGGTAGGTGTGAAAGAGGGAAAATTGTACAAATTTGAGTAAAGTCAAATCCCAATAGTCAAGAGAAAAGGATCAACGGATTTTCTGGCATTTCCTTAGTGGTAATATTCCATCGATGCTGGGGGAAAACCAGCCGGAGATTTAATAAGCAGATTGTTTGAGACACCGTTCGAATTCAACGGTTTATAATTCGCCCAACTTGTGTTATAATGGTGGGTGCTTTTTATAGAATCGTCCATTGAAAGATTGAGAAAATGAATAAAGCATAAAGCAATACCCTTAAATGTTTTGAGAGTTTAAAAAAGGTTTGACATACAGTGAAATATTTGTAGTAGTTTAAACTGCATGTACGATACAGGGTCTTAAAATTTCGTCTTTACCAGGTGGGATGATTAAGTTTTGTGACATACAATCAGAGAACTAGCAAAAAAACACCGAAAAGATCAAATAGCTTTTTCTAATCATATGTGGATCCAAGATGTCCTTTAGTCGTGTCTTCAAACCTCGTTAAACTAAGACAGGACGACTTAAGAAAAACACGCAACGGTAGTAGACTTAATGAAGAAGAATAATCTTCCACATATCTACAATTGTAAAGACTCATTAGTTTAGAAAATTGAAATTTCATAAAGGAAACACAAATTCGTTAGTACAACCTCTTGGACTCTTCCCCAGTTTATTATTTAGGAAACACTCAATTCGTGACTTTTCCTCCTTTTGCCTACGGGATCACGAACCGGTGTGTGAGACGTGTTTCGACATTTGTCATCATCCTCTGTGTTGGTACTCTCACCCTGCTTATACCCTGACCCAAACCAGACTGTAGATTTCTGACAGACCAACCCAGCGAGGATGGTCAGACCAAAATGATCGTTACCGATCAAATTACAGTATAGAGTTAACCCGTTGTGCACGGATATTTTAAAAAGTCACACTAAACCCTTTAATCAAATAAATAATAACATTTAAGATTGTAGTAATCAAATAGGTATAAATTTAGACTTAAGGCGAGAAAAATTCATTTGACGTAAAAGTAAATATATGCTTACTACATAACAAGTCATTCTACCTCAAGTTATCCTTGTGATCTCAGACCACATTCTAAATATAAATTCTACTAGAAAAGACTGTAAATTGTAAATTTTACATTTATAATGTATATTTTGCCAAATATTTCGCCAACTAAATTTATGACCAAATATGTTAATAATAAGCCAAACTCAAAAAGCAATATAAAAACAATATCTAATTAATTTGCAGTTGAGGGTAGAAATATTAAAAAATTTAAACGAGTCACTCTCCAAAGAAAACGATCCTAAACCTAGTTTCTGGGTGTAAACCGTACTGCAGCGTAAGACAAACGTTAAAAATTAATTAATTAATCTTTTTATGTAAGGTTTTGGTTGAAATGAAAAAGTTAATGTCACGAGAGGGATTCGAACCCACGACCTTCGGCTTTATTATTACCTGATTATTTGGAGGTCGTGAGATGCGAAAAAAATTTATACAATGCTAGAAAATTATATATTAAAAAAATTTTTTCACATCCTACATGTAATTGTAAAATTTAAACAATGTTTATAAATCCCAGGCCCTGAAGATGATCTCAATAAAGATCGAAACGTTGTCACGAAAAAGAAATTTTTTTTATAAAACCTACGTCACACAAGACCACATCTCACGAACTTCAAATAATCATTAAGTAACGGTCACTAAACCACACACTTATTATTACCTTTATTACCTTATTCGGGTTCGAATCCCGCTTGTGACACTATTTCATTTCAACCAAAACCTTACATAAAAACATTAATTAATTGAAAGAAGTAATTTGTTCAATAGACCACTAAATATAATAGATTTAAATTTAATCAAGAACGTAAATTTTAACGTTTTACGAGATAAAATCAGTTCCATTTTATGGATATCATTAGGAGCACATAATGACATTAGATATCTTGTAATGTATTAAAAGTTGTGGAGAAAGAACTTAAATTTTAGACAACTTTCACTAGATGGCCAAATTTTTTATTTTATGACAAACTCTTTTTGTTCTTTTTGAACTTGATATATGAAGTTTCCTTCTAATCCTAGACTATGATATTATGATGATCAACTGTACTGAAGCTACCAGGCTGCATAGTTAATGATAGGTTGCGAGTTATATCAGGAAAACTAATTTTGTAGAATATCATGACATGGTTAAATTTTAATGTAGAAATTGTATCATTAGATCATCATCTTGAGTCATTTAGTCTCAAGGTGTACGAGACCTACCTTCCTACGGGATATCGTGCCTCGAGATTGTATCCTACACTCCAAATTTTAACGAGTGAAATTTTGCTTTGCGAAATTATTTGGTAATACCCAACACAAAGTTGTAATTAATATGCTCGGTGTGCTAAAAATAGAATAGGGAAAATCCACTGACGATTGCACGAAACCGAAACATCCGAACGAGGAACGAGCCTGGAAAAGAATCAGGAGGAAAATATGCCATTTTCACCAGTAGAAATGAACAGTCCGCCTTTTTCCAGTACTGGGCGGATTTTTAAGCCGTCATTTCGAAAACCTGAAGGTTTTCCATCCGGCTTTCTGGCATCGACTGTCCGGATTCATCGACGACCTAACCCAAGACCTCGAGGTCGCAGCGTTGTACGAATCCCCTCCAGTCGAGACTTCCGATTCTCCGGGAAAAACATCTTGCTCCGGTGCCGGAGTCAGTCGGAAAGAGGGGAAGGCCGAAGAACCAGTCGGCACACTCGGATACAACCACACGCGCACATATACACACTCGAAACACATGATACCATAACGTGAACACAGGCTTAGCCTCCGATTTTTTACAGTTAGTGGTGTTCAACTCAATGATGCATGGGATTAGCAGGTGGAAGGCGTCCATCTTCACCGAATTTCTTCTCTTACTTGCCGCAATAGGTAATTCTGGCAAGATTCTTTCCCATTTCGAAGATTCAACGCGGATAAACTGTTTTTACAAGTTTTTAAAAATAAATCTTGCATAATCAATTATTCGATATAGCCATTGGACTAATTTATTGGACTTATGACAGAAAAAAAATCAGCTTAAAGGATAAAATACAAGTTAAATAAAAGATTAAAATGTTAAATAACTTTTTATTCCAAAGACAAAGGATACAAGGAAATATCCAATCAAGGCCACCAGTTTCAAAGTGGAAGTCCAGTTTTAATACACAAACAATTTTACCCGATATAAACTTCATTTTATTGATACATTATGTATTAAACATTATAATAAAATATTGAATAGAGACTAAGTTAGTAATACAAATTAATCGCATTGTACAATCTAAGTTTTGCACTTTTTTAAAATAAAACCCACCACATCCGGGCAGACGAACGGTATTCCCTAGGCATATGTCTCAGATTTTTGTACTTTTTTCTTAGAACGGAGATACAAAGGCCGATCCTCCCCTTGGTTAATTATATGCGATTAAGGTGTTTACGAGTTTGTTGTTTCTCACGAGGAATTCAGTCGACTATCTTTTTTTTTTTTTTAATTTTATTTTATCGCCCCCTCTGAGCTGACGTGCGCATTTGGAATTGATATGTTACTCAATCATTAGTATAATCTCATATTTGCCTTGTTCTCTTCGTTTGTGTATTTTTTAAAAACGATCATAAGGAAAAAGTATCTATTAAAAGGAATCTTATTTTGTTTAATATACTTATTCAATCAATTAGGTTTTTTATTCAATTCATATGCATGTCACGATATGATCTGTCTATGATCGTGCTAATTATCATGATTGACAATATAAGACATATCTTTCATCATTGAAGAACAAACATTTTTTTTTTTTAATTCGCTCTGAAACGAAACAATCAACATGATAACAATTTAAAAACCACAACATAGTCGTGTTTATATCTATTTAAGCATGGGAAAATTAATTTTTTGGAAAGATCATCATTAATATTGAATATATTTGGATTATAAAGATCCTCTGGATATAAACTTAATTGGGCAAAACTTTTGTGTGCTTTAGAAATATTTCCATGAGACAACTTTTTGTATTATTCATTAGGCATATGTTATGAATACATTTTTTAGAAGTATTTATAACGATAATAAACTGCGCATAAAATTTATTATGCACTAACCAATGACCTAATTAATAATTATTGAATGTCATGATGATATATTGAAAGCATAGCGTATTTTTCACTATATGTTTAAAAAATAATATCTATTAACACAATAAATATATTATTTTATTTTTTCCAATTGAAATAGATAATGGACAGTTTTACCAATATAAAAGTAAATTATTACTTTTTACTTCTCCAAGGAATCCGCCAAAACTATTTAAGAGTTGGCGTTTTCTAATGAATTTCGGAAACGACGGTTGTAAAATTGTTTCCCAAATTTAAAACCAATCAGGTCGGCTGTAATTAAGGCCGATTGAAAATCGTTGTTATTTTTAAACAATACAAATGACAAAACAAGGCCTAATTGGAAAGAAATCGGTAGGATGTACATTATATGTAACAGGACGTAAATTCTATTTTTAATATCCAATTTTGTTTTATTTTTGTTCGGTTTATCTCAGGCATTCTTCTGTTTTATTTAAAAACAAACTCGGAACTAGTTCCAATTTGTTTATAATATTTTCGACGCAAAAGTATTAATTAGAAAAGGTAAATTTTATGTCGAAGTTTCAAGCAATTGGGAGAGGGGCTTATTTATACTAATTATTTATATAAAAAAAAAGAAATATTTAAGAAAAATAAATCCAGAAATCTAGTTTATAAAATAGCCTAATCCTCATTAAAGGAGAATTTCGGATCAAGGACGCGTTGATATTAATTCAAGGAATAAGATCAAAGATCCGTGAAACTCTTCCTTTTTTCCTTAATACGATTAAAAGGGAAAATTTCCATATTGAATGTTTTTTGTATGTGCATTGATTACGTTTCTGATTGACTGATTAGTCAGTATTAATCATCGGGTCAGTCGCAAGGCGATCTTTGATGATAGATTTTTCCCCGACTTATAACCTTAAGAATTTGACCTTAAGGAACGTAAAGAAAATTGGCGGCCGTCCAAAACTATAATCTTCCTGCTAAAGTTCATTGACCAATTTGAATTCCTGTTAGAATTAAATTTAACTTGACGCCTAGCGCTTAGCGAAATTGCATGAAAACGGAGGTCTTAACCAATTCCAGCGTTTATTCTTTCAGTAGTGGCTTTTCGAATAAACAGGCAGTTAAATATTCAACTTGTTCGGAAGTCGAAATTAAATTTTTTAAATCGATTAGGTTTCGTGGTCCTATTGACCAAATAAATTCTTTTCAATTAATTAATCTTCATGTAAGGTATTGGTTGAGATCAGTGGTAGAGCAGCGGCGTATTTAGCCGAAGGTCGTGGGTTCGAATCCCGCTCGTGACACTGACTTTTTTATCTCAACCAATACCTTAATTAAAGATTAATTAATTGAAATTAAATTTTTTAGTTTAGTTTTACTCGATATATACGGCAATTTATGAATAGAAACGGTTTATGAATAGAAATTAGGGAAAAAAGACCATTCTTTCGGTCGTTAATTACATATTACACTCATAAAAGAAAAATAGTCGAAATTACTCGTTGAAATTTTTCTTTTATTTTTATATCGTAACTATTGTCTGCTTTGAAAAAAAAACTGTCTATCTTTAAAAGTCTCCCGTCCGTAGGAAAGAAGCCGTCATAAGACGGCCTTGGAAGTAATGACACTGTTAATTAAATCTTCCTAGTTAACTCTGCAAAATTTCTTATCCACCTTGTATCAGACTGTATTTCGTTAGGTTTAGAATACCTGATGTTTAGCTGTTGCCGTGGATCATAATTGTTATAAAATTACTTATACACTCGTGACCGGTTTGGAAGCAAAAAGAAAGTAATAGCGTCAATCTCAAGAAGTCCCTGAAGTTTTCGAATGTATCACGATTAATAAATAGGTTTTTTTTCCGCTAATAAAAAAAAAATCGGCTTTTCAATTCGTTCTTGTAATTTTTTTTTTAAATGGAAAAAATGGATTACTTATGGTATAAGCATATAATTTTATGGTTAGATTAAGTTAAATCATAACTATCGTGCTCATTTTTATATCTTGTCTTTGCCGTTAATTTGTAAATTTTCTTCGAAAAATGGCTTCCATGATTCTTATTTACATTTTAAAAACACATATACTCTGTGTCAATAAAAATGTTAACGATTATAGTCAATTATAAACTAATTATATATGTACATATAAAATTGTAATGTGCATTTGTGATAAATTTTTTAAACCAGTTCTTCTTACATAGATAAAAATACATAACTACAAAAAAGGGAAGTTGTACAAGCAAAAAGCAACTCTTTAATGAAGGGTTTGCAACAGCAGAAGTAATAGGTCTTATCAACCCCAGTGCTTTTGAGGTTTAAAATTTCTTGTTCTGGATAACTAATAAATATGATTATTCGGAAATCGTGAGATATAGTCTGGTGTGATGTAGATTTTAGAAAAATATTTTCTTTATTGTGCCAATGTTTTGATCTTTATTGAGATCATCTTCAGGGCTCAAAGTGTTTGTTTTCCATGTAGATGTGCCATTATTGTCTGTCGTGTTGAGAGTGACCAGACACGACAGACAATAATGACACATCTACACGGAAAACAAACACTGACCCCTGAAGATGATCTCAATAAAGATAGAAACGTTGGCACGGTAAAGAAAATGTTTTTATAAAACCTACGTCACACCAGACAGCATCTCACGATTTCCCAATAATCATTGACTAACGGTCACTAAACACCACACAAATAATAAAAAAATCAACATTTTTCTTCCAATTGTAATCACTTTAAAATAAATTAAATACAAAAATGTTAAACAATTAAAAAAATTCATCCACCAAAATCCGGCTATCTGACTAAAAACGCAATAAAAAACCCTGATTAAAAGGAAGCGCAGCATAGGTGGGCCGGATCAGCAGAGAAAATCAAGTATCAAGATTTCTGTTGATAGGTGGCCCTCGGAGGATCTGACTTGTAGAAGAAGGGTCAACCTCACCCGATTAAGAATAGGCCATACAAGGTTGACAAACAGACACTTTTGGGCCGGCGTAGGTTATTATCATCCAATTGGATAATTGAGCAAGTATTTGGTTCCTTGTTTCAGTTTTTGGAGGAAACAGGGCTGCTTTATTGTACTTATACTTTAGGGATAAGGATAAGAGAGGCGGCCACAAGGCCTACTGCACCTTGACCTAAATAGATCTATTGTGTTCCTCTGTTAGTTATAACTCACTGGCCAGCTTCAGGCCATTAACCACAGCTTTGCCAGCGGTTCCTTGGTGTAGGACCTTGCCTGTGGTTTTTCTTGTCCTAGTTGCAAGAACCTATACCTACATAGACCTTCGCAGAAACATAAAATGTGTTTTGCGGTCTCCTCCTCTTCCTGGCAGTATCTGCACAGTGTTGCTTCAGTCTGTACTCCTACCCAGTGCATGTGCTTTCTTAAGTGGCAGGGACCTGTCAGGAGTCCAACCAGAATACTGATACTTTACTCACAGATATCTTAATTTGTGTTACCTTGTTCACACTGAGACTGAATTTAGTTACTAGCATGAATGTGCAGTGGAAGAAGGCTGATGGTTGAAAAGAACGTATTTAAGTATGAGTGAGTTTAGATTTAGAAACCGATGTGATGGTGGCTAAAATGACTTCACTGTCATTTGAAGCCCAGCCTTGCCAGCAGGACGGATAAGGCCGAGGACTGACCCCAGACTGCCAAAACCCACGGTGGGTGATTCTCACAGCCTGCCAGAGATTTATTGTACAATTACACAAAAGTGGACTTAATGGCAGGATGTGAGAAGTCATACGTTCAACTCTATTCATATGAATCCATTATATTTCATGGTCCGATTGACCAAATAACTTCTTTCAGTTAATTAATCTTTATGTAAGGTATTGGTTGAGATAAAAAAAGTCAATGTCATGAGCGGGATTCAAACCCACAACCTTCGGCTAAATACACTGCTGCTCTTAAACTTGAGCTATCGTGATTTTGATCCACTCGAACACCAACTTCCCATCTTAACCTACCCTGCACACATGTATATGTTTGTACGTAGGTGTTCAGAGTAGGGCTTATATAACCAAGTACTCAGTGATCAATAAAAAAATAATAATAAACACTATTGAATTAAAATCACTTGATTTAAGAATTTATTCTTTTTTTAGCGCTTTCCAAGCTCTGACTGGCGGCTACCACTTGATGCTGCAGATAAAGCCAGTTAGAGATTTGAAAGTGCTACAAAGAGAATAAATGTATAAGTTGTAAATGTTCTTAACTACAACCCTACACTAATGAAATGATGAAATATAAAAACAGAAAATTTATAATAGTAATTATCTGCTTTAATTGGTTAAAAAAATCTCTGAAAATATTACATCATTATTAAAGGATAAATGAATGACTCAATGAAATTTTGTAGGATAAAATGACAAGTAAAATGGAAAATAAGATTCAGGGTCAAATTTAATGCAGTAACTCGAAGAGTTTTATGATCGATTCAGAACTGAATATGGTGAAAAGATATTTTCACAGTGTTAATTTTTTCTCCAATTTTACTATAAGAAATTAAATTGTGTTAAAATAATTCGCTTGTTGGTGCGGGAATCAAATTTATACTACTTCACTATTTTGTTGGCAACCTGAATGTCCACTAGCATGTAGGAAACGCTATTTTTTAACACAACTGTTTTACAAAGTGGACATGTTTATTATTCATGTTTTAAGACCGTGTTTTACATTTAATGACTTCAATTATATACTCAAAGTAAAAACAACCAGACACTCGTATTGTGTTGTTTATTTCAAACTATATGCATTTTTATTGTTATATTAATTGCAATTTTAGTATAAACCAAATGAAATAAGATGAGAAATACATGAGTTTTAATAAAAATTATTTAATTATGATGGTTTGAAAGAAAATTCATCAAAACCAAAAAATAATGTAGTGATAGATTAAGATATCTTGCTGCTCTTAACAACTCTCATTAAGAGGTAATAAATTGTTAGTTAAATTTTAAACTCAATAATTTTGCATTTATTAAGTGATTTGGGTGTTTTGAATAAGCAGTGTTTCACCATGCAATGTGAATCTAGATTAAAATTATGAGATAACAAAACATAGTTTCCTTTTCTATTTTGTAACTAGTTTAAAAAATATACAAACTTTGTGCAGTATCATTAAAACTATATTGTTATTTTAAGACAGGCAAGACAATTTTTTTTAAATTTTACAAATTATAATCAAAAATGTATTTTTCAGGTGTGGATGGCACCCTTACCTATTTAGGGTGTTTTAGAGAACAAACAAAAGAAAATAGACTATTTAAAGGTGATCATAAAGATTTCAATAATATACTTTCACCTCAAATATGCGCAAATTATTGTGAACAGAGAGGATTTAAATTTATTGGACTGCAGTACAGGTGAATACTAGTTTTTTAAAAACAAAATTCAATTGTAATTTTGATAAATTTATTTGTTTTTATTTTTAGCTATGAGTGTTTTTGTTCGAACACAAGACCAACGTTCCACCTATCTGCATACGAAAATGAATGTAATATGCAGTGTGCTGGGAATGTACATGACATATGTGGCGGAGGTTTGAGGTTGAGCGTATATGAATCTGATAACGCAGTTGCAGGTATAGAATAAATGTTGAATGTGCCAACGTCAAGTAGGGTCTGGGCTGTTGCTTTTGTGTTGTCCTTTTTTTGTCTTGTTGCATTTTACCCACTGTGACTAACAACTGTTTTTTTTTTTTTTTTATATATATGTGTCACGCATTTTATTTTTAACATCACAAAAAATCTTTAACATCTCTTCTATAAAGATGACTTTTTCACATTTTTTTCTCGCTTTATGTTCGTCTGGGAATTTAGCTATGACCGAATTCAGAATTTTTCGATACTTTTCTATGTTAGGTGTTACGACATTAACGGCAGACAACTCCCGCTACGTAGGATGTTTCAAAGAGATTTCAGCGGCAACACGATTGCTACCTAATGAGCAAAAGAATTTTGTGGGTGATCTCACTGTGGAAAAATGTATTTCACACTGCTTATCAAAAGGGTTTGATTACGCTGGTACTCAATACGGGTAATAATTTTTTAAAATTTATAAATCAAGCATATTCCCATACCCTACTTGAAAGTCTTCATATTTATTGTTAAAAGAATTAAGGCAATTTTGTTTTACATTGATATATACTTAAATATTATTATAGATTGTTTCACTGCATTTAGTTTTTAAAATAAATTTTTCAAATATAAGTATTGGCTTTATATTGTTTAAAAAGTACTCCAATTTAAATTTTTGAACATTTTTATGGAGTGAATTCTTCAAAGAGAAAAGGTAAAGTAGAGAGAGTACAGAGAGTTGTATACCAAAATATGAAAATGAATAAAAATTGTAACTTAATTAAATAATAATTCAAAATCAATTCTTCATTCATTGGTTATAATTTTAATAAAGGCATTTTTAATATTTTAATTTAAACTCAATTAGAAAAAAAAAATTAGCACTTGTGTTTTGAACGATCCAAACAGGATTGAATTTTTTCCTCCCCCACACATGTGTATGTCCTAAATTACTTGATTTTATACAGATTTGAGTGTTTCTGCTCCCAAGAGAGACCATCCTTCAAGCGTTCAGCCAATGAAGAAACCTGCAATAAGCCGTGTGACGGTAACAAACACCAAATATGTGGGGGCAACTGGAGACTCAGCGTCTACGAAACGACCGGTATGCTTTTCTGTCAAAAATGAAGACTCACGTCTATTAAAAAAACTTGACATAATTTTTTACTTACCTTCAATTGATATAAAATTTTAGAAGCCTTCAATTTCTATAGACAAAATAGTATGTAAGTTTTTATGTTAATAGTTATATAATTTTCACATAATTACATTTAATCTTGTTTTGCATAATTTTATTTAAACTGTTTCAATTGTCTAAAAATCATTTAATTTTAATTTTACCCAACTGAAAAACTTTTTTTGTAGAGCAGGCGAGAAATCCTGTTTCTTCCAACTACATCGGCTGCTTTTATGACAGTAATCTAAATAGGCTATTAGTTAATGCATACAAAGATTTCGATGGTAAATTGACCCCTGAAGCATGTGTTAGTTTCTGCTACCGTGGTGGCTATCGTTACGCTGGAGTTCAACACAAGTAAATTATTTCTACTAAAGATTGTAATTTCAATGTTTGACGTCTACAATATTTGCAGGTCTAATTGCTATTGCGGTTCTGAAGTGCCATTAAGCAATAAAAGGTCTCAAGAAACCGAATGCGACTTGCCTTGTCCTGGTGATGGAAGCATATATTGCGGAGGAAGTGCCAGGTCTAGTGTTTATTATACTGAAATAACAGGTATGGCTTTACGATATATAATTGTTTCCTGATTTTAATAGTTGGTCTTTTTAGATTATTCCGAAGATGACAGGCTCCTTGGTTGCTACAAAGATAGTGATAAGAACAGGATTCTTTCAGGTGAAAGATTGGTTTTTAATGAGAATAACACACCAAGATTATGCATGAATACTTGTTTAAGCTTGAATTACAAATTCTCTGGAGTTCAATATGGGTAATTTGTTTTTAAATTTAAATGAAATAATTAATTACTTATTATAATTTATTTGATTAATTTTTTTATCTGTAAATCTGTTATGTCTGGTTTCAGAAATGAATGTTACTGTGGAAATAGAAGACCGCCGAGAGATTTGGAAGTTGCAGAAAGGGACTGCCTGACACCTTGTCCAGGTGACAAAAGAAAGAAATGTGGCGGCGGCTGGAGATTGCTTGTTTTTGAAGTTCCTGGTTGGTTTTTAAAAATCGTAAAATTTTGATTGAATTGATCATAATTGTTAAGAACGCTCATTTTAGATGTCAACACTGAATATCCCAGGCCCAATGAAAGGCCAGTTTTAGTTGCACAAACGACTCAAAAACCTACAACTCAAAGGGCAACTCAGAGAACAACTCAAAGGACAACTACAAAGGCCCCAGCAACTCAAAAAACAACTAAAAGAAATACTTACAGGCCTACAACAAGGCAACCGAACAGGGAAACTAGTACAAAACCACCGACAAAATACACTACATATAAGCCGACACTGCTTAACAATAAACCGGATAGCCAATCAAATGCCAATTGTGTTACATCTCTCACGATTGTGAATGGAAAAAGTGTTTGCAAAGGAGATTTGATCTTTAAAGAAAACTTTGATGAGAGCCTTTCTAAAGAAAAATGGGCTCATGAAATTTTGATGCCTTGGCTTCCAGTAAGTAATCACATTTCATATAATTTAATTTGAATTATTAATATGAAGAACCAAGTTTGTATGATGTCTTAAATACGCTTGCAAGGAAAAGTAACAATAGAAATTTTGTTTGTACAGGACTATGAGTTTATTGTTCTTCGAAAAGGTTCAGCTAACAGTTATGTTGAATATGGTAAATTCCATGTTAAACCTACACTTCAAGATGATGAATTTATCAGAAAAGGAAAATTAGAGCTTTATGGGTAATTAAAATATGTAACTATCATTTTCTTATATGAGAATAGTTTGTTTAACATTTCATTCAATGATTAATTGCTAGGTGCACAAGAGTTCCTAGTACTTTAGAATGTGAACGGCAAGCTGCAGCATTCAACATTTTGCCTCCTGTCGAATCTGCTAGGATAACGACAAAATATTCATTTTCATTCAAATACGGAAAGGTCAATGTGAGGGCTAAACTACCCCTAGGAGATTGGATTATCCCAGGTAATTAAAAAGAAAACATCACAATAAAAGTGTGTAAAACTTTATTTTAATTTTATGCTAATTTAAATTTAAATGTTACTACTTAGAAATCTGGTTAGAACCAAAAAGAAAAGTTTATGGTCCTTCTTACACATCAGGGAGGATTCGTATAGCAATGGCTCGAGGCAATAGAAATCTACAATTTGATGGACAAGAAATAGGAAACAGGTGCATAAAATATATATTTTAATTTAAACAAAATCTTATTATATTTCTACACATTTTCAATATGTATTTTTGATATTTGGTGAAAAAATTTTTGTTTGTTCTTCAGTTAAATTTTTAACTCTTAAACCATTAAAAGTCATGACTTAGTTATTTGAACAAAGGGCTGTCTTAGATTTTTCAGCCTTGCAATTTTAAATAGAATCAATACTAAACACCCTGATTTTAGTACATCTTTCAGGTGAGAAGAGTGCTTTGAATTATATGTTTTATTAAATTTCATACAGTTTTTTAATTATCCTGGAAGAACATTTAAATTCAATTATTTAAAACTAACTAGACTTTGTTAGATCAAGTTTTTTATTTCAGCCATCTAGAATCTGGAGTATTAATGGGTATTGGTAATAATATAAGGGGGAGAACGATTACCCGCCAAAAGAGTGATGGGTGGTACAGAAATTTCCACAACTATACTGTTATTTGGAGCCCGGATGAATTAATCTTTCTGGTAGATGGTGAGCAGCAAGAAAGCATTTTGAGGTACGGTTCTACTCTTGCAGAATTGGTTGGCTTCGATGAGAACTCTGCAAAAATTTGGAAATCTGGATCAAGGATTGCACCTTTTGATCAGGAGTTCTACTTAAGCTTTGGGCTGAGTGTGGGTGGAATGAGGGATTTTCCAGACAATAGCATTTCATCTGGAAAAGTTAAACCCTGGAAAAATTCAGATGTAAAGGTAAAGGAATTATCTATATAAGTCAAGTTGAACAAAACATAAATAAATAATATACAAAAAAAATTGTGAATCATCATTTACAAACAGTAAATAAAACACTTGTTATATTATAACAGAACAAAAAAAGTTTTATCAGCTTTTTTATATTTTTTTAGACTTGTAGATACTGCATCATTTTTTTTTTGTCAAAATTAAAGATTATTTTTGACGAAATTGAACATTTAGTTTCAAAATTCAACCACTATCTTCACTAATCTTCACTTTTCTTGACTTACACTTTGTGCACTATACTGCTCTATTAAAAAATAATTCTAGCAGCTAATTACTTGGCTCATTAGCCGTATCAAAAGATATGAACAATTTAGTGTGTAATATTTAAAACAATTTTTAAATTTTTACAAATTTTTAAAGGCAATGGCGAATTTCTGGGAAAGCCGACACGACTGGAAAAGCAGCTGGGAAGAAGAAAAGGCCAAACTTCAAATTGAACATATTAGGGTCTATGCGTTGTAAAAAAAACAGAAAATTTCTTTCAAATCTCCACTAATCACTATGTACATATTGTGTTGCTTGACTATTGTCTATCAGAGAAAAGTTTATGTTCAAACTTTAATTCTAAAATTTAAAAAAACACCAATTAACATCATATATATGTATTAGATGAATTAGATAAGCTTTAAATATTAAATGTGAGTTGTTTATTGTAAGATTAATGATGAATATATAAACTTAATTTTTTTCTTTGCATTTTATTAAATCCATTATCAAGTCTTGTATTTCATTTGCTTTTTTGTAGTGATGTGTTTACTGATTCATTTGAAAAGTCAATGTGGGAAGCATCTATGATTCATATCAGTATTTAAATTATAATTTTGAAAATGACTGCTTTGCTTCTAAGTATTTATTGGTTTGATTTCCCATTTTGGCTTTCAATTTTAGTATTTTAATTTTAATGACAACACCTCTATTTTATGTTTAGTATTTTATAGATTTTCTTTCTTGTAATGAAACTTGGTTTGTGAATTTCAAGAAGACTGTGAGGGATGGTTAGCTAAATTTGTAAAATCATGATGAAAGCCTTTCTTTCTAGGTGCCTCAAAACATTAAGGTAATTCTACTTGTACCAAAAGTCTAAAGTTTAAAATCACAATCCTGAAAAATCGAGGGTGCAGATACTGGTTCACATTGGCGGTAGTGGATAGAGTCCAGCCATATCTGGCCAGGTTTACCTTTTAAATTAAATTTCTTACAGTCAAATTTGAGAAAATTATGATTAAAAATACTTTACTTAAAAAACATAAACCTTTTACTTTATAGTAAAATATAAAAGACTCACATCAAATGAGCCATTATTACTTTTGTATTAAGTCATGAATAAACTAGAACTTGTATGGTTAAGTGGGCCTAGGCCCTAGTGGGTTATAGAATTTGGCAGTGATGTTTAAAAAAATTTGAAATCAGTTATTAAAAATTTAATTATGTCAATTTGTAGATATTTTTAAGATTAGCAGGAACGATTGAATTTGCTTTTTCATCAAGACCAAATTGTGATCTAAATATTAATGAGTAAAAAACTGGTTGAAAAATCTAACATTTAAAACAGAAACTTGGTTAAGTCGATGAGTTAAGCAGGCAATCAAGCAAATATTTTATTTGCAACTGAACCTTCAGAGTGCTGTGTTTTGAAAAAAAAAAGCCCATTTGTAAGTATGCCAGATTAAAATTCAGGGCTGCTCGATAAACTGAAGAGTCGCCATGTCAACACCTTAACCATTGCGGTCACTGATGCTAAGCCAAATAAGCCAACTAGATTAGCTGTAATATATTCTTTAGATTATAAAAAAAAAAGTTGAGTGGTAGTAGTAGTACATATAACATGTTATGGGCTGACAAGTAACTAGTGTTTATTGCCGGCTCCCTGCGCACCACACAGAAAACACTGCATTTGTCTTAAAACAGTTATCAGCTATCCTTCTGAATATATTTTTACACAATGGACTATGTAAGATTAGCATTGGATAATGGAACTGCATTTAAAAGTATAGAATATAAAAAATTTTATTAAATAATAAATTCAATTAAAGTTAGTTAAATATATTAAATATGACTTTGGAGATGCTGCATTATTAAAGTCTCATTATTTGTCAAGCAAAGCCAGGATATTGCACTGCAAACTTAATGCTGAAACATGATGAACCTTTTATCACACTAAATAAAATGTCGGGAGTAAGTTATAAGTGTAGAGTTATATAAGTGTAGAGTGTAGAGAAAGAAAAACATTATAGTTTTTATTATTTTTTGTTATTTCTTTTACAAAAGAAAATTTTGAGTTTCATAACTTTTAATCTAAACAATTATGGTGGTACAAGTAAAGAAGACCTTTTATATTATTGGCAGGGATAGATATTTAACTTGTTATGTATTTAGTGTATCGTGGACAAACCATTGCCAACCATAACAATATGCGATGTTAGTTTAGAGCTATGTCAAGATAGAAGATGATACAGCTTAATTGAGACAGCACCGGTTACAACTGATCATCAGGACACCACCTACAGAGTCGTGTGCTGTGGAGTTCCATTTGAATCAACAGCACCTTGTTTCACAGAAAATGGCCAAGAAAAACCCAATTGAGAGATAAAGGTCATCTATGGATGCAACTCAACCACTGAAACTGAATTTATTCAGAAAATAGTGAACCAGCAAAAGAAGGAGCAACATCGGCAGTCAACAGCATGAAGTTCATCGTTGACGCCACATTTCTAGATACTGAGCAACTAGAAATGTCATTCACAAGGTTCAGCACCAAGATACTCTCAAGAATGAAAAAAATAAAATAAAATTACTACTACTACAAGTATCTATATCGATTTTCTTTCTTGTAATGAAATTTGGTTTGTGAATTTCAAGAAGACTGTGAAGGGTGGTTAGCTAAATTTGTAAAATCATGATGCAAGCCTTTCTTTCTAGGCGCCTCGAAACATTTTGATAATTCTACTTGTACCAAAAGTCTAAAGTTTAAAATCACAATCCTGAAAAATCGAGGGTGCAGATACTGGTTCACATTGTCGGTAGTGGATAGAGTCCAGCCACATCTGGCTGGGTTTACCTTTTAAATTAAATTTCTTACACTCAAATTTGAGTAAATTATGGTTAAAAAGACTTTACTTAAAAAACATAAACATAAAAAAAATGTCATTCACAAGGTTCAGCACCAAGATACTCTCAAGAATGAAAAAACAATAAAATAAAATTACTACTACTACAAGTATCTTCAGCTTACGAATTTAGAAATGCAATAGTACAGCTGATGGACCAATATCGTTGATGATTGTAATGCTGTAGGGTCACTACTTTTAACAGGGGGAGATTTTGTGAGGATCGTTGGCAAAAATAAAACAAATGGCAGGTGACGAGAGGGGGACACACAAAAAGGGAGATGGGTGGAGATTGAGTCCTGTCTGGAACCAGAGTAACAAGTATATTGTAATAATAAAAATATTATTAGACGATCTTGTTTATTTTATATTATTACAAGGTATTTTTATTTATTTTTTAGATGTGAATATTTTTTTAAAAGTTTTTAATTGTATTATAAAATTATATATTATTTTTATCTGTGTTATAATATTATTATCCTATTGTCTCTGCATCAGCCTGACTCCCTGTACCATTCATTCGTCTGCAAGGGTGGCATAGAGCACTTTGGATTGGGGCTGGATTGTGAGATTAGGATTAGGGGTAGGGTAGGAAGAAGGAAGGTGTGTAGTGGAGGGTTCAGGAAGGGGTAGATCCAGCTCCTGTTCCTCCATATCTCTTTTTTCATCTGTTTATTTAACAGGGTAAATAAGCCTAAGAAGGTGGAAAATCGGAGTTGGATATTAGAGGGTATTTGAGACATAGACCCTTCCAACACAAGACAAATGTGGTGACATTCACTTCCTAAGAGTAACTGATACTCCTTGCGGTGGGTTTAACCAGTTTTCATTAAATTACTCTTACTTGCGAAACATCACATTCGCACCCCAGAGTACAGGGGGTAGTTTTGTTATAATAATAAAGTGGGAAGTTTATGGGCCGACAAACAGCTGAGGTCATCTCCTTCTTTTTCTCGTCTTTTGTGTGTATTTTGTTTTATATATAAACTGCAGCTATTTGAGTGTCTCGATCTGGCTACTGACTCTCTGATTAGTTTTGTTGTATGTTTTTATATAGTATAAAATCAAAAATATTTATATCTATTTTAATTATTCTATTACTGTGAATTAAAATAATGAACTTTAATCTGCTATAATGCAATATATCAATACTAATATTTTTTGTTTTATAACTACAATGTATGCACAGTAAACATTTTTTTAAAATGTGAATGACATTGACATGGCCGTTAAATATAGATAAAAACTATATGAGTAAATCAATTTTATCATTGATAACTGAAAAAAAGGATAATATGTAAATAAAATCACAGATATTTACTACCAATTGATTAAAAATACAACAAAGCAACCAGTTGATCTTATATACTTATCTTTAATCAAATAATTATTGTCAATATTCTAATGTATCTGATTAAATTTATCTTATCGGTGTAAAATGTTTATACTTTTGGCTTCCAGCTTGGTCAGTTGTTTCCTGGATCATTTATAATGATTGTTCCGTGTGCATTGATTTTTGTATTTCTAATAGTATTTATTTTATACCTTTGTGAAATACCTTCCCTCCACACGTATAGGCTAATTCAAAAAATTCCTGGACCTAAATCTTTGCCAATTTTTGGCATTGCGATTGAATTATTCAAGTTGAATTATGAAGGTAATTGTAACATTGTTCTATGAAGCAGAGCTGAGAAAGTATTTTTTCCAGATATATTTCCATACTTTAATAAAATCATCCAGGATTATCCTAGAGTGAGAAAAGCTTGGCTTTTGGGAATGCCTATTGTAATCCTCTCTGAACCTGAAGACATTAAGGTATATTATGTGGGCTATAACATTAATGTGTTGATAAAATAACCACTACAGTTTACTTTATTATTAAAGTTTCAACATTGTACCAATTAAAGAGTTTAAATATAAGATATTTACTTGTTGATCAAATATATGAAATGTTGATTAACAATTTTGTTCAGATAATTATGAACAGTACTACCCACATTCAAAAAGGCTTCGGCTATCAGTTCTTTGGGCCCTGGCTTAGTGAAGGATTACTTACCAGTGATGGTAAGTCTATTTAATTATTTTGTGTAAGTTCCCAGTACAGTAGTTTATACATCATGTACATAGGTGATAAATGGAAAGCCAGGAGGAAAATTTTAACCCCGTCTTTTCACTTCAAAATTCTTGATAACACCCTTGGGCCACTCAATGAACAGTCAAGATTACTTTTAAAGAATTTTTTGAAAAAGGATGAACCTTTGGATCTGCATTCTGTAATATCCCTCTGCACACTGGATGTAATTTGCGGTACATAACATCCCTTACTTCAATTTCTTAATTTTTCAAAAATTATTTATTTATCTAATTTTTGTGTGTATATAGAAACAGCCATGGGATGTTCAGTTAATGCACAAAATAACCCTACCAACAATTATATAAACACTATAAAAATGTAAAACGTTTTCTCAGAAATTTGTGTAAATGTTTTATTTTGATTATTCAACTATGATTTACAATTCTTAGATTAACAAATGGAATTGTGTACAGATTACTAAATCTTTATATGAAAGACTGGCAATTTAATATTACATCTATTGGTAGATCTTTCAATAAAAGTCTTAAAGAACACCATGATTTCACTGATAAGGTATCTCAATTTGTACATTTATTTTATAGTTTTGAATTAGAACGTATATTTGTTCGATAGATAATAAATCAAAGAAAATTAGAGTATAAAAATTCCAAGTTGATCGAAGATTTTGATGAAGGAAGTACATCAGGTAAAATGAGTATATCATGTAAATTTTGCAACTACCAAATGTTATTTCATTTAGGTAAAATGCCACGAGCGTTTTTGGACATGTTGATTGAATTGAAATCTCCATATGGATATTTAAGCAGTGATTTAGACATAAAAGAAGAAGTGAATACATTCATGTTTGAAGTACTAAAAAAGAAAATAAACATTTGGGATTGAATTCATTAGCTGTCTAGCATACATTTTTTTGGCATTTTTATAGGGACATGACACAACTTCTTCTGCACTGACATTCGCTGTGTTTAATCTTGGACTTCATAAGGACATTCAAGTAAGAATTGAAAGTTCCCAATGAAAAAATAAATAATATATGTGTATTTTTTACGTTTCAAAGGAAAAGGCATATCAAGAACAGTATGAAATATTTGGTAATAGCGATCGTTTTGCAACAACTAAAGATTTACAGAAAATGACTTATCTTACAAAAGTCATAAAGGAGACGCTTCGACTCTTCCCAAGTGTCCCATACATGTCAAGAAAACTCAACAAAGATGTACAACTTAGTAAGTTAAACAATCTACTAATGTAAGGAAAATAAAAATGGAACGATGGAAGGAATGGATTTAACAAAATAAATGGGGTGTAAATGAGTGTTGTTCCACCGACCTCTGATCGAAATCAAGTTACTTATTTGAATAGAAAATGTGGTCACTACTGGCTGGAGGGAGTAACACAAATGGCTCAGAGATTTTTTTTCTTCCAGAGCTCAATTCCTAGTTTGTGGTGGGAAAGGCTGGGATCCAGCCAATAAAACAGCTTATTTATTTATTATTATTTTTTATGCAACTGCAATACTAATATGTCTCCCAAGAGACAATGCTCTTTTTTCTTCATGCTGAATAAATATACATCTTTTCCGCAACCCACTTTCAGGATCCTTATCTCCTTTTACAGCCAGGCTAGGCTACTTGTATCAGAGGTTGGTTTAAGGAAGAGGGAAACAAACTTTGTAGAAGCATAGAATAACTTGAAGAACTCTAAATAACATTATCTACTATTTCACAAATCCCAATAAACAGATTTTTAAGCCTATTTCATTACTCCAAAATTAAAACACAATTTGAAGGATTTCATGTAGGGAACACACACACACACACACACACACACACACACACACACACACACACACACACACACACACACACACACACACACACACACACACACACGCACGCACGCACGCANACACACACACACACACACACACACACACACACACACACACACACACACACACACACACACACACACACACACACACACACACACACACACACACACACACACAACCACACACACACACACACACACACACACACACACACACACACACAAAGCAAAATAAGCACAATGAATAAAATACTGAATGATTTCTTCTTGAGATTGACAGGGCAAAAGGAAATGACCACACTACAAAATATTTACCTAATAAATTATAAGTATTTAAAAGTTGATCAATAATCATTTCAAAGTTGTACAAATTTTCTCTACATACCCTCCTGTATTTCTAAAATAATATCACTTCTTTTAATGTAAATATAATATAGTAATACTAACTAAAATTAATTTGCAGAGGACGTGTTGCTGCCACCTGGAGCGCATGTATTGATAATGCCGTATTTTCTCCACCGGGATAATAACATTTACCCTAATGCTGAGACATTTGACCCGGAACGGTTTAACACTGATGAAGCTACCAAAAGACACCCATTTGCGTATATTCCTTTTAGCGCTGGCCCGAGAAACTGCATCGGTAAATATAATAGGATTTTCAAAAATTACTTTTTTTATACAATGCTTAATCTTTTCAGGACAAAAATTTGCAATGATGGAACTTAAAGTGGTACTGTCTACGCTTATCAGATTCTGCAAGTTGGATTCTGTCACTAAATTGGAAGAATTAGAACTAACACCTCTCGTTATTCTTAGAAATATAAGCCCAATTTATGTTAAAGTAACATCTCGGTTTGATTAGTTATATATTAAACTAAAGGAAAAACTTTATATTTATTAATGCTTCAAGACATCTAGTGCATAATAATATGTATTTCTTGTTAACTAGAGTAAAGCTAAAATGGATTTCACAATTTCAAAATTGGCATGTATTAATTAATTTGGATGCAACAAAATATATGTAAAACAAAGGACTACCAATTTTTTTATATGTTGTTATTTTATATTAATGACATTTTATCTGACCTCTTTGAAATTTGATCTCATGCATTTTCAGAAACACCATAAAAAGAGATGTAATATACAAGCAAAAGAAATACATTAAGAAATAGTAAATATATTATCTACTAGTGTACCTCTACTAGATGAAAGTTGACTGAGGCATTTTCTCAAAACAATGTATCAAATTTCAATATCTTGATTCTGACCATTTTTAAAAATTCTTCAAAATCACAGGCCTCATATAAAAATTTTGCAAACTAACTTGAAGTTTTGATTTTTCGAAGAATAAGAGTGATAAGAATGTCCATGGAAAATAAGTTAATTTTTCAATGATCAGGTTTTATTAATCCACAACAATAACATTAAATTAATTACCCATTCAGTAAAGCACCTGGGGAAATTAGTGCATATTTTGAGTTCTGATTTCTGTAGTGAACCTTGATCCATAGGTACAATGGGACTCTGTATCAATGGTGTCAATTTTGGTAGATTCTGTAATCTATGTAATAAAATGATACCGAAATTTTCTTATTTTCCCAAATTTCTTGCAACTCCAACTTTGGGCTCTGTAACAGATCTTGGCTCTTGAGACTGAATAAAATATTTTTAATTTTGCCGAATATTGTACTTTATTGTATTTATTGTATTGTATTAATTCACTACTTTCGTGGTCCGCTTGACCAATTAATACATGACAATTAATTAAGGTTTTTAGCTGAGATGAAAAAAAGCTAACGGCACGAGAGGGATTCGAACCCACGACCTTCGGCTAGATACGCCGCTGCTCTACCACCTGAGCTATCGTGACCTTGATCCACTCGGACATCAACTCCCCATCTCAACCCCACCTTATGAGTTTTCCCTCCTTTTGCCATTTTTCAAATGTCGTGTAATCGGTTTGGATTCTCGACGACAATTGAAATGGCGACGGAGAGCTTTAGTGAAGTGTACTTCATTTTTAAATCATTAATTCACTACTTTCGTGGAGTTGATGTCCGAGTGGATCGAGGTCACGATAGCTCAGGTGGTAGAGCAGCGGCGTATCTAGCTGAAGGTCGTGGGTTCGAACCCCTCTCGTGCCGTTAGCTTTTTTCATCTCAACTAAAAACCTTAATTGTCATTGTTATTAATAACTTTCCAAACAGTGTTGAGCCCTAGCTTAGCTTCTTTACGTCTCTCGCAGTGTGCTGGTATGAAAGAGTGGGAGCCAAAAGTATACCAAGATATTTATATCTATTAACTGTTTCAATCCATTAACAGTTTAAATACCAGGACTCCCTTCTTGTTAGTCTGCTGTAATTTATAAAGACGATAGTTTTTCAATTTTGTTAATATTTATTTTAATCTTTCTTTGTTGTCCTTGTACAAATTGAAAATATTCTTTTTTTAAACGCCTTTTTGAAGGTAGAATTTAAATGAAAAAATTTAGGCAACATTTAGACAACGATTTTCAAGAATTTAATTGCTGTAAAAAAATTTATAAGATTTTCGTTAGTTTTCTCTTAATATTTAAATAGTACATACATATATAAATATTTAAATATTTTATGTATAAATATATATATATCTGGTTGTACCATATGAAATAATGAAATGTCAGTAATTGGGGTAATATTATAATTCTGGAATCAATATGGTAAATAACTTTTTAATCAATTGAAATATTTTCCATTAGTTGAAATATACTTCTCCCAATGTGCTGAAAGCTCCTTGGAAAAGTGTGGAGTTGGAGATGTAAGGAATTCTTTGATTGCGGTTTTGAGAGCATCTCCAGTTTGAAAAAATTCATTTCTTAGAAAACGATCCAGGGCAGAAAAAAAAGGTAGAAGTCAGTCGGCAATAGGTCAGGTGAATATGGTGGGTGTGGAAGAACTTCAATTTTTAGCTCTTGAAGTTTTTGCATTGTCAATTTTGAAACGTGAGGATAAGCATTATTATGGAGGAGTATAGGTACCTTTCTATTGAACAAACGTGGATGTTGTTTTTTCGTAGTTTCTTATAAAAAATGTCTAACTTTTGGCAATTCGAGTTTGCTGTGATTGTTTCACCAGGGTTTAAAAAAATAAAATTGATTAAACCTCCCATACCATTGTCAGCTTTGGCAACTCATCTCTATCCAACCATTGAGCTGACCTTGTCTGATTGTCATACGGGACCCACTTTTCGTCACAAGTGTTCAAAAATTGTTCATTGTGATTTCACAGGAAAAGCAAAGTACAAATTTCATAACGTTTATCTTTCTGTGGTGCAGACAATTTGTGTAGTACCCATTTATCTAATTTTTTCATTTTCTTTAAATGCCTTTAAATGGTCATAGCACCTACTCCCAGTTCTTTGGCATATTCCCTAGTGCTTTTTGAGGGACAAGACTCAACCACGGCCACCAGCTGGTGATAATCCAGTTTGGTTTCCGGCCTACCACATTCCTTGTTGTCAAGTTCAAAATTGCCACTCCGAAACCATGAAAACCACCAGTAAACAGTCCTTTCATTCACAGATTCCTCTCCAAAAGCCTTATTGCTTATACCTCAGCAGCGTTTGGCCAAGTTTAAGGTCATACCGAAAAATTATGCACAATTGCCCTGAGGACATTTCTGTTGATAATAATTTATTTCTCAGAGAAGTTTCACAAATGAAACCAAACCAATGACTGAATAAGTAGGAGGAATAAAAGAGCTTTAATTTGGTTTGAACGACTACTATGTTTGTAAACCTTGAATTAATAAAGGAGGAGGATTAAGAAAGAAAGTAAACAAAACTGATATTTCATAAGATACAACCAGATATTTATAAATATTAAGAATAGAAACAGAAATGAACAATTTTACAACTTCTTTTTACAGAAATAAAATTCTTGAAAATGGCACAAGTTGTTGAAATGTTGAAGAAAAAAGTAATTTTTTAATTTAAATTCTACCTTAAAAAGGTTTCGAAAATTTATTTTTAAGTTCCAGGAAGTACAATAATATTGCAACAAATTTATCATTTTTTGTAAATTGTACAGGTTTGTTGTCAGTTATGCCAAATTGTTGGGATATATAAGAAGTTTTATTTTATGACCATTCACCACAATCCCTCAATCTTTTAAAAACTATACTAAATCATTAATAAATACAGCAAGTACGAGGAAACACAGGAGCCCTGTTTCACGCCCATACATATTTCTAACAATATGCCCAGACCGTTGTTACACCATGGTGAAAGGTCCATTAAAAAAAAAAAATTCTTTTCCATAATGATAATTCTACTAGGCTGAAACCTTGAAACCTCTTCTTGAGAGGCTCTATAAAGTTTGTTTATATTTACATTCAAATTTTTTAAACTAAAAACTCAAACTAATCTTAGACCTGTAAATTGTTTTTAAGTTAGTATCGAGTTTTTAAGTATGTTATTATAAGAATACTAATACATGTGTACTATTTCTAGGTGTTTTTGGTTGTGAAGAAGATTCAATATGAATTTGAAACGTCTGGATGTGAAGTGAATTGTTTTGGTTTTCTTATCCACCTCATACCTGACTGATCCCCATTTTACTCTAAATAAATGTTTACATATTTTTTTTTAAAGAATTAGATTGCAAATAAGAGCAATATAATAGTGTTTATAAAAATTATAAGCAACAAACCACCATAAATACGGCGCCATCGCATACGTCTATGAAATACAAGTAAGCTTTGCCGGTTTAGTCTATCTCAGACAATGGATTTTGACCCGTGAACAGTTCCTTCGTTTCGCCGTTATTTTATTTGTATTTTTTATTTTTATTTAATTTTAATAACGCAACAAAAAGAGTAATCAACGCAAAATTAACTTAATAAGGTACTCCTCGTGGAATTGCATGGTCTGCGAGTGGATGAACAGTTAAAGTTCTATACTGAAGAAGGCGTGAAGTTGAAATGGGTATGAGTGAAGCGTAAACCGACGAGAGATCCAGTGAAGAGATCGGTGTCTATCAATTCAACTAAACCTACTACCAAAGACCGAATATGTACAAAAATAACATGCGACATGACAGACATTCTGAAAATGATAAAAGATTGATAAAGATATAATTTATAAGTACAACGGGTTTTGCCAGGGATATGAATCTTCATGTTGTTTTTGCATTTAAATTTTATCGGAAGTACTATTGGAAAAATATGGATTATTTTGACATGGAAGTAATCAGACTCTCTCTCTCTCTCTCTCTCTCTCTCTCTCTCTCTCTCTAACACTCTCTCACGCACACATAGATAATCTTTCTTTACCTCTCTATCATTGTCTGTCGTCTATTTATCCATCTGTCTGATTGTCTGTCTGCCTTGCCTGCCTCGCTCTCTCTCTCTCTCTCTCTCTCTTTCTCTCTCTCTCTCTCTCTCTCTCTCTCTCAATTTGTCTTCATGCGGAAATCAACTTGAAGGCTCAGAAGCCCAAGAGTTTTGAAATATGAATTCACCCGGCTTGATATCAAACAAACAACCTGGATTTAGATTAGCAGTTTAATCTGAAAGCTTTAACTGACCGTAGCAAAGATGGAGAACATGAAGAAGGTGCAGATTTGCAACCAGGCTGAACAAATGGGTATAGTTAAAACTTTCGAGTGGGTCAATGGGCAGTATAACAACACGAGAAAAATAAGGATTAGTACAGATTAAAGAATCGTCGTTGACTTTTTGCTGAATAGTAGAACACACCTGCTTCTGATAGAAGAAATAAGAAATTACATAAAAAATTGAGGAAGGCTGTGACATCAGGGAAATGGGCTCGTTGACCAAATGTCTAAGCCCGCCTCCCAAAAGGATATTTTTGTTATTTACTCAAGGTTTCTTGTGCCCTTTTAATAAGAAATGCTAAATCAACGCAGCGTGGGCAATCCAATTTTGGGCTGACTGACCCATTATTTTCAATTGTCTCCTGTCGCCCTCGGGTGCAGCACCTGACCTGGTTTGCCTTTACAGCCTGGCTTTGCTCAGACTGTAGACCAGCTTTTCTT